CAAGTTGGCATGTTATTGGTAACATCTTTTTCTTATATATCATTATTAAAAGTGGAAAAGCTCTGTTGGATAAAACTGTATAATTCATATAATTTAGATTGTAGATAAATTCACTAAAAGCCTGAAAAAAAGTTGAATTTGACAAAGTTGGTCACATGCATTTTTGGCTTTCATGCATGCTTATGCCTTTTTATCTGCAAATTTGCCTTCTTGTTTCTCATGTTTGACCAACCCCTCCCAAAAAAGGCTAAATTGGAAATACTATCGATGTCAGCACAAAAAAACTTGTTACGAAATTTGTATGTACCAGTCTGCAATATAGAGTCACCTCTCATCAGTTCTATATGAATAAAGAGGTCCCTAATATTACTCGTTTTTTTTTTTTCATATATCTGATCACATTTCTGATTATTTAAATAAAAGATAGGAGGAGGCTTATTTTAGGACATGGATATAGTTTAAGTGAGTCCGAAGAGTTAAGTGTCCCTTCATTGGTTTTTAGATTTGGTGAATAAACTAAAGCTGATTTTGTTTTGGACTAAATCTTTGCCTTAAGGGTAGTAATTAAATAACAAAAAAAAAAACCTTACAACAATCTTGAGGGATTACGTTTGTCGGACCACTTTATTATTTAAAAAATAAATCGAAGGTCGTTCGTTACAGACGCCCTTACGTAACAGATGTCGTCAGATGTGTATTTTTTGTTGACCGGCTGGTCGGTCGGATATAACCCTGGAGAATTAAGGGTTACATATGCTTTTGAGGAAGGGTAATTTCGGAATCATCAAAAAAGCGCTTGTTTTTCGTTCAAAGCCTGCACCTTCTCGAATGCCCACTTTTCCACATTCCTTGTTCCTTTTTTTTCTTTTTCTTTCTAAATTGAATTATTTTTTTGGTTGACCGTTAAGTCATGTCTGTTGTAAGACGTATAGAAATTGGCTCAAATGATATTATTGTACCACATAACAACAATAACAATGACAAGAACAAGAAGAATGTGAAGTTGTTCCAAATCTTAAAGACACATTTTTAGCTCTATGTTTGCATTAAGAAGAGGTCTCAAAGAAGGCGGAGTGAAGAGCCCTAACACATTGCTCTGCCTCTTCATCATTCACTATCAATGAGATGTTTACCTGATACACACACACATCTCCACTCGTTATATAACCATAACAGTACCATCATTTATATATACGCTAAACAGCAGCAGATTTCTACCTTGGATGCACCCTGCGAGATCATCTGCACATTCACTCCGTTGCTTCTAAGTACTTGGAACACCTGTTTTGTCAGTTCATTCCAGTTCCATTAACTGTAAACTTCAAAATCAAAATAGAACACAAGACTGCATTTAACTCTCTCACTCACCTTCTCTAATATGAGTGAAGATTTCTGAACATTTCCTATGAGAGAGATGATTGATCTGCGCTGAAGCAGTTTCACAACAGCAATCTTCTCTAGCTCCTCTACTACATGATCCAGCTCCTGTTCACACCCAATCATTTTACCAATACAATATTACATATGATCCTCACAAAAAGAAACAATATACCAAAGACAAAGGATTCTTACGCTTTCCCGCTGAATTAACTCTCTACCCCAGAGCTTTGCTGGATCCAGTGTCAATGATATACTAACTTCACTTGTTGCCACAACATCTACCGATATGCCTAAATCTTCAAATGTGGTAAACACCTGCAAACGCACAGTATGTATGCTTGCAGTGAGATATGAAACAAAGTCGAATCAAGATATCATTATCCAATTATATTACCTTGGCGAGAAAACCATATTGGCCGAGCATGCGGGTGCTTGCTATGTCCAACATGGTCACATTACGTTTCAGAACAATGCTTGTCAGCACGGCCTACAAGGATATAAAGAAAAGGGTCATTAGTGTTTTGATATAATGAGTTCACAAACACTCTTCTTTTCACGAACCTTACTCATGTCTCTTGATCTGGTGATAACAGTTCCTGGAGCACTGGGGTTGTATGAGTTCTTAACCCTCACAGGAATGTCACCATCTCTTGCTGGCCTCATGGACAGTGGATGCAGCACCTGACACGTAAGAGGAACATGCTCAGCCATCAGACAGAAAAGAGCTCATCAGCGTAGAAAGTCTAAGAGGTTACCTGGGCACCAAAGTAAGCAAGCTCTGCTGCCTCATCAAACGTCAAGTACGGAACAGCTTGAGCCCCAGAGTATATGTTGGGATCACAAGTCAAAACCCCATCCACATCTTTCCAAACCTGCACCAGAAGAAAAAAATAAGAAACCTTTTCTTAACAAAATTCCATCTTCATGATGCAATCTTGGCTAAACCTATCAATTACCTGAATCTCGCGCAGTCCTAAGGCTTTCCCAATCGTTGTGGCTGTCAAATCGCTACCACCTCTACCCAGCGTAGTTACAGCACAAGATCTCCATCCCTGCAAAAACACATACATATGCGAGATTGATGTTTTGTTTTTCAATACTGAAATGATAAGCAAAACAACTCATGAGCAAAAAAAATCCATTTCAATATAAGAGTAAACGGGAACAAGCGTTTTGCACTACATATTTTCTTGATCCACGAGAGTAACATGATGTGAAACAATCAGAAAAATGTAAACCTTTCCGAGGAAGCCAGTAACAACAGGGACTGCGTATTCTTTGCTCCAGTCGCCAAGTAGTGTTTTCGAGACAGCAGGGTATGTTGCTTCAAGTATATCAGCGTTTGTAAAGTCGTCTGTGGTGATAAATCCGATCTCAAATGCATCATACTGCCAACAACAAGCGAACAACTCATCAAGTCATAACTCAGTCTCAGGATAGAGTTTACATAATTGTGAGTTTTGAATCTATAATGTCTCAAAGGTTATACTAAAAGTCAGGATAAAATTAAAGCAACATACTTGACGCGCTTTGTGGCCAATTTTATTGAGATACGCAGAGAAAAGCCTTGTGGACATGCACTCTCCAAATGAAACCAAGTAGTCCCTTGTACGCAAGGTCAACTCTTTCATCATTGCTATGCCTTTCAGAAGCTGGTGTAGTCCTTCTAGGTGTTCTACAAATGGGTTAACCAGAAAACCGATTCAGAAACGAAAGATTGACTGAATACGCAATGCAGAATTCAGAAACTGCAATTGGGGATAAGGTCAATAATTCAAACATTGAGAAAGAGAACGAAGGCACTTACTTGCAATAACCGTTGTTTCCACTCCAAGCTCATGAGCAGTTCTGGATATAGAGAAATTTTGTTTCCCATGAGAATAAGGCTAAATTTGAACTGTGAACAAATCAAATAGACAACAAAACATTTTTTTTTCTTTAACCTTAAATGGAGTTCCTTTATAAAGCTCAATTCTTCAATACTTTCAACGTTAGTGACACCGCAAGTAACAGCCTTTTCTCCAGCCTAGTGAAATCCAAAAGCCAAAAAAGTAATTCACTTTATCGATAACGGGAAACGTCATCAGAAAGAAGTAGAAAAGATTAACATTGTTGTACTACCTACCATCAAAAGCTTATTAGTCGTCTTCCCCATTGCTGACAGCACAATGACAGGCCTTTCATCGGGAAAGCTGAGTATAAGATTGGCGATTTCCTTCATCCTCTCTGCTGATGCCACTGATGAGCCGCCGAATTTCATTACACATGTCAGCTCTTTGCCAGTTCCGCTTAGATTTCTTATCTCCGTCTCTTTTCTTTCAAGCAAATCGACTCTTGCAGCTTCACAACTAACTCTCAAAGCTATATTCCTACAAGAATGCTCTACGGTTCTAAAGATTCCACTGCTTGAGGTCAGGGTAACTGAAAAGTTAAGCCCCTTTGTGCCAAACTCAAGCCTCCTCGAGCTTAAAGCAAGCCCTGGAGCTTGAACTCCGTACAACTGCAATGAAGCCGTCATTTACTAAGCAGTGAAGCTTACTAAAACTCAGAAACTGAGTGTTGTGATCTCGACGAATGAATGGCACAGCTGTGATTGTTCAATGTGGGATCCTGTGACTATCAAAGTAAAAAAAAAAAAAAAAAGAGATTCAGGTCTTTCTCATGGGATCTAAATATCTGATAATTAAGAAGTAGGTAAAGCCATGTTATGAAATGATATATGAAAAACGTTTTTCAACCAATCAGTATGTAAGTTGACTAGTAGAGACAGATGACGATTATTTGTCAATCAAACCTAACAACCAATTGTACAAGCAATCATAATAAATAACATTATAAGAGTAACACTTAAAAAGTTTCTTTTGAAGAAGTCAAACCCAAATGGATCTGTTATAATTAAAGAATGTGAAGCATATAAACCAGAAAATGTGTGAAATGGTGCTTCATCGTCACCCAAATGCAAGAAATCATCAATCAATGGAGAAATTGCAAAAAAGAAGATAAGCACAAAAAAGACAACAAAGAGCAGAACTCAGAGAAGAGGAACAGCCAAAGGAAGACGACGAATGTAGACAGTTACCTTAGCTGGATCCGCGTCAGAAATCTATAAGAATTCGAACTTTCCTCTGGATTCCTTCGGACACTATTTAAACGACCGGTCGGATTCGCCGGCCAGTCTCCGAAGGAAATAATGTTCTGTTGTTTAAGGAGTGAAAACGCCGCTTAAGACATAATTAAGAGAACGTGAGGCACAACACTGCTTTGAATGCCCTTCCCAAAATGGACGGCCCAGATTTAATCTCCTCATTTGAATGGTCTTTGGTTCGAGATACCTTTTCGGCCTCGGGTAGGCCGCTTTAATTGTATTGGTGTGTTTAATTTAGTGAAACAATGACGACATCTTCATTCTTCACCCACAATTATTATAGATACCAAAATAGTTTTGATATTGACAAAACGTGAGAAATGACTTGGCCCACTCTCAGTTCCAAACTTCCAATTATCAGAAAGAAAATATTCCATTGATCGAAAAAAATGTCACTGAAAATTGATAACAGATAATGTAATGCGACAAAAAGACACAACAATCCCAAAACTGCCCTCGATAAAGGCCACACTCTTCAAGCATTCTGGTAATGATGCAGTTTGTACAGCAAAACTTTTCCGGCGGCGTTTCCCATGGCCATGAAGCCACTTGCGGGGCTGAAGTCGACGCAGCGAGGGTAATGCATCGTGCTGTTTGGCGGCGGCCAGTTTGAGAAGACGGTCAGGGACGGAACGTGGACGAGTTTAATGCTGTTTTTGTTCATCGTTGAGACTATAGCAAGAATCTGAGCATCATGGTTGAACTTCATGAAATCTATTTTGGAAGTGAGATTGTCCACTGTCTTTATAGGCTTTCTCTTGCCTCCCACGAACTCTGATTTCTTGTAAATGTTTACAATCCCTCTGTCTGTTCCCGAGGCAAACAATGCTCCGTTTAGTGAGCTGCAAAGAGAAGTGCCACCAGTACTGCCTTCATCGACGCCTTTGTATAAGCACTTCATTGTTCTCAGATCCCACACGTAGACTTGCCCGTCACCTCCTGAGCTCAGCAACTGCTTTCCATCATCACTGAATGCTAATGACCTCACTGAACCGTTCATCTTTAGCGTTCCAGTTAGCTCTTTCGTTTTTGTGGACACAAGTAAGATATAACCTTCGTTGCCCACGAAAGCTATGGTGCTCGAGTCTTGTGACACCTCGAAATGTTCCAAGCTTTTCTCCTCTCTGCCAACCAAAGGGCCGATTTTGTCGAACTTGGCTTGCTCCAAATCAAAGCTGTAAAAGAACTTTCTTCTTCCTGAGACGATGACCTGAGAGCCATTGGGCAAGAAAGCCGCTTTACGGATGGGACAATCCTCGAGAAAGATGCTCTGGATCTTGGTGTTCCTCTTCCCATCAATCTGGAAAAACCTCAACCGTCGATCCAAACCAGCAGTGAGAAGCAGCTGAGCGTTCTGATGGAAGTGGACAGAGTTTATTGCGCCGTTGGAAGGATCCGCTGCGTTGGCATCAACGAGTTTTGAGTACTCGAGAAGACCAGGCAACAGCTTGGCACCACCGCCCTTCACCACAAGATCTTCATTTGTCCGGAGGATATCATCATCATCAACCACTCCATGCTGATGTTCGTCATCTGAAGAGTCTCCATCAATCACTTGGGAATCAGGCCGAGCCCAGTCTGTTCCCGGGTTTAGCTTAGCGTGATGAGCCCTCAGCCTCGCAATGTACTCAGACCCGGAGATCAACCCCTCATTTTCCTCTTTCCTTAGCTTCCTCAGACGGTTAACAGAAGATATATTTATGTTTACTTGTTTCTCTTCTTCGTCCTCCCACGCAGCTTGTCCCTTTCTGGTTCCCTCGGCTTCACCTCCCTCTTCATCAGAGAGTTGTTCATCATCATCCTCCTCCTCCTCGTCGTCATCCGGAGTCTGCCTCACAGCAGAACGGTCCACATGGAACAAAGCAGAACCATCAGCTTCTACGCCGCCGTCTTCCTTACCAAACGTAACAGGGGAGTAGATAGACCCGAATAACAAGTTCTCAAGCTTTTTCATTTCAACTTGTTCCGACAATCGTTGCTTCTCCTCCTCCATCTTTCTTCTCTTTCCCCTAGCGTCATCGTCGGACCCAACATCTTTCCCATCCTCAACATCTCTGTTTTCTCTTCTACCCTTACTTGTCGGAGCGTTCTGAGATAACAAGCTCATCGCTCAATTCGAAAAATTCACTGCAGCAAAAAAAAGAACAACTATAAGATTCGCACCCAAGCTCGTTATCTATCGGGAAAACAGAGCATAAATCAACCCTAATTTCAGTAATGATAACTACAGAAGCTACTACTTCGACCTAATTCGTGCGAATTTTTTGATTAAACTGAAGAAGCATGATACAACTTACAGCGTTGACGAGCAGAAACCCTTTTCGACGGTGGCTGTCGGCGAGAGCTTCTCTTCTTCGTAGGAGATTTAGGGTTTTAGAAGTTCATTTTCTAACAAACAATAAAAAAATAAAATTTGGAAATTTTCGTTACAATAGCCTGCCTTTTTATGGGTCAACGGGTTTATGACCCTTGAAAAAGCCCATGGGCCATAAGAGGCAGCAGAATAAAATATCATAATGGTACTTTGGTGATTATTGCAAAGTATATGCCTTGTTACACTGGAATCTATTCGCCCAATAAAGAGCCGAGATTCCCAGAGCAAATATCATCATTGGTGTTCCTTTTAGCGCAGCGTGAGATCGGCCATTCCCATTCCCCGCCGTGCTCCCATTCTCTACGCAACCTATCTCCGTTCACCGCCGCCGCGATGGAATCGTCGAAGCATTCTCTGATCCCTAGCTTCCTCTATTCCTCATCCTCGTCGCCGAGATCTTTCCTCCTCGACCAGGTGCTGAATTCCAACTCCAACGCTGCGTTCGCCTCCTCCAATCTCGAGAAGGCTCCTTCGCCAGCCGCGCGTTCCTCCCCCACCACGATGCTGTCTCAGAAGAACTTCCTTATCGCGTCTCCCACGGAGCCAGGGAAGAAGATCGAGATGTACTCACCTGCCTTCTACGCCGCATGTACCTTCGGTGGAATTCTCAGCTGTGGTCTGACTCACATGACCGTTACCCCTCTCGATCTCGTCAAGTGCAATATGCAGGTATGCACCTTTAGATCTACTATCCTTCGTATGTTTTCGGGAATCATTTTCGCCGATCCGTGTCCCTGTGTTGCTCAGTTGTTGAGATCTACGTGTTAGCCTTGTTTTCTAGATTGGATAATTCCTTGATCTGATTTTCTCTATAGACTGATATTCAGCCTTTCCATGATTGTTGGTTTTGTTTTGTTTGTTGTTCGACGGGGAACTGTTTTATCTCTGTTATGCCTATCTTTTTTCTTGGGTTTGATGTAGCTGCTTATAGATATTTCTTCATTAGTCATTCCATTTCGATCTAATACCTCGATCTGTTCTGAGTTCTGGTTAGTGTTGTGCGTTCTTTCGTAATTTTACTCGATATGTGGATTGATTTACTTGATTTTGCAACACTGATATTCCTTGCCATCCAGATTGACCCGGCGAAGTACAAGAGCATCTCGTCTGGTTTTGGAATTTTGCTGAAAGAGCAAGGAGTCAAAGGCTTTTTCCGTGGATGGGTCCCTACTCTGTTGGGTTACAGTGCTCAGGGTGCGTGCAAGTTTGGATTCTACGAGTACTTTAAGAAGACCTACTCTGATCTTGCTGGACCTGAGTACACTGCCAAATACAAAACCCTCATCTACCTTGCCGGTTCTGCCTCTGCTGAAGTCATTGCCGATATTGCACTTTGCCCATTCGAAGCTGTCAAGGTCCGGGTTCAGACACAGCCTGGATTTGCCAAGGGAATGTCTGATGGGTTTCCCAAGTTTATCAAGTCCGAAGGATTCGGAGGGTGAGTTTTGAATCCCAATAACATTATCTCTCCTTGTTATAGCTAGCCATTTGTGTCTGATTTCTTGTTTTTTTTGCAGCTTGTACAAAGGTCTTGGTCCACTCTGGGGACGTCAGATTCCATGTAAGTTCTGGCCTCGCTTTTGCAAACTGTTGCACTAGATATTTTTATTTTCTTTTCTTTTTTTGGGTCATGAAGCATATATGATTGTTTAGAGGCAACGTGTGTTGATGATATCTGGTAATGTGGCAGACACTATGATGAAGTTTGCTTCGTTTGAGACCATTGTGGAGATGATCTACAAGTACGCAATCCCCAACCCGAAGGATCAGTGCAGCAAGGGTCTGCAACTCGGAGTGAGTTTTGCAGGAGGTTATGTTGCTGGAGTGTTCTGTGCCATTGTCTCCCACCCTGCAGATAATCTGGTGTCGTTTCTCAACAATGCCAAGGGAGCAACCGTTGGAGATGTAAGTCACTATGTTGAATACAAGAGCTGAAAACCATCGATTTGTGTTGCGATGGGATTACTAATTGAACTGATGTAATGACAATGTTGCAGGCAGTGAAGAAGATAGGAATGTTGGGACTGTTCACAAGAGGACTTCCTCTGAGAATTGTGATGATAGGGACATTGACTGGAGCACAGTGGGGATTATACGATGCCTTCAAAGTGTTTGTTGGCCTGTAAGATCTTCTCTCCTCGCTTCGATTCCTTTTCTCTCAATACCTTAAAGATTGCAAACTCTCAATTGTTTTTTATTTGATTCAGGCCAACCACCGGCGGTGTTGCTCCAGCCCCTGCCCCTGCCCCTGCCATCGCAGCTGCTGAAACCTAAGACTAAAATGATGATGAAAAAAAGGTTTAGGATTTTTGTTTTAAAAAATAAGAGAAACGTATGGTAATGAGGAAGAGCGAGGTCATCCTCCTAATTCCAACTTGATCATTTTTTTTTGAAATTTGTGTTCCTGAATTCAGGATATTTCTTGTCCTTTTTTGTTTTTGTGATGTAATCTTAAAAGATGAGAGGTACACACTCAAAGATAGAGAGAGAGTGGGCACACCCACTTACTACTTTTGTTCGGTTTCACTTTCATTTGAAAATCTCTTTTTGATTTGCTGTTTTTGTTTTACGACCGTTCTCTATTTCTGTCAAGAATTACTACGTTGATTTGTTTCAGAACTTATAAGCATCACATATTTAACGGACAAAATAAAAGTTAAACAACGAAAGCAATGAAAAATATCAATCGGAATCGCACACACCAACTGAGCTAGAAATAAGCATTTGATATCAATCGAAAGCAATGAAAAATATCAAATGAAAAATAAGCATCACTTTTGTTCGGTTTCACTTTCATTTGAAAATCTCTATTGATTTGCTGTTTTGCTTTACGACCATTCTCTATTTCTACTACGTTGCTTTGTTTCAGATCATCACATATTTAACGGACAAAATAAAAAGTTAAACAACGAAAGCAATTAAAAATATCAACAGAAATCGCCCACCGTGGGACTCGAACCCACGACCACAAGGTTAAGAGCCTTGCGCTCTACCAACTGAGCTAGACGGGCCTTGATGCTCTTCTCCAAGTATTTTACATTGTTAAACAAAATATCGGGAAATTAAACTTACAAAGAATTATTGCCAGTTCGTTAAAACGACTTGGAAATGATCAAAATCACTGTGCTAAGGTACTAAACGTCTTTGTTGATCTTTTTCGGGTCGACATTTATGTGTGGTATTTTAATAACTAGGAAAGCTATACCGTTAACCAAATCAATATGCAGAAGTTGAGTTAATTATCTACCAATAGGTTCGTTAATACGATGTCGGGCTTGTAGGCAGAAAAATGGAAGAAGTCACTCAAGTTGGTGCCTCAAATCATCATTGACAAGGTCGGGCTTGTAATCATAAAAGCTCTTTCAATTATACACGTCCAACCTCATACTCGTTCAACTTCAGTTAAAAACCATATCAACTATCACTACAAATAAAAACTTCATATAAAGCAAACATGCAATTAAACTAAACAACAAACATAGCAAATAATAACCAGAATATGAAAAAGGGAATGGAAACGACCATAAAGATCAGAAGGAGAACAACAATAAAAGAGACCACCATGAATGTGCTCTCACAAAGACGTTATTACGCAAAATCAAAATAACTCTTTGAAAATAGTCGTCTGCAACACCAAAATTAAAGTGTGTTCTATAGTTCTTACAAGTTTTGAAACAGTGTTAAACTGCTAAACACAACACAGCACCGTACCAACCATTCTCACCTTCATCTCACTAGCTTAGCGCTTCTTCTTGCTGCTGGCTTTTGCTGCGTTGGACTTTGAAGGTGTAGCTACCAAGTATATGAACAAAACCACCATGGAGATGACTGAAACAAGTGATCCATATTTTGCCAGCAACCTCTGCAACAATTAGAAAACAGTAAGATTAGAACTGTTATATGTGATGATTTCATTGGGAGGGGAGAATTACACATCGAGTTACCTTGGCCTGAGATTATTATTGTAGCATCAAGAGGAACATCCAATACAAAACACGAGATAGCAATAAAAGTCAATACTGAGAAGAACATAAAAAGTTTAGGATATGAATGAAAGAACAAATCCTTAAGAGATCAAATTTACCAGGGCAAACGCGTCGGTTGGAGGTTTGTCTGCGAGGATGTCTAGAGGTAGTAATGGTGTTGAGTACGCTTGCTACAAAAAAGAAAACCATAACACATGATCACATCAAATAAGCAGATTTTGAGTAACAGAATGGTTACTACAAGAGAAAGCGATTCTGACTAGAAATATTAATTAGACGGTTTATAAACTAATAAAGCTTTGTTGCTACAAGTTATGGATAGTTTGTTATAAGATAAAGTTGTGAAAAATGGGTGAAAAGGGATTATTCATGGCTCCAAAGATACACACAAGAAAATTCATCCACTGAAAGAAGAACAAAGGGCGCTTAGAAATGGCAAACCTGAAGAGCTGCCTTTGTGGGGATCCGGAAAGTAACCAGAGCAGGAGCACCATAGAAGAGTCCTTTAACCTTGGCCTCGAGTTCGAATGAATGAGACAGAATACCTCCGCTGCACACAAAAAGGTGGAAAAACATCAGATTCGTGACGAAAGGAAAAGCTAAAGGATTTGATTAAGGAAGAGAACTCACGCATCAAGTCTTTCCCATGTTTTTGAAGTGTTTCCATTAACAACTTCGAATCTGGCTTTATCCCAGCTATTATCAGTCAGAGTCACATCATATGCCGTCCTGAGAGCAAACACCAACATACCCCACACTTTTAGCAAAAACGCTCATGAGAAATCACAATAGTCATCGTAGCAGGCAGACAGAAAACGAAATTCAGGGGGATCAGATCAAATGGCGTTTCGTTCAGCTGCTACTGATATAGATTCGCAGATCGCTCTTCCATACCGTAGATCTAAGGCTAGACAAAGCACGATTTCCTAATTCTACAGTAGCCGATCTCTCCATGCAAATAGACAATCAGAAACTAAGACGGATCGGAAATGAAATGATAGAAATGAGACCGATTGCGAAAAAAAACTAGAGGAGAGATAGAGAACTGACGCAGATCCTTGGTTGTAGATGTCAAATGAAACGGAGACGCGCTCGGCGCCGGATTTGAGCCTGTTAAGAGCAGCTTTCTTATGAACCACCATGAACGGCATTTCCGAGGTCGCAAACGAAGCAGAGACAAGCATGAAAACCGCGACGGCGGAGATCAAAATCTTAGCTAAGGGGATGGCCATGGTGTGCGATCTTCGACGATCTAGTTTGTTGGAATTTGGTAGGCAGATGCGAAACAGATCTACGATTGATTTCCTCCGCTCATAAACCCTCCGACGACGATATAACGACCACACTCAAAAACAAAAAGTCAATGATGGGCCCGATTGTTTTCTTCACCTGATAATGGGCCCACTTGGAATAGAGGCCCATTTTCATTAATAAATTGCATTTTTGTTTGGGAATTAAATCTGGGGATTGAGCTCTTTATTAAGGAAGAGATACGGTGCAACAATGAAGATATCAATCAACTTGTAACGCACAGCCTGTCTCCTGCCACAATCCAACATGTTTCTTCACTCACACCACATTATCTCGTTTTAAAAATAAAGACTACACTATTGCAAATATCAAAACGTAATAATGTTTTATACAGGCCAACGATTGATGCATTTAGATAGAGGATTTGTTACCAGAATCTCAATTTCATGTATAATTCTATATTGGTTAGAGTAAGAAAACAAAGTAAAATAAAAGGATCTGATTCGGTTAATCGAGGTGGCGGGAAAGTCAAGCAAAGAAGTCAACGAGGAAGTACTAACACTATGAACCGGAGAGCCAATTAAAATTAGGCAAGTGGGTATGGGAATTCACATCTTCCCGTAAGAAACATAGTTAAAACTTGGATTAAACCGAAAGGCATGTGCGGTTTCTTTTCTTATTTTGGTTAATTAAATCATATGTATCTCTCTACCCATTTGCCATTGAATAGAGAGCATGTGGGAGAGATTGCATCGAACTCTGAAACCTAAGTGAATCTGTTTACACTTTCTTCTCTCCCCATCATTCTTTGGAACCTTCAAACCAACCTTCCCTCACATGCTTCCTCTGTTCTTCTTCTGTTACCTCTCTCTCTCTGAGATTCTCCTCCTTTTTATATTCCTCTTAATAAGCTTCCAATATCAGGATCTAACCGTTTCTGGTTGTTCCAAAACCTCCATAGTTTTAGCTTATATTTGTCAATGTTGCGTATGTTTGTATCCGCATATGTAGGACGATGATGTGTTGTGAACAGAAAGCATAGCAGAGAGAGAGAGAGAGTAACATGGGGTGTGCTACATCTGCTTATGCTGTTGTGGGAAGGAAGAACAACAAGAGGATCATTGAAGAATCCGTAGTGTTTGTTCTGCAGCTCCGCGTTCCTGTTCAGACTGATCTTCATCGCCAGCTCAAAGGCGTTGCTCCCAAGACAACCATCGATCGATTGACATGTCTAAGGAATCAGATTCAGTTAGTAGCTGAGGACACAGGTAGAAGAAATCACCATCAAGCTCCTTGCCTTTTTCTTGCGTGCTAAGAAAAAGGGTTCTTAACATATTCAAAGTTTTCGGGTAAAATTTGCAGGCGGTTCTGCCATCTCTGAGCTGCGTACAGCTTTGGAGGAGTACTTGTCTCTTCTGACCGGTCTTATCAAGAAAAGTACGGGTTCGAAAATTTTGATTTTCGTTAACGGATTATTGTGTTGTGAAATCAAAATGGTGATATATATAAGAATATTTAACATTATAGAGGATGATGGAATGGAGGGACGCGTGGAGTTCAAATGGAGAACCCTTGGAGATAGTCGACGAGTAAGTTCGGTTTCCTATCCTGATGATTTCGATTTTGTTTGTTCTGTTACTCTTAACAGTGTGGAGGTATATATACAGGCAGAGATATGTTTCACAAACCTCTGGATGGAGATGTTGACAGTGATCCACATGATGGCTGCTTTGGCATTGACTGAAGCTAACTCCCTCATGATTCCAAAGGATTGCTCTGATTCTGGCGATGGTGTCCGCGTGGTCTCCACTGGTTTGGCCTTCTTCGATCTTCACTCTTGTCTTTTTTTACTTCTGCGTGTTACAAAACCTGATTACTTTGTCACTTTCAAACAGATTGCAGGAGAGATGCGGTTGACTTGCTGCTCAAGGCGTCTGGATACTTGGAGTTCTGCATCCGAGAGATTCTGACTCGTTTTCCTCCTGAGATAAAGTATGAAGCCAAAAACACACATCATATATTGGATTAGGCCGGACATAAAATGTATACTTATATATCTCCAAACTTGGAATTCGTCTGCAGAAATAAATTGCCAGATGATATGAAGGATAGTGTGATACAAACTCTCTCTATCCAAGCACTTGGCCAGGTTTTAGACACTTTTGAAACTTTGACTTCTGAATCTGAATCTTGTATGGGTTATGATTTGTAAATGTGGTTGAAAATCTCATTGCAGGGAACTGAGATTCAACTTGGATTGGCAGTTGATAGCCAGAAAGCAACGCTGTCTGTGAAGAGGAGACTTGCCTGTGAGCAAGTGATATATTTCTCTCAGGTCCTCCTCGTAGTTTAATAAGTCTTCTTCTTCTTACTTACTTACTTGGGGCATGCTTTTGGGAGAATAATAGGTTTTTGCACTAACCTCTCTATTTAATTTCCTGTAAATGGTGGTCCCATTATCATTTTCAGGCATATCACTGCTTGTCTGGTTGTGAAGAAGTCAGCCATGGATGCGCCAAAAAGCTTCTCCGGTTCATCTACTGGAAGTTTTTGGAAGCAAAGGTATGTACGAAAGCTACTGTTGAAAAGTGATCATATAGTTGATTTTTTTCCAGTTCTATCATAAATCAACCTCTCTGTTATGTTCTGTTTTTGCTTGACAGGCTGCGGCATACTACTACCATGGACTGGTAACAGACAAGGGAAGTGAGCCGGCTTGCCACGTAATGGCGGTGTGTTGTTTCCTTGCAGCTGCAGAGATCCTAGGAGAAAGCAAGAAGGCTTGTTTTAGCTTCTGTTTGGCTCATCCTGTCACCAGGTTTGTGTTTTTATTATAAATATCCAATAACCATTGAACATGTGAATTGTGAATTGAATCATTATGTTTTATCAGGGCTCCTCCTATGTGGGGTGTTATGAAGCATTTGAGCCAGAAGATTCCAGAAGTTGCTTTTAGGAAATCTCAAACGTATGGATACTTGCTTGAAGAAGAAGAGAAGTAAGTGTTTCTCTTGTAGCGTTTAAACTAATTAGAATCAAAATGTGTTAAGATGGAGTAAAGCTGACGACGATTATGATAAATACCACAGGGCAATGCAGTGTTTGCCAGACCTCCCAGACTTTCAATTGTCACTGAGACCAGACGAGTTTGAACTGCCTGAAGCCGACTCCTCTGCAGGAAACCAAACCCATTTGCTTAGTGAACATCTTGACAACTCTGATGAGAATCATGATGATGATTGATGATGAACTTGATCATCGACATCGTTAAGCAGCAGTTGTCTTACACATTTTCTTTGGGTATTTTTACCACTTATAATTGTAATGTAATATTTTCATTCTAGAGTTACTTCTTTTACATTATAGTTTCTTCTCAGACAAAAACCTAATATTTATTTCACTGTGAGTATAGTATATACTATCTATCTGGTGACCAATTATTTTTGCTAATAAGAAGAATCTGTAAGGAAGGAAGTTGGTAAAAAGAAGACGTTTAGCTCTGTTTGAGTAGAAGTGGCTATAGTGTGAGACACTAAAAAACGGCACGCACTTTACGCGTCTTAATTTGGAAATATTGTAGATGGCATGATGATAAATAACTGCGTCGTCACGTGTGGGTGATGATGAGATGTTGGATTCTCGCACGTACCAACTTCCGTGGAGGCGGTTAGGGATTTCATGAGATCGGGAAGACGGTGAGAGTGGCAATCTCCGATGGAGACATGATCGGATTTTGTCGTCTACCAATTCGGAAATCAACCAAAGGTGTAATAATCGGCGAAAGCGATTGGTGAAAACCGCAAGGAGATTCCGATTCTCACTCATCACTTGAGACTCTTTACCATTCCTAATTAGCTTAAACAAGCCAATCAACACTGATGTGTTCGTCCATTTCTTAGCTTGCGGTTTCTTTTTTGGGAACAAATTTAAGTTAATGTTTGTTTCAAATGCATCATCCAACAACGATAAAAAAAAAGTTTTAAGAGTCTGCTCGATTAAAAAACATAGATCGAAACCAAACGATCATAATCAATATCATGATGTCTTACAAAAAAAAACAAAGCTAGTTTATCTTTCCAGGATATCAAAAGTAAGAGATGATGAACAAAGAAAGAGAAAGATGGAAACGCTGCATAGCTCCAAAAGTTGTACTTAAAAGCTAGATGAGCCCTGAACAAGACAAAACAAATCAAACAGAAAAGCAAATAAAACCTCATAGACGGAGAGAAAGGTCGAGAGGCTCCTCTTCCTCCATGCCGCCGTTTCCGTTGCCGGATACTTCAAATGGGTAGCCAAATGGATACGGATACGGATCGTACTCACCCACCATCATCGTCGTCTGTTGATCCAGTCCGATCCAAGGTCCGGTCTCCGAAGTGGATCCTTGCGGTGGGTTATTATTGTAAAAACAAGGATAGGGACGAAACAATGCGGCGTCGTCGAGGATGGACGGAGAATGGCCAAGAACGCCGAGGTTTCTGCGAGCAGCGGCGCGTTCGCGTTTGTGGGCGTTCTGGTGACCGCCGAGAGCTTGAGAGGTGTAGAACTTGCGGGGACAGTACTGGCACGGGAAGAGACGGTGGATGGTCGGATGTTGAGCTCCGGAAAAGGAGTGTCTCTTTGATGATCGAGGTTTTGATGAAGGAGTCACGAACTGATGGAAAGACGATGGTGGCTCCGCCATTTTTAAGGCTTATTAGCTACAGAGAGAAAAGGAGAGAGATGATGATGACTGTATATATGAAGAACACACACACAAAAAAGGCGTCGTCGAATTAAAGAGGGAGAGAGTGAGAGGCTGTGGGTTTTATGGAAGGGTTTAAGCTGTCTCTTCTTTGTTTGTTTGCGTCGTTTGTTGCAGAGAATATCTGCTTTGTAAATTACCCTTTTGCCCTCATCTTCCTCTCTCTTTCTCTAACTAATTTCACAGATCCCAATTAATCCTTTTGCTCCATCCACATATGCATGGGATGCAGAACATATACATACACACACACACACTCATTTTTAAAAATTATACAATATCGAGTGAAAATTAAATTCGTACTTCCTCCCCAAGTTACATAGTAAGCAAATAAATTAAATTTATTTATTTTTGTAACAAAAAGAATTAAGGAAATTAACAAATTTGTATTGAGATGAGACAATATTCCCTGATAGAAAAATAAGAATATTTATATTGGATAACGTCCCAATAATTTGCTAAGCTGTTTTAAATATAAAAAAATCTTCGAAATCACTTAATTTTCCGGGAAAATAAATGGATGAATATAGCGAATGACAGTATTGTGATTGAGATAGTAGTAATTAAAGAGTAGAGAGAGGTTCTGAATTGAAATTATGCGTCGTTGAGTTAAGAAAAGAGGAAGGAGTGGAGAGAGAAATTAAGTTGTTGTTGTTGTTGATGGGATCGGGGGACTTCTCTTCCGTTTCTCTCTCTTGCTTTTAAGATTAAAAACTACATAATTAAAGGAAAATTCTGATTCGTTGCTTTTTGTGTTGGTACTGTAACATCTCGCAACGGGAGATAATCTGGTAACGACACGTACTGACTAGACAGTTGTGCGCATTGTGCAGTACACATACACGAGTGAACACACACGCTCGCAAACTCGGACTCATTAAAATTTTGAAAATTTTAACAACGCTTTTTAGTTTTTAATATTAATGACTGAGACTGAAACTGAGACTTAGGACTAGTGTTTGATTGATATGATAGTACCTTGTTGTTGTGATGCCAAAGAGAAGACAACAAGAAAAAGGGCCAAGTTCCAAGATGGATTTGCCAAACAAGGTTGTCTTCCATGGTTCTCTCACCCTCTTTATTCTTCCCATTCTCTTACTACTTACCTATCACTCATCTTTCTCATCATTGCTTTTCTTTTTCTTTTGCTCATTACTCCCTTTGCAAAATTTGATCTGTTTCGGTTCACTCTAAAGCCCAACATCATAATAGTTATGGTCTTTTTAAAGCCCATATACAAGCCTATCGACTTCAAGTAGCTCGCATGTTTATTTAATTCATCCAAACCACTCTGTTAGAGAGGGCCACTTTTTTAATTAACAGATCTACTATATTTCGTATCGCTCTCACACTTATATATAACCCAATCTATATTCGAACATTCGAAAGATCCTTTTCTAAAAAAATGCTAAACGATTGGGTGGAGCGGCGTCTTAAACGAGTCTACGCTTTTAATTATTACAAAATCAGAAGATGATGAAATGGTGTCTTTTTTTTTTTTTTGTATATCAAGGAAGTTAGTTCTTTTTAGGTGATTGTTTGTAGTACTGACCATTTATTAAGTTTTGCAAATAAGTATGAACTTTTTTTGCTTGCAAAAACACAAAAAATGCGATTTTCTTAAAATACGTTATCTGTTTTTTGTATAAAAAAGTTATCTGCCTAAATGATTATATATGTATATTAGTATATGTATATATATTTGGGTGGTAATTAAGTCTTGGTCAAAATAAGAAACGTTTGCTTGAAATTGAAGCAACCCCACATTATATTTAACTTTTTGTTTGCTGAAAAGTAAGTTTTCTTTCTCTGCTAAGCATATATTCTAAAAGCCCATTGGCACCAAGTTACCTCCTACTTCTCACACAATACACAGGCTTGTTCACATTCACTTTTCACTTAATGCCTCCTGATTATTTCATTAATTAATTATTTTATTTAATGCAGGTAACTTTGTTACATTTTTTCTTTGATTACATTTGAAAACCAAGGATTGCTTCTATTAAAAGCAAAAGAGAACATGTTTATGGTAATATGTGTATTTGTGTGGGAAAGAGGAGAAACTTAGATTGCCTTAATCGATGTTGTCCTTTTGTGGATTGTACATTGGAAGATGGTGGTGCCACAATGCACATGTGACTTGTCTTTGACCTTCTCCACCATTTTTTCTATTATTTTATTTTACAATGTTTAGAAATGTACACAATAAAATTGATTCTTACAAATTTTGTTGTATTTTCAATCATTATAATGTTCACATATATACCCATGTTATGTCCCCATTATGTCTGTCTTACATAACATATACTAGTAATCTCAATCTTTTCTCTTTCTTGCATTGATCCTTTTTGTTGGCACACATGATACATGTCTTTTTACTTTATATACAGTTGAAATTTTTTTTTTTGGTACATGCTTTCTCTAACAAATCATCAAATTCATTCAAACATATCGCTTGTATATCATACCCGCATTTTTTTTTGTTTTTGGTATACAAATCACACACACATTACTAAATTAAAACGATCATCTCCATGATTTTGGTTTCTAAATGTTTTAATGTATGTGTCAATGACAACACACATGATCTATATATTTTGATTAAATAAAATGGTTCGACACGGCGAACTATAGCTTCTCGACACCCCATGCGATGGCTGCTTCGTTTTTCCCATTTATTTTAATTTCAATTTCAACTCTTTCTTTTGTCTCTTTGTGCAATCTAACACACCATTCATACAAGTCGCCCATCCATACATATACTTTGTTAAATACATAAGATATCAACTTGTTATAACTTAATACAAAATGCATCTCCATCTCATATTATTAAACCAAGTTTCCACGCACATTGATATAATAAAACAAGTCTATATAATCAGATGCTATGGATTCTTGTTCTGTTTGAAAAGACAGGGTATCAAGTTCTCATCTAAAGAAAAGAAAGATACCTCTTTTTCATTTAATTAACTTTACTTCGTTCTACACGGCTATATCACTTTAACTCCATGATAATGTTAAAAGAAGTAAAAGAACTCCAAGTAAAAAAAAAAATTTAACAAGTTTGACATATATTTGGTTTGCTCAACGAATCTCTCCACTCAGACAACATTTTCACAATGAGCTCTCCTAGCCTCTCTAACAAATGAATCAAGACGTCTATTTCTTTTTTTTTTAAAATAGCTTGAAAGAAACGTAAGTGGAGTAGGTCAATGTTAAGGAGCAACGTTTAAATAATGTTCTCTGACTCATCAGCTGAGGTAGGAGGAGAGGGCGGTGGAGGACCGGTTTCATGATCGGACCCAATCGTAAAGTGGATGCAGCTCAAGTCTTCTTCATCATCTCTCTTTCTTGATTTCATCTGCCTACTTCCTTTTGATCCTTTCCTCTCATACACATTGTACACCGCCCACTCTCCAAACACCTGTTTTTAAATACCAAAACAACTCCATTATTAGTCCTCAAAAGTCGAAAGCATTTCTTTACTGTTAAAAGTCGAGAATTAATGGTGGACCTTAGTTGATGCAAATCCGGCAAGGCAGTACTCTGTCATGCACCACCTGGTTTTGTTGTAATTAGAAGACGACTTGTTTGTTTCATAGAAAGCAAGTGTTCTTCTAATCCCAACTGTTCTACCACAGCCAATAATGATCTGTCTCTCTTTCCCAAAAGGTTTCCAATAACCATCACCAGATGAAACCTTGAGTCTATGCTCATTACTTGACACTTGTCCTCTCTTCTTGCAAAAGAAGTACCTTTGCTTCTCTTTTTGATCCCCTGAATAAAACCCACTTCAGTTTTAGACGGATCTGGACCCAAATATCAGAAAATGGTACAGAGCAAACATATATAATCTGCTGTAAAGTTACAACCTTTGATAGATAGACCCATTTGAACAAAAAGAGTTAAAGAAAACTAGGATACATACAAAAGGAATATAAAGGGAGAGAGAGAGAGACCTGGGAAAGTAAGAGGATGAGAGAAGAAGACATCAAAGACAGGGATGATGGAGGAAGGCAAAGGAGAAGCAAAGGCCTTTGGGAGCAAGTAATGAAGGATAAGCTCCTGCTCCGTTGGGTGAAATCTGTATCCAATTGGTAATTTCATTCCTCCATTCACCATTGTCCTCTTCTCCACCTCCATATCCTCTATTTTCTTTCTTTTTTACCAAACTGCTTCTTAAAAAAATTTGATAAAATTTCAAACCTTTACAAGCATTGATCCGTCATTCCATCTACAAATAGAAGGAGAGGAAGAGAGGAGGGAGAAATGGAACTCAGAGAAGAAGACTCGTGTAGCGTTTTGCTTATGGACTTTGCAGGCTAAATGACAGTAGGAGAGGGTCTTTATATAGTATGTATATATCCCCACGGGTACACACACACACATATATATATATTATAGTGTATAGTTGTATAATATAAATGGAAGAAATGGCTTCTTTGTCTGAACATTTATTTTAGTTCATAATAAGAAAGTTGATGAGAATGAGTAGGGAAAAAGGAAGGTGCTTTTGAGGGATGTTCATTGACTTACAAAGTTAAGAAGAAAAAATAAATAGAGAAGAAAATGTCATATGTTCCTAAAAAAATAAAGAGAGATGAAGAGAGAAACGTGCAAGTTTGGGGTTTCTCCATTTTGCAAAAGGGTCCTTCATTCACTTAACACCATTTCATCATCCAATTAGTATTTTGGTTACCATTAATCAAACACAGTAAAGTTGGGATCTCTTTTGACAATTGCGAGCCAGCCCCACGTCTGCCTAATCAATTAATTACAATATACTGTAGTAGCCTGATCTATTATTATCTAAACATAATTTTGATTTAACTTTTTGTAAAGTGCTCAATTGCATTTATTTGTGAATGTGAAGATACGTGACACAACACCGCCTACTTGTCCCTCCCCCTAGTGGTTTAGTTGATTGAAGCAAGTCAGGGCAGACTTTAATATGGACGGACCTTTTCATATCGAAGCTGCTTATTAGTAAGGCCTAATTCTTCTCTGGGCTTTATAAGGCCTTTCTTTCTCCTCCACAAAGCTATTTTTTTTGTATTTTTTTTTGACAAAGATATTATTATTATTATGTATTTCTCTTTCATATTCCACTCTACTATTTTTTTTAATACTATTTACTAATACGAAATTACGAATGGCCACTTTTCAATAAAAACAGCTAAAAAATGCACAATTATGTGGAAACCAGTAAAGGTTTTTCTAATAATAAAACATGAACAAATGAGGATGGTTTATGCATGCACGTATATAATAGAGTTGTGTGAGGAATATGCGTGCGCACCATGCTCCCACGTTACCCACTTTTCATTCAAATCATTTATTTTTAAATGCATTTCCTTTTCATTTTCACGTAATAATAATGTATAGTTTCCATTTCCCTCAACAAAGAAATTTAAAAGAGTTAAATAATTACGAGGTTTTATTTTTCTTATTTGATTTTGGTTAAAAATAGAAATTACACGGTATTGGTGTTGGGAGGAAAGAAAAAGTCAACGGTCAACCAACAAAAAAACAAGGCTCCCCTACTTCTTCGATTCAGCCATTGCGACCATCTCCATCGCCTCTCTCTAACCACAAATCCTAAAAGTCTAAACGAAAAACACAACACATGAATTTCTCCTTCCTCACCATCGTAATCACACTTCACCATTCTTAAAGCTTTACGTTAATAATAACAAGCGATGGAGAAGAACGACAAGGACCCTGACCATCATGATGATCATGACAAATCCAGGGGAGATGAGAAATGCGACGTAGTTTTAGATGCTCATCGGGCAGATGATGCGCATCAAGATGGTAGCAGTAAAGAGAGTGTCGATGTTGGTAATGCCGAGTCAGATCACGATCCAGGGGACAACAATGTCGACAAGGTTAATTCACAGGGAGAAGAAGCACCAGAGGTTCATCAAACCCTCGATTCCTTGTCAGAAGAAGTCGACCAGCTTCTCTCAAGCCTCTCCCTTCACAAGGAGGAGCACAAAGACAGCACCAAGGAGAAAGGAGAGAATGATTACTTTCAGATCCCACAGTTTGTTGGCAAGTTCTTGGACCTCTTGGAGGACAAACTCTCCAAATACGACTCTGGTGAGCCAAAGACGATGTGGTACCAAGATCCCGAAGAGGTGTCTTCTCTTCTTGAGGCAGTGGATCGTGTCTCAAAGCTTATGGGGCTTTTGCTCCACACCAAATCATGTTTGGACCATCATGAGCCCTTGATCAACCACGCTGGATCCATTCAGCAGCGTGCGATGGCCTTCTTGGAAGACGAATTCCGCATCCTTCTACAAGAATCCGTCATCAAAGAGCTGCCCGTGGTGGTCACGGACGACAGCAGCGGCCAGAGGAGGAGCACGGCGGATCAGCAAGATCACCAGAACGATGCGGTGGTCTCGCAAGATCACGACCAGATGGTCGTTCCGGAATGCGGCGATCAGGAGATCGAATACCCCGGTTACTCGGAGGAGGTGGTTACAGTTCTGAGGAAAATAGCTGAGAATATGAAAGGAGGAGGGTACGGATGGGAATGCAGAGAGGTTTATTTGGTTGGGAGGAGGAACATCTTGATGCGAACTTTGAAACATGACTGCGAGTTTGAGAAAGTGAGCATCGACGAGGTGCAGAAGATGAGCTGGGACACTCTGGAGAGAGAGATCCCCATCTGGAACAAGACTTTCAAGGACTGCTCCTCCCTCTTCTTCCCCGGTGAGCTCAGACTCGCCGAGAAGATTTTCCCAGGGGACGAGGGGAGCTTGTTCTGCATCGTCACGCACGGTCTGGCCATCCAGTTCTTGGGTTTCGCAGAGGCCGTGGCCATGACCAAACGCTCCACTGAGAAGCTCTTCAAGATCCTTGACATCTATGAGACTCTCCGGGACAGTTTTCCAGCTATGGAAGAGCTCTTCCCAGAGGAGCTTCGCAGCGAGCTGAGGAACGAGGTGACCAGCGCTCGTTCCCACTTAGGGGAGACCGCAATTCACATATTCTCGGATCTTGAGAACTCCATCAAATCGGATTCGAGCAAGACCCCAGTGCCAGGTGGCGCGGTGCATCCGCTGACAAGGTACACCATGAACTACCTCAAGTACTCGTGCGAATACAAAGACACATTGGAACAAGTGTTCAAGAGCCACTCGAAGATGGAGCGAGAGGAGGAGGAGCCTGCGGTGAGCGGGAACTCGGCCTTTGCGAGCCAGCTGATGAGGATAATGGAGCTACTCGACGGGAACCTGGAGGTGAAGTCGAAGCAGTACAAAGATATACCACTGAGCTGCATCTTCATGATGAACAACGGGAGATACATAGTGCAGAAGATCAAAGGATCAGCGGAGATACACGAGGTGATGGGTGACACATGGTGCAGGAGGAGGTCCTCGGAGCTAAGGAACTACCACAAGAACTACCAGAGAGAGACGTGGGGGAAGCTGCTAGGGTTCTTAGGGCACGAGGGGCTCATGCACAACGGCAAGATAGTCAAGCCCAATCTCAAGGAGAGGTTCAAGAGCTTCAACGCAACCTTCGACGATATACACAAGACGCAGACCACGTGGGTGGTCAATGACGAGCAGCTACAGAGCGAGCTAAGGGTCTCTATAACAGCGGTCATGATACCTGCCTACAGAGCCTTCATGGCCAGGTTTGGACAGTACTTGGATCCTGGTCGCCAGACCGAGAAGTATATCAAGTACCAGCCTGAGGACATTGAGGATCTCATCGACGAGCTTTTCGAAGGCAACACTGCCTCCTCTTCTACCGCCACAGCCAGGCGAAGAACGTAGCTTCTTTCTTTTCTCTTTTGTTTTGCAGCAACAATTTTTCTTGATTTCCTCAAACTTTCATGTCTTCTTCTACTGTTTTTGTCTGAATGCCACAACTTGGACGACCCGTATTTCTACGAATTCAAACAAACGATCGTGGTTCCGTGCCATGTGTAAATGTTAATTATAATCAGTTCCATCATTTATCAATAAAGAAAGTCAGTTTATCTTTGTTGATAGCATAATGGGAAGTTATGTGGAACTCGATGCAAGACTCAAACTCACCTTTTATTAAATTAATAAGCGTCTGAAATGAAAACACAAGAGGAAGGAGATATGAGACTCTTATGCTTAAAACTTACTTATTCCTTAATTAGGCTTTGCTTGGACCTCAGGCATCGAATCTGTATTTGTGGAAGTGAGAAGGTGAATGCTCCAAGCGGATCAACACGGTCCTAATCTCCATCGGGTAAAGCTCCATCTCCAGCTTTCTTGGATCGATTTCTTTACCTCTCTTCGCCTTCTTCACTTCTCCATCAGTTCCTTCACCTTCTACCTTCCACACCAACCTCTTCTTCTCCATCGCACTTCTTTCTTGATTTGCTGATAGGCTCATCTCCGTCACTTTCGCTATCTGCAACACACGTTTTCTTTTGTTATCTTCCACCTCAAAATTCACCATCTCTAAAAAAAAAACCTTCTACCTTTTTTCCAGGAAACAGCTTCTTCAGTTCCACGCTTGCGACTCCTGAGAGTTCCTTGTCCTCTCCCACCTAATTCCAAAACCTCAAATGCTTTATTCTACTACCAAAACCCACAGAAAGAATGGATACTATTTAATACCTCATAAAGATGAGCTAGACGCAAGAGCACGTTTCCATCGTCCAGTTCCTGAAATCATCTCAACCAAACCAATTGTAAACAACAAGTTATCAACTAACTTACGCAAACGATTTATAACTTTTGAGTATGCAAAACAGGCACCTGCAGAGTCAGAAGTGCGACATTGTCAGGCAAACTGTAGGATGAATCAATCCCAGAGAACGATGCGGCACCAAAACTCAACGGCTTTCCATCATCCTGAAACGTTTTAACATCCGCTGTATAAATGCTCTGGAACAGCTAGAGAGTAGCATTCTGATTTTCCATTATACTCTTGTTTTCACCTGTTGAGCAAAGGCCAAGAGGAGTGGCGAGTAGATCTCTTGTCCAAAAGTTCGTCGCCATTTTGCGCCTTCACCATATGGATCGATTCTATAGTAATATTTTCCTTGGATCTGCAACAATTGTCAAAATCTTGCACCTTAAACTAGGAGCAACAGAGTGTGCTTCAAGTGAATCATTTCCCCTTGAACCTAGTTCTGTACTTACAGTTAGTCCAGTACACTTGTCTTGAACACACACTGTCTCGTTTAGAGCCTCCGCTACACCTCTGGAGTCATCAAGGAGCAGTCTCCTGTGATTCAGATGATAGTTTGATTAGAGCCAGAGAGAGAAGGGTAAGTGAAATTTTTGATATTGATTATGTTCAATACCTATGAAGCATAAGCTCAACTTGTCCGTCCACTATGCTCGACCCGCCAATCGCTCTGTCCACCATCACTGAGAATTCCTTCTTACTGTCTTGCAGGTAAATTCCATGATTTATCTGAGCAATTCATGGCATTTATACCCAACTGATTAGGTCAAACTCAATCCATGATCATTTGCAGAGAACTGTAACATAACAAATATTAGTTACTCACATACCGGATAGTAATTTCCTGCAACAGGTTGGTTGACTTGTAGTTTCCAGTCTGACCTATAATCACGGACCTGCAAAACAAGGTTTTAGTTTATTATTGAACAGCAACAAATAAGAACAGGGGGCACAAAAGAAGAAATACAGATGATCCTTAAACCTGATGTGATCAAATGTGTTACAACATAAAATGGACGCCATACCCTTTTGATATAATCACGTCCACTTGAATCTGTGTAGAAAGTTTTATTGCTTTTCAGAGAACTTGAGATCTGGGTTACGACTTCTTTGCCGACTCCATCTTTAATCGGTATATTACCAACCTACACATTCAGATAATACTAAAGCCTTTACAATGGAATATAAGACATGAAAAGCGGTATTGGAATAGTTAATGCATTAGCCTCACAATAAATTCAACTTCCACATGCTCCTTGCCCTTGTAAACTCTAGTGACCTACAGACAATATTTACAAGGTCAGAGAGTACAAGAATCTACAATCTGCACTTTTGCAAGTTCAAACAGAGTTTAAGAAGCCATAAAACAGCTTAAACTTGAGGTAGATTCTAAGAGTCTGTAAATGCAGAAACTTTAGTGTGGAAAGAAAAAAAAGTGAAAACGTAGGTACCTGAGATATCCATGGATTTATCCGTTGATGAACTTCATCCACCAGTGGCCCACGTACAACAGTCAAAGGAACCTGAAACATGAGACAGTGGATAACATTTCAATTTTTTTCTATGATTCGACTTAAAGATCAATATTTCTCAGAAGTGGGCAAGAACCTGTCCTTCCGGTTTGATGGGGAATGTGCCATTTGGACGGAAAACATACGCACCCGAGTTCTAGTGGTTGCAAACCAGACAAGAAGACCAGGGAAACATGGAGTAAGTGTACTGAACTTTAGCCATCGAAAAGAAAGTGTAGAAAATAGAAGAAAAAGATCTTCGCTTACCTGAGGTTCTTTGTCATTTGATCCATTGTATGAAGAGTAGTAGCTAAATGTCTGTGTGAGTGGTTCTGTCATCTTTACAAAAAATAAAAATAAAGAGATTTATCAGCAGCTTTACGGATGACTGGCAGGTAGTGTCTAAAAAATAACGACATACCGAGGTTCTGCTGTTGAAATAACTGATTGCTGTCCCTTGATCAGTAGAAAAACTAAGCTTCATATGCCCATGACCAATGTCAATAACTGATTGTTCGCCTTTTGGGTATCTGGATACATATGATTTGCTAGAATATCCACCTAAATTTGGAAACAGAAAGTGATAGTGATAAGCTTGTTCCATTAGACCAAATAGACATGTCTGCACCATTTTACCTGTTTTCTTAGCAGTGGAGATAGTGTAAGTAGTGAAGCCAAGAGGAGGCACAGAAACCGAAAACACAAGCCAATACTTTGGTGCCTGTGTAGGGGTATGACCTAAGTACGCCTCTACATGATAGTTCCTTAAGGCCGCATATTCATCTGTGAATGGAATGAGTTGGGACTCAACTTCGTGTCCCTCGGAGTCATGCACCGCAATGTTTCCGCTCACAACCTATCGAAGATTCATCATATATTTGTTCACACATAACAGTGAATTTAACTAACAAGAAGTCAAGAACTTAATTGACTCACAGGAAGCCGGACAATGTCCACTCGCTTCCATCCAAGTGAGTTATAAGCCAATACGATCTGCAGAGACGAAAAAGAATTCTAAGTTTCAGGAAGGAGGCACATATAGCTATACTAGATGAGTTGAAAACTCAGAGGAACAATAGCTTTCTGCTTACCAAACTTTTCCCGCCGGATAAGTTGATTTCGCTTGCGGGGCAGTAACTTATGTTCAGCAGCAAACACTGAAACAAGAAAGGCCAAACTATTAATAAGAAAAAATGGATCGGTTATTTTTTATCAAACGGTTTAAATGTAAGCCTTCACAATATATTGATAAGATTCTTCAATCACGTATAAGAAAGGAGATTGTTTGCCTGTTGGAAGGTTGGAGTCAGGGCATTATCTACTTTCGTCAGATGAGCAAGAGAAGTGGCAACAACACTCTCAGCCTGCAAGGTCAACAGATCTTATTGACATGCATATAGAGCAAACAGGCCCATTAGAGAACCACATTTCTCAGAACAATTTGGCACACTACCTCCACATAGCCTATTGCTAGTCTTTTCGCATAATCATCAGCCACGTGCTGTTTTGATGTACCAGAAACAGCGTCGTGATGTTGAGCAATTGCTAGGGCATCTGCTAAAGAATCTGTATTCGGACCCTTCTCACTTCTCCCTTTGAAAAACTCGAGTTGCCTAGCCGCCTAAACACTCCAAGTCACAAACATGAACAAAAATATAACTTCAACAGTACTACTGGAAACGTGGAAGAACAAATACCAAGTAGTAGGCACTCATCACTCTGACATAACGCTTAAGTGCTGGCCTACTTGTAAAATAACCAGTCCAGTAAGCATTTATACGGTCTGCGTAACTGAAGTAAAAAATTGGTTCAGTTTCTAAGCAAAACGTGGATCAAGGATTTCAAAAATTTTAAGACCCAACTCACGGGAAATAGTCCTCTGTTTTTAGGGGCCAAGCCTCATTCGCCGCGTATTTTGCATCTGTATATATGGAAGGAGTAGAGTAGAGAGCATTGATACGCCCGTCCTAAATAATTAAGGTTCCACGAGTTAGAGTTATCTCATTCGTTTCCATCCATCTAGCTTACTATAAATCCACACAGGAGGCCTAAAAAGGAGCGTAATAATGTAGACAGATCTTTCAGTGACTTACGAGGTTAACATAGTGAAGAAGCTTGTCCATTTGTCGAAACCAGGTGTGTGCATACTGGTATCTGAAATCTGTTCCCATGGTAAACATGATGTGATCCGTTCGAGTAATGTTGGCCTGCAGGAAACAAGAAACCTGTTAAGAAAATGTACTAGAAAATTCTACCCCAAAAAAAAAGAACATTCTCCAAATCTACCTGATCCAAAGCTGCAGCTACAAAGGCATTCACTCGCTCTTGAACATTGTAATCAAACAGGTCCGGATCATCCTTCACGGATTAAGAGGCAAACTTAACAAAAGAATAGAATAGATACAACATAAATAGTAATTAACTGCCAGGGAAAATACTTGGACAACGGGGGAATCATCTGTGATTTCATAGTAGAAGCCACCAGGTGGAGGCTCGTAGTTCTTAGGGAAAGCACCAGCAAAAATCTGTATCAAGTCAGATCAAAGTTAGCAAAAGAAAATGAAATTCGAGTGAAAATGCACATTATATAAGCTACCACAATGCAAACTTTCTACTTTTGAATTTGACCTGTGAAGAAGAACCGAGACTCTTAGAGCCCCGCCAGATAACTTCAAGACTCTTCTCCTTAAAACGCTTCTCCCTATCTTGGTAATCTATCCGACCAAAAAAGACTGAGTCGAACCCAACCTGCGTTACATCAGTAAACCAACATCAACATAACTCTGGATCGAGAAATACACATAAAACTACAATGAAGTCCCAAAAGAGGAGCTTACTTCTGCGCCTAGCAAGTAAGCCTGCACTGCAGAATGTCCAAAAGGATCAATCTGCCAACCGATTCTTGGAGTCACATTGAACTCTCTGATAATGAATCGATGCCCGAGGGTTGTCTGATCGATCATGTCTATATAGTGTGGTGCCGCTTCATCATGCATGCACATACCACCATTTCTACACAAGAGGCATTGATAAACTTGAAAAGAGAGACAAGGACAAAGTGTGATATAGACAGAGCACACTCATCAAACCCCATACATGAGCTCTAGTTGGCCTGAGCTTATAAGTTGCTTCACAATAAGCTTGATTTCATCACTTTGTTCTCTCCACCATCGCTGAAAAAACGCCTGTATTGCATTCATCACAAATTAACAGTCAAGATTGTGAATTTGTGATTGTTCTCCCCCCTAAATCTTCTTCATTTAACTTTCCACGAATCAATTAGGAAAAGAAAGAAACCAAATTTACCTGTTCTACATAAATGAACTTGCGATTCTTATCAGCCAGCAACGCAGGAACAAGTGAATCCAGCACATTTTGAACACAAGCCACCTACGAGCAACAAAATAAAATCTAGGTAAGTCCAACCAAAATCTGATCCATAAAAGAAAAGCAGTAAAGGGGTTGACCTGGATTGAGTTGTTAGAGCCGACATAGTACTGGTCAACAGTCTTGAGCCAACCAACATCATCGTGGGAATGAGGAACCACATGGACGTTAAGTTTTCCAGGAACCATGGTGTGTGAAGTGTTGTAGACCATGTACCTTGATTCTACGAGTGAGATTCCCAGAAGCAAAACAGCCCAACATAGAAACTTGGCAAGATCCATTCTCTAAAACCAATACTTCAAACTCGGACTGCGTTAAGTCAACTCAATTAGAGTGACGATGAAGAAGAAAGAGTTGCCCTTTTTCAACACTAAAATCTGAACTTTATATCCCGAAAATGTTGTCCTTCCTCTTTTTTTTTATGTTCTTTAATAATTCATTGCTTACTTTAATAATTTGCCCTTATCCATAGATAAACCTTAGAAGTGAGGTTACGCTCCAACATACACATCACAAATCAGACAAAATCATCAAAACAAAAAAGATTGACACTCTTACTAGTCTCCAAGCCTGCATCTGCTTATGATTGAATATTGCAACGGCAAGCACGCGGACGCGTGGAAGTTTGTTGGAGAAGGCGAGAAGCTCGAGAGTTACTGTGAAATTCTAGTTCAATAGGCCAAACCTACCATGAGGCCCAATATGTTTACTGGACTTCAACCTGGCCCATTAATTAACTGAGTACGTCGGTTTTGTTTGGCCCAATATGTTTACTGGACTTCAATCTGGCCCATTAGTTAACTGAGTTGTCGGTTTTGTTTGGCTATAAGGGCATATATATCACAAACCCGCATACAATCCCTCAGTTTCTTACTCCGATCATCATCGTGCCAAATTCGAAAGCAATGGAGGAAAGTTTCAGAGTGAGAATCGACAAGATATTTGGATCCCTTTCATCCTCATCCGCGTCTCCTTCATCTCTCAGCAATCTCTGGTGTCTCGCGGAAGACGAGATCGATAGAAACGAACAGAGCGGAGGAAAGGAAGTTTCTGGTTCTGGTTTCCGATCTTCTCAATTTGACTCGAAAAGCTTCCCGGATGTCCCAAGGCAGGAGACTGAGCCAGAAGAATTGAGCGTCGATGGAGGCGAAGGAGAGTCTAGTGTATCGCAGAAGCCGAACGATTACAATGACGAGGAGTGGGAGATCAAATCCTCTATCGGGATGGACACTACTCTTGATATGGAGGTATCTTTCTATCTATCTATATATGTTGAAAAGGCCTAGTTGATTTTTCCAGTTTTCATCATGCTAAAGCTAAAGATTCTCTATATTTTTCAGGAAGAGGAAGACGAAAATGACAAAGTGGCTGTAGGCGACGAATTGTACGGTTACACGAACGATGTAAATGACTATGAGACGGAGGCAGACGAGTGGGTGGAGCTTCCAACCTCCTTGAAAGAAAGAGAGAAGGATCCGCGTGCAAATCACATCGCAGCTGAGAATAGGCTTAAAGAAGACGCTGAGGCTGTTAACAAATTGATTTCTTTGCACGTCTCTGAGGTACTTTTAATCTTTCCCTCTTTTTATGCCTGTTACTTGCATTCTGATCATAGTTTCTCACCGTCCTGTGTCTCGGCATGTGCTTTAGAGTAACTATTTACTGTTATTTTCCGAATCCAAAATCGTCATCTAAGAAAAGATGGACTCTTTTGCAGGTACATGAGGATGATCTGTCCATGTCCACGTCTGAAAAAGAGAAAGCTCTGGTGGTGTCTGAGGACTTGTTGGGGGATAACAAAGAGATAGATGTTGGCTCTGCAGATGATAGTGGGCTGAAACCGATACTGAAGAGGAAAGAAAACCATGCTGATTCTAAGTTGCAGAAGCGTGTTCGGTTTAGTGCTGAAATAGGAGATGACAAGTGTAATGGAGGTGACAAAGATACTGTGATGGAGACAAGTTCCCCGGAGGAGAATACAGTGCAGCCAGACTATCCGTGTGGGATTCCAGATTATATGCGAAACCCATCAAAGTACACGAGATACACATTTGATGAAGGCGAGGTTGATGAAGAATCAAACCGGAAAGCATACATGGACTTTCTCAACATGATTAGGAGGCGAGATGAGCCTGTAGTAGACCCTCTTGTTGAGCTTCCAAGTTCAGTGGCTTTTGTACCCAAGAGAAAACCAATGGCTGAAAGCAAAGTAGAGAACGTAGACAAGGGTTGCGAGGGAAGAAGAGGCGCGATAGCTGTCGTAGATACCATAGAGGACAGCACCTTGTCTGCCATGGAAGAAGATGAACCGGAAACTGCTCTAAATGTCAAAAGAAGACCTGGTCGCCAGTATCGAGCCAGAGCCAAGGATGATCAAGAGGAATGAATGTTGAATATCTTCAAATAATTTCGCATTGCTGCCGTTTTCTTCATATTACTTTGAATTTGGCTGTCTGGCTAACTTTAATTCAAAATTTGTGGAAACTTCCTGATGTTACTTTCGATTCAATAATGATTTTAGTTGCGAGGTTGCGAGGTTATAGTAATACCAACTCATATACGTTTATATAAGTCAATGGAGGCAGCATCAAATCTGCTTAGGTTAACACAACAACATAGACGAAAATGCAAATTCTACACCGTCCAATAGATATTAAAATTGTACGCTGCAGAATATGTTGAAGTCTCCCGCAAAAAAACTTGGTAAGGGTCCACTTGGGAGATAGTTGCTATATACTCCCCAACAAATATGTTGTTACCCCACAGCATTACTAATTTTTACTCCAAAATATGATGCCAATATACTGATTCTTCTTCTCCTTGTTAGTATAGTCGTTTCCTGCAATGTAATGCTCCACAGTAGCAAGTAAGCTGTTTCACCTCCCCGTCCGGCCCATGAACGCTACCAAGCGTATATCCATAGTCGTAAGTGAGCTCCTACAATAGAGACAAGAGGGTGTTTAAGGCTTTTATAGAAAGAGCGTGTTTGAGTAAGTCACCCCCAACGGATTGAGTTATCGGTACCTGCAGTGGTGGAATGTTGTCAGCTGCAAACAGAACCACACGGGCAAGCTTTATATCCTGGTGGGAGCTCAGGACGCACTGAACAAATAGGTTTGGTTCACAGCTGTGGTTGATGAACCTTGCAAAGTTCCCTGTTGAACCAGCATCGATGCAGAACTCTGGTGCATTCTCCTCTCCATTGCTCTCACTGACTTTTGTTTCCGTTGGTACAGCTACGTCCCTTAGTCTTCTCTGTTGGCAAGAAAAAAACAAGCTCTAGCTCAATAAAAACAAAAAAAAACCCATGATTGATTCAATAATAATCAGATAGCAAAATAATCTTCTCTCTATGTTACCTGTCTTCCATCAAGACCTTGCATTGTCTGTTGGCAGTCAATCTCAAATATGTAGTCGTTGTCAATAATAGTATCCACATCGTCAGTTCTTCTAAGGATTCCTATGTACTCACAGACTGGTGACCCAGCTGGTATGAAGTCCCATGATCTAACTGCCCAACCCTTCTTTGGAGAACGAAACACCTATTTGAGGCCACAGACCAAAACACCAATGGAAGAAACTCAGGCTTCAGATTGTCATGTGTCCGCTAGGCATAATACGCTTGGATTCCAAAAGGACTTCAAATATGACAAACACTTGCAACTTTCTTATTAACAGAAAACGGATTGTGGACTATATATAATGAAATCAAGTGAGTGGTTTTTTCTCTCTAATTAAAAAATCCAATTTTTAATCAGCTATCAAGGTGTTGTTTTCACTTTAGTGGCAACTGGATGTTCCTTACTATGTCTTTTCCAAAACATACCTCGATATTAAATCTTAGTTGCTTCTGAGAAGTTCTGTTGACACATTCAGGCCCACACCCACAGTTTGGACCACATTCAAATACAACATCTCGAGGCTCAATTAATCTGAAAAGGAAAAAGACAGAAAATCAACCCAATCAATGTTCAACTCTAACCATTTACCGTAGCATTCCACCAAGAGCCCTGATAGTCAAAGCTCATGGAAAAAGAAGTAAGAGAATGAAACGGCAATCGCAGAAGACACTCCTGTCGTTGCAGACTTCAGTTCAAAAACTCATGCAAAAACAAACGAATGAACAATGTCGCCACAAGGAATTTCACCTGCCATCATTGAGGTCGACATAAGGAAAGTTCCCCCCATTAAGCTTAGCACATGCACATTTCTTCGCATCAGTGCAGCTCCCTCGACAGTTACACCCAGTTGAGCTCTTTGGAATTTTGACATTGGGCACAACCTTCAAAGAGTTGATGTATGTGAACCCTGAGACTTGAAAAGAGGATAATTCAGCTCCTGTTATATCACTAGTTAGGTACTAACACTAATATTAAGTTCTATTTCTACTTCAACTCACCTGATGGTGAAATTGGTGGATCATCAACTCGATTAGTGGCTGGAATGCGCTTAGCTTCTAGTCCTTTAGAGATGTCCTCGCATACCAAGCTTCACAGAAACGTGGCATTAGTAGATGTTAAAATGCAACCAATTGTATAATAATAAGGAAAAAAATTAAACATATACCCCTGAATCTCTGAAGTGGATTTTGGTATGCGTCCATACACAAAGTTGACCTGCAAATGATAAGAAACAAAAGTAGAGTAAAAATGCATGAAAATAGATCAACTTGTAGTAAACACATATCCGCACTAGGTAATTAGAATACAGAGTGATATATTAAAAATAGCAGCTATCATAAATCATAAGACAAGATAATAGACATGCCTGATTAGTCGTTAGTTCTGGTTGCCCCTCCATTCGTTTCAGTTGATACTTATACACTGTAAATCCTGAAACGCCCTTTTCTGCCCAGTACTTTATAACCTATAAGAAGAATGTGTGAAACCGGACCAGAGTCACACCAATGGATAAGGAAAAACATAAGACCTTTGACGTATCGGTGAAGAACAAATTTTCCCTTGGGAATCTCGCATTTAGGAAACCAAAGATAATATTACAGATAAAAAGATCTCAAGACCAATAATGAAGGGATATAAGCACGAGTACCTGGTACAATCCATCATAGGTGTATACTTTTTTGGAATAGCTACTTTTGCACTCGTGACCACGAGTAACTCTGACAGGTACATTTTGATCTAAACAATTCTGAAACGGATGCAAACAATACGTAAGCTCCATGTGACAGAGCGTGAGGTAGGTGCATGAACTAACGAAAAGTAGGGAGAGCTAGAAATCAAATCTGAAATGATAAGACGATAGATTGCACTCTTCATAAGAAGATTAGAAAGAAAGCAGACCTTCAGGCCCATATTCCCTCGTACTAACTCTTGATCCTTAATCTGGCGTTTATTACCACATAAGTTATTCCCTCCCTGACCAGTGTAAGTCACCACATCTGCATTGTCTAGATCGTCCTCATACTGGCCCGACATAATGATCGAAATAGCAAGCGGAAACTTGTAGCTACTATACTCCTGTAGTGGAAAGAAAAAAAGTGAAATTAAGAGATATTATGAGATACCTAATACATTAGATAACAAAAAGGCATGCTGTTTTACATTTTTGTAATCGGTTCCCATATAATCGATGCCATTTAGCCAATGGCTATGGAAGCCTACAGCAACCATTTCAGCCCTTGAAAAGAAACGGTGTCCAACGTCAATACCTGCAAAAGCCAGTGTGATGAGAATATCATAATTAACACTGTACAAGAATTTTTTAACAACCAAAGCTTAAGCTTGTGGCTTGGAAGTAAAACGTGGGAAAAGAAACAAAGCTGTAAAAGCAAAAATCACCAACCAACCTGGAAGGTCACCTATCCTTTTCCTTGAGTACAATACTGCATTGGCTCGCCTCACCTGGAAAATTGTCTTAATGGCTTAGGTCAACATACTTTGAAGATTACAGAATCGATAAACCATCATATATGCAAGAAGATCAAATATAAGACATTATGCTTAGCAGGACATGGTGATATCTCTGATAGACAAATAGGTTCGACATAGACACAAGTGTATTTGCACCAACAAAGTTAACAGTTATTTGCTCATTTTTACATTTCTCGAGCTAGTATTTATTTGGCTTTGGCATCTTGTAATGCCATGAGCCAGAAGAATGCCACGGTACATAGCATTCTCTATTACCTATTCCTAGTAGTATTACCGAGGTTTACGAGGCTTAGGATCTTAGGATATCATCAAACAAACAAACCAACATCAAAGGTCAAAAAAATCAGAGAGAATATAAATACTTGCCTCAGTAATCCCTTTCAAATCAGGTCTGCTCAACTTAGCCTACAAAACAGTTGATCAACACAAGTCAATCATAAACACAGTATTAGCAGAAACTAAACCATTGCTGGAGACAAAAAGGGGGGAAAAACCACAAACCTGGACCATAAGGAGATACTGCTTGTTGAAAAACCTCAGATTTTTCCTCACTTTGTGGTGAGCGTCCTCGTCCACTCCGTTTCCACTCGCGTAAAAGTCTCCTTTTTTCTTTCCTTTCTGCATTTTGGTTAGAGTCGAAGGGCTTCTTCGTTTGGGGCTCACATGGACAGCCTCCTCTACCTTCTCTTGCGACTCACCGTTTTCAGTGTTTTTATCGCTGTGGGACTTTAACCTCTCGCGTGCAAGGCGTGCCTTCTCGTCTAGCTCTTTCTGTCTCTGCTCCTGAACCCGGGAACTACATCGTCGTAGCTCCTTTCGCTCCGGATTATTTGCTAGTTTCCTTTTTCCGGCCATCAGTATCACACTTTTTCCCCCGGAAAACAAAACCCACAAGCTCACAATCGAATACAGTAGGGCTTCAAATTGAGACACAAACCAAACAAATACAAATCTGAAGACGAAAAAATAGGCCGAGAGGGAAAGAAACGAACCAGTAAATTGCTAAGCTGAGCGGAGAATACAGGTGAGACTGAGAGAACTGAGAAGCTCAAGACTGAAACTGGAGAAGACGAGAAGATATATTTTTCTTTCACTTTCTTTTGTTTTTCTTATTTTTTTTAATCTCTTTTTTTTTAATGTATTAATCTGAAATAAATGTGCCTCTTTCCCGGTTTCAACTTCTCGGTTTCCCTCGCACCCAAAAAAAGAAGGAAACTTCTCGGTTTCCCTCCTAAAACGTAAATAATGTCGGAACTCAAAGAATGAGATGCAATTGTTTTTATTGGGCTTCTAAAAGCCCATTTATTAAATAAATGAGTATGGTGAAGACAGCCCGTTACGTTGAATTTGACATCCGTATCGCAAAGCCCATCTTATGTTCTCCCCCCCGTAAATGCATTCTTTTCTTTTTCTGGATATTCAAGTAAATTCTTTTTTAGAAAAGGAAAGATCGGTCCGGTCCGGTCCGGTTCGGTTCGGTTCGGTGTCAGAAACAAATAAGGGTGTAGAAAAGTGGAAACGGAAGCAGTGGTCCATGGTGGGCGAAGCAGCAGGGTGTTTGACGGCTACTTAACGGAGCCCAAAAAATCCTCTTTTGCCTTATCTTCCTCCCAAACAAATCTCTCTCCTCGTCTCTTCTCTTCTCTTCTCTGCTCTGCGGCCGTTGAGTCTCTCTGTCCAGGTATACTCCTTTTGTTGCTCCCCTGCTCTAGGGTTTCCTTGAATCTCCCCAATTTCACCACTCCCTTCTCCAATTATCTGGACTTGGTTCCTTGCTTTATCGCATTGCTTACCCCTTCCTGATTGTATAAATTCTTAACTCGATCTTCGCTCTCTCCTTCTGGGTTTTGTGTCAGATAGACCAAGAGATTGAATATTCCAGCCCAATCGATCATCGACAACCAATCGCCGCTCTCTTCTTATTCAGCCGTATGAAAGTCAGTACTTTTGTTTTTAATTTGGTTCTTGAATCAGATGATGTTACTTCGTTGTTTGCATTTTGGACTCTCATGTTAGGCTGTACGTAAATTTCAATTTTTGTCGATCGCTTGTTACACTAAGTCACGCCGCGTTTCTCTATGGACTCCTCAGAATGGCAGCTGATCAGAGGAGAAAGCGGATGAACAGTGCCAATGTCATTGGTTTCAGTTCGAGGGAGCATTACAGAGCCAAAAGGAAAAAGATTGGATCACCTGATGGTGCTTTGCGTTCGGGAGATCACATCAGTCTAGAATGGGACCGCAGCCGAAGTAAAGTAGTCTCTAAGAGGGAACAAGTTGGCCTAAGTTTGAGGCATCTTCGCGAATTTGTTGATTTCGTTCCTCCTAGGCGGAATCCCTTGGCACAAGTATGCCCCGTTCCTCACGAAACTTTCCAGTTGGAAAATCTCTCAGAAGTGCTTTCTAACGAGGTATTACAGTGCTGTCATTACGTAGCATCTGCTTACCACCCTCCTTCAGATATTAAGTTTTCACCATTTTTTCTGCACCTTTGTTTCTTAGGTCTGGCGGGCTTGTCTATCTGATGGCGAAAGAAACTATCTGCAGCAATTCCTCCCTGAGGGAGTTGATGTGGAGCAAGTCGTACAAGCATTGTTTGATGGGGACAATTTTCATTTTGGCAATCCTTTTCTTGATTGGTTAGTGACACTGAACTTTTTTTGGTTTTGGATTCCAAGAATTAACTCTGTGATTGATTGCTAAGCGAAAGCCGGCTGTTTTGGCTTTAAATAATGTCGAGCTCTATGATCGGCCTTTATGTCCTCAATTTGAATGTGAGTTTGTGTTTCAGGGGAACAGCTGTCTGCTCCAGTAAAGCTCATCCAGATCAAATTGTTTCTCGGGAGGACTGCCTGAGGGCAGATAAAAGGAGATATCACTCGGACTTAGAGAAATACCATAATGAGTATGTGCAGTTCTCTCTATTCAGATATCAGGAGCACTTGGAATGTTTGTCCACATGATTGTAACTCCTCTTTCCATTGTTTCTGGTAGTATTATAGATTACTTGCAGATGTTGAAAGAGAAATGGGAAAGCTGCAAAGATCCAGAGAAGGATGCTGTTAAGAAGATGTGGAGGTCAGTGCTTTAGAATTGTCTATTTAAAAGGAGAACTGTTTAGACTGTAATGTAAACAAAGCAGATACATTAAAAAAAGGGTGTAGTTTGGAGGGGAATATATAGTCAAGCAATAAATGCTTCTGATTATAGTATGAGCCTTACAGAAGATGAATTTATGTTGAGCTTGAGTCTAGTAATTATGATTCACCGATTGTCTGTTGCGTACATTGATTCCTTTAGGAGATCAAGAGGAGGCAATGCACATGTAAACGGTAGCTGTCAGGATCTGACTGCTGCCTCGGAGTCTAGTTCCTGGAATGCAGATGATAAACCATGCAGTAGTGATAATAAGATTTCTCCTATTGTAAGGACCGGAGAGGTTCAGAGAAGGTGCTGAACATAATCACATATATTATTTCACATGTGTTCCTTACACCAAATCGCATGCTAATTCCTTTTTATACATTTCAGGCCCAAGAGTTATGCTGTAGATAAAGAAAAATCTCAAAGTCCCTTGATTGCTCAAGAGAATGTTGTAAACGTGGGCGTGAAATCTAGAAAAAAGGACAAGCTACCGAAACATAGCATTCAGCAAACTGATGGTGCTAAATACATGTCCTACCTCAAGGTTAGTTATTCTTCTGCTTTCCTTACTTTATTTAGTTCATAAGCATGCTGGCATATGGATCCATAATATCACCAATCATAAAACAACAGTAAACTGGCTATCCCAAAGTTTTATTAGCTTAAAATATAATTAGAATGTTCTGATTTCCAGGATACACTGCATGAATGGTATTTGAAAGTAGGACCATAACTTGAAGTTGTTTGATAATTAAACTATCGTTATCCTATGTTGCTTTCGTTGGGCTGATTGTGCAGTTGTCTCAAAAACTCAAGCATTTAACTGCATTTTATATATTCAGATAAGCAAGAAGCAGCATCAGATTGTTACAAGCATGAAGCAGTCTGGTAAAAGCATTCAGTCGAGAGCACTTAATCGAATCTTAGGTGACATCAACAATTTGGATGTTCAACCATACGGAGTGTTTGTGGAAGAAGAACAGAAGAAACTGAATGCTCACTGGTCAGTATTCCTTGTGAAACAAGCGGCTTCCTTCATCAGGCCTTTAAATATGTTATTTTAAACCTCAGCTATTTCATGCAGGCTGCAACTGGTTAAAGATCTTCCTGCAGCATTTGCAATATGGAAAAAGCTTCAGTTACAGAAGCGAGATATAATCAAGTCCTTGGAAAGAGACCTGAAGGACAAACTTAATCCATGGATGGAGGTTTGCTAAATCCATAAACATGTATTATATATTGTTGCTCATTCCCATGTTATTAACGACTTTCTCGGGTACAGGATAAACAACAACTGCACCCTGCAGAAAATCCTCTGCAGAAGCATGATGTTCAATTAGACTTGAGGAAGAACGATCGAGAAAGTTTAAATCCAAATAAGAGTGGTGATTTAGCACCGGATGTTGAAGATTCTGGAAGTTTTGGTCAAGTTTCTGCCGTGAATTACTCCCTTTCAAAGGATTCTTCGTCTGACGGTGACCAAATTACAGATTCAGGTCGGTGCTTGCAAGTTGGCACATATCCCTCACATGTTTCGTCACCAGATTGTGACAATGGCATCAATCTTGCGGATGTAGAAGGAAAACGATATGTTACTCCCAGCAAGTGTCATGGCCTTAATCGAAAGGATGTTGAAGCAAATGATTATTCCAGCTCCATGCAAGGCCAGTCTCTCCTACAGGCTTCATTTCCTAGTGAGCCCCACGCTTCAAGTCTCGAAGATGCGATTCCTGTAGGCAAAAACTGTGTACCAGAACTAGAGAGTGCTTCATCAGACGAGAGGACTCCTTGTGTTACTTCAAGCCATGGAGAAGAGTTGCAGTTTTGTTCTGGTGGAGATGTGTGGCGGCCAGTGGGAGGAATTAGGCAGTCCTACATTGGCCGCCAAGCTTACACCCCCAGTGGTGGATTGTCAATCATACACCGTCCTGAAGGTGGTGAAGAAGAGAAAAACTGTTTCATAAACCTTGAATCGGACATGCCTGAAGAAGTTGATAGAAGGAAGATGTTGCAGCAGAAGGCAAACAACGGTTTTGGTTCTTTCCCTAACAATGATCAAAATGAACTCCTTCAGTCTTTGTTTAAAGGCCAAGGCGTGGCATCTCGCACCACTGAGCAGCTTCACTCTCTTCTCAAAGTCCCGCTTAACGAGGAGCATAAACATATTATGAACAGTGGTTTTCAGCAGGAAGGAAGCAACAATCTGATGGAGAGCAGTCAATTTTCTGGTCAGTTCCAGCATCAGATGACTGCACAACATGCACTATCCCAGGACCAGCAAAGACAGGTTAACATATATGGCCAAGGAAGCATGACAGACAACATTTACTGCGATGGACGTGGATTCTTGATGCAGCGGCCGGACTGGAACACCAGTGTTACTCAGATTGGAGTCGCCACGCAGCCCATGTTAAACACTGGCCCTTTGTTAAATCAGAACTGGCAGTTTAAGAGCATGTGGGCAAACACAAACGGCGTTGGATGTGCTAGCCAAAGCAGTCATACCGGGACAGAGAGAGATCTGAATCTTCTCAGAGTTGCTACTAACGCGGAGCAGATCGTTCAGCGGGGAAGCAGTCCAGATCAAAGCTTATTCTCTGTTCTCTCTCAGTGCAGTCAGTTGCGCCGTTCAAGATCTGCTTTTGAGCCAGAAACTTCGAGTGGTCAAGTGGTTGCATCCGGTAACTACGAAATGCTGATGGGGGGAGGCACAACTCAGGTAGGCAGCAATTTGGCTCAGCCTAGGAACCCGCTTGATTACTTGAGTGGTAGCAACCACCCGGCAACATCTTTGATGCCAGATGATGTAGCGTGGATGAACCAGAGTCGCCAGAACTCTAGCCTCCATGACCCACTAGGCAAGCTGTATCCAAGGTCATGGAATCCATAACCATGTTTGTGAAGTTTTGCATTGCAGAAGACGCACCTGGTCATCTTTAAGATATACAAAACCCAGCATGGGTTTTCTTAGCTTTCGTTTATTTATCTTGTGCCTGTACATAGAAAGATACAGAGGAAGTTTTTGCTTTGTACATATTTAGGTTTCGAGATATGGACTAGGAAAAAGGTGAGGATTTCTCAAGCTACCTTTTTATTTGTTTTTTACAATTTCTCTTTTCACCTTCTTCTCTCTAAAGTTAGTGATTGTTTAATTCCTTTTCACATAAAATTGTTGGAAAATACAAATGTCTATAATTTACTCTGTTTTCTTGATTCCCCACATATGTCTTCTCCTTCATATGGAAATTGTGGCTCAAGTTACTTAGGTACTACTATACTCCTACTGGTCTTGGATTTTCATTTGGTAGTTTATAAAACAGGTACCGAGCTGTCCGGTCTGACCTGGTCGATGGAGTTAACATCATGTGAGGAATCAGGATGTGTGCAAGTGCATGTAGAAGAGATACGGAGGAGGTGTCAATGTCTTGGTCCCACGTGTGTGAGGTTGGTTGCAACGCGCTCTTGTGAAGCTTATCCTCCGTGATTTATTCGGTGGGCTCCGGTTCACTAAGTACAATTGGCGTGGAATTGGCCACACACCCACTACTCATTTACTCTTGGCTCTCTACACACAACAGACAACACAAGGAGTAAAAGATTTTCTTTTGAATTTTTCTCAACAACACAAGGAGCCAATTTTGTTCCACTATATTCCACCGGCCATAATATAATGTTGGGTTAAGAAGTCAGTATAAACATCTTTAAAGCGGACTCCAAATAGCATAATAGGAAGTAAAGAAGATGGGGCACATTCAAAGTTTATGCATATATACCTTTTTTTAGAGGGAACTAACTAACCATTTTCATTTTATTTGAAGGACTAAAAGTAGTATTGAAAAGAAAAAAAAACAGTGAGAAAAAGACAAACAATCACTTAGGTGCATGGGTCTTTGTTTTCTCATTTATCATCTTTTTGTGACTTGTGAGGGACACAATAATGAAGGAGTTGTCAAATTTTTATATTAAAAAAGTAAAAATGTCGTCGAAAGGGTCAAGTGAATGTGGCTTGTAGCTGAACGTAGAATAGTATCCAACAATCACACAAAGAAAGAGAGTTCGAATAGAAGAGAAGAGAGGGAAAATTATAAACCAAACTTTCAATTATAATCTTTTTCTAAACTGAAACAATAATCCGATTAGAATGAAACTCAATGAAGAACGATCAACATGAATGATCATGATGACACTTGGGTGACCACCATTTTGTCCTTTAGCTCCAATATTAAATATATTGTAGACACATTAACTACTACATATGTGTTCGCTACATGACCAGACTATTCATCTTTCTGCTCGAGATGTATTCACTGTTTTTTCCCTTAGGATTTTGAAATATTCCGTTGCGGTTTTGAAAATTACCCCTAGATTCTTTCCTACGGCTGCTTCAGATTACTTTTTGGAGTTTTTAGGTTCTTTATTTTTGCTGGTTTTTTAGGCTTTGATTCTCTGGAGTTGAATCCTAAAGTGGGAAAATGGCGGAGGAGTACAATGAGGCGTTGTTGGAGAAGCACAAGTACCACGAGGGATGTCCGGGATGTAAAGTGGAGCAGATGAAGCAACTCCGGAGAGGATATCCTTACCTCGAGCTTTCCCTCGTTTGGATCATCGTCCTCTCCACTTGTAACACCTCTTTCCCTTTATCTGATTCTCTAAACAGTTTTTTTATTCTGAGATGGGTGGCTAATTTGCTTAGGATTAGAGTTGGCTACTTGTGAGAAAGCTTTCTTGTGTTGAAAGTAATGATTCGTTATGCAGCATTCTCATTTCACTTTCATGTCTTTGCAGCTCTGCCGATTTCCTCACTGTACCCCTTCCTCTATCATATGGTGAGTAATTTGATTTCAGAGCTTAAGAGCTACCATGTTATGGATCTGGTCATTTCTATGATTTTTTTTTCTTTTTTTGTCATGTTATTAGACAATTAAGGGGGTTTAAAAATTGATGAAATACCACATGGCATACAATACCTTTCTTTTTTTTTCACATGCTGTCAGTATTCCATGTCTTGTTGTGTTTTGATAGATTGGGGATTTTGGTGTTGCTGAGACGGAGAAAGACATTGGCTTTTACGCTGGCTTTGTGGGTGAGAAGATATTGCTTTAGTCATTTTGTTATTCTGTGCATTTACTCTACTTTCTGTTCTATAACTAATCTCTGAATACTTGGAAGGGTGCTCGTTTATGCTTGGCAGAGCACTGACATCAGTGTTCTGGGGAGTTGTGGCTGATCGGTATGGAAGAAAACCGATTATACTCTTGGGAACGATCACAATGTTAGTAATATATCCTTAAACATTACTGTATCCCCCTGTTTTATGTCTAGATGGCTGATCATGTGGTGTTTGCAGTGCCATTTTCAATACTCTTTTTGGCTTAAGCTCAAGCTTTTGGATGGCAATTGGCACGAGGTTTCTTCTTGGGAGTTTCAACTGTTTGCTTGGAACAATGAAGGTGACCTCTTTGTTCCCACTGTATATCTCCTGGTTTATTTTTTGGTTCTGCACACCAGATTGTCAGTTGCATTTTCTCATATGTAATTGTTAATGTGAAAATTTTCAGGCCTATGCATCAGAGATAGTTCGCGATGAATATCAAGCTACAGCAATGTCAGCTGTATGCTTCTTCTCCATCATGACGTTTGTAATTATATATGTTTGGTTCATTTCAAGGTGTCATGACGTTTGTAACTTTACTCATTTCAGGTAAGTACTGCTTGGGGCATTGGACTGATCATTGGCCCTGCTCTAGGGGGCTTTTTAGCACAGGTATAACACATTTCGCCTTGCTGCAACGTTCCTGCTTACTATTGATTCATATTTAACTTTGTACCGTTCTAACTTCTAACTAATGTCTTTCAATGTTTCCCAAAATCAGCCGGCAGACAAATATCCAAATGTGTTCTCCAAAGGATCCATTTTTGGAAGGTGTGTATACTTACTCCTCTGTTTCAAGAGTTTATTGGAAGGGATATCTCATGATATAAACACGCGCATTGCAATGCAGGTTCCGGTACGCCTTGCCTTGCTTTATCATATCAGCTTTTGCATTGCTTGTGACAGTACTATGCTGCTTCATACCGGTACTCTATATTTCTGCCAGAGTCTTTCTCTTCATTTTCGAGTCTTGGCTATATTAATACATTTCGCACATAGCTCACCACCGAGTTTCCTATGTCTTTCACCGAGTAGGAAACACTGCACAATCATAAATTGGACAACGCATCACATAATGATTCAGACGAAATGGTTGAAGTTGCATCACGTGAATCCACTGCTCTCTATAAGAATTGGCCCCTTATGTCTTCTATCTTTGTGTACTGTGTTCTGTGTCTACATGATACTGCATACTCAGAGGTAAACTGGGATTTTTCTGTTAAAAATTATCAAATTTTAAAAAATCATCATCACTCGGAATCTGCATATGCAGATATTTTCACTATGGGCTAACAGTCCAAGGAAATATGGAGGTCTGAGCTATTCAACCAATGACGTCGGCACAGTTCTTGCTATCTCAGGTATGCAGAACATCCTCGCTCCTCATGTCTTGTGTTTTAGTGATAAGAGCTTGTGAATATATATGATGATTAGAGTATGCGTTGCTCTGAATCTGTATGAGAGTTTAAGTAAGTAATCAGAACTCTTATATGTAAATTTGAGATTGTTATTACTCATCAACACTTCTTCTTTAGGTCTCGGCCTATTCTCCTTCCAGGTTTTTGTTTATCCTTGGGCCGAGAGACTGCTAGGACCTGTGCTGGTCACCCGTTTTGCTGGGGTCAGTTGATATTTCCTTTGATGCTTCTCTGCAGATTATACAATGTAGTGCACTTGAATACAACATGATGGAGATCGTTCTTCTGACAGTTTCTTTCGTTGCAGGCCCTGATGATACCAATACAGATGAGTTATCCATTCATAGCAAATTTATCAGGTCTCAGCCTAAGCCTAATGTTGAACTGTGCATCAATCCTCCTAAATGTGCTAAGTGTAAGTCCAAAAGCAAAAGCAAATCCTTTTTCTTTCTTTCTCCTTTGTGTGTATGTAATTTACATAAAGCCATGTAAAATATATTTCTCGTCTGCTTAATTACGATATAGTTTTTGTGTGTATATAGGTGTCTGCCATAACGGGCTTGTTAATCCTGCAAAATAAAGCTGTGGTAAACGGACATTCTTTAATCTTTTGTAAACCTTGGACCAATAATCTATTCTCTTGCAACTTTAATGTTTATTTTGGTATGAAACAACAAAAAAAAAACAACAGGATCAGAGCCAAAGAGGTGCGGCTAATGGAATTGCCATGACTGCGATGTCTCTCTTTAAGACCGTTGGACCAGCTGCCGCTGGCATCTTGTAAGTGACGTTGCGAATAAACACACAAGTAAACTCAAAGAAGCAGCAATGTTCTTAACACACAAATCACTATTGATGACAGATTTTCTTGGAGCGAGAGACGACTAGACGCTGCATTTCTACCAGGTATCCACTTACTTCCCTTTGGCCATTATTTGATCATAATCTTAGTACTAATGCTTAACACAAATGATTTGAAAACGTATGCAGGATCGCATATGGTGTTCTTCGTCCTGAATGTGATAGTCTTGGTCAGTGTAGCTCTCACGTTCAAGCCTTTTCTAACCACGGCTCGAAGGTGAAACTCAATCAACGAGTCCATACATTAGAGAGGAGATTTTGTTTGATGAAAGGCTAAAAGCAACATGAACATAAGAAGCAGTGTGACTCTGAGGAAAGCCACCATCACCATGTGGTTCAGGTTTCATCAGCAGAGGCAAGCTTGGTGAGGTCGTAGAGGAAGCTATTGGGTGGATGTTTTGCTCTGTGGCTACTTCATCGATGGTGAACTGGTTAGAGGATCAAGGCCAACAGTTTTGTCATCCTCACAGATGCGGCTCATCTCTTGTTAGATGTTGCAGCCTTTGCCATATCCTTGTTCTCTCTCTGTGAAGCTCATGATATGAAACAAGGATATGGAAACTGATGCAACATCGGCCAAGATATGAGCTGCATCTGTGTGAATGGCAAGAGTGTTGGCCTTGACCCCTCAAACCACTTTGACGGTGATGGTAATGCCACATACCAATAGCCACCAATATTAGAGAACACTTTTTTTTTTGGTCTTACTATATAACTTGGACAGAGTCTTGTAACAATTTTGGTTTGGTGGAAGAGACAACAAAAATTTGTCATATGATATTTGCAATGGTTAAGAAAAATCTTTCCGGTTTAAAAACATTGGTTTATAAATAAATAGTAAAGTTAGATTTTGGAGTAAAAACGGAAATAACTAACCAACTAGGAGAAATGGAGAGGAAAATTAAGTAGAGATGTGAGAGGAGGAGACTTAACAAAAGAACATCCCCTCCGAGAAGAATGGTGAAGCCACAAATGAACAGAAAAAACTATGAAGCTTCTTGTTTTGTTTTACTTTCTTTTCTTTTTTTCTGAATCGTAAAAAATTATCATTTGAAAGGCATCTGCAAGTTTTTGTTAGTCAGAAATAAAGACAAGATTAAGATTAAGATGGGGGTGAAGAATAAAGAGGTGATCAGACTGGAGAGAGAAGCTGTGATCCCAATTCTAAAGCACAAGCTCACCACTGCCTTGTCCCTTCACTTTGGTCTCCTTTTCTACATATTTCATTGTTTCTCTCTGCTACATTCCTCTGTTTCTCCCTCTTTTATAAAAAAATTCTACATATTTTGATCATTCTCCAGCGGAGAAATGGGAGAGAGAGGAGTTCCTGAGATTCTGCAAGAGAGTGGAATCCACCATTAGAGCTTGGTACCACCTTCACTTTGAGGATCTTATGGTATATATATATCACCAATCCAATCCATCATCTTTCAGTCTTTCTTGTTAATCAAATTTTTTCTAAGTACAAGTGATTGTGTTTGTAGCAACTGTATTCACTCTTTGAGCCCATCCGTGGCGCTCACAGGCTTCAGCAACAGAATTTATCTCCTGAGGGAATCGATGCTCTTGAACACCAGTTTCTTCTTCATTTGTTCGAGGTTCAATCTTTCATTCCACTCCATTCTTTTTCCCTAACTACAAAAATTAACAATGAAACTGAAACGAGAGACATCTCATAGGTCATGGAGAAGAGCAACTTCAAAGTGATAACTAATGAAGAAATACAAGTAGCTCTCTCTGCTCAGTATCGTCTCAATCTTCCTATTGTAGTTAATGAAACCAAGGTACGTACCTCTCTACTATGACAATCTTCAACAAATTTTTGGAAATGACATATTTCATGATCCTTGATGTAGCTTGATACAAGGTTGTTGACAAGATTCTTCTCCAAGTTTCCCAGCGATGATCTTCCTCATTTTGCTAATAAGGTTACTGCTTTCTACTAATTAAGTATCATGCATCCAACAAACTGTTTTCTCTTACCTAATATATGTTTTTGTCCCTAAAGTATATAATATTCAGACGTGGGTTTGGGATAGATCATATGAAAGCTTACTTCTTCCTAGCCAAAGTAAATACAATCCTTGTCCGTATTTGGAAATGTCTACTCACCATCACATGGTGAGTTACCTCGCTCTCTCTCTCTTTTGTTGCTGACTTGCTGTATATATATATACAGCTGATGAATGCTATCAAACTGCAAAACTTATACTCAGAGATTTTCTGTTGCAGCTTAAAAGGACTTGTATATGGGAAGAAGAATGAAACAGGGCTTTCAGAACAAATAGATATTAGCATCGAAACAGAGAAGGATAGTTTATACATCGAACGAATCCGCATAGAGAAGCTGAAGCTCAGGTTTCTCAATTATTTCTTCTTTCTTTTTCAAAAGGCTTATCATTGACTTGTCTCTGTTTTTTTTTTTTTTTTTTTGTGATCATTGATTCAGTCTCTCCAACTTGATGAAAAAGATAACCATCCAAGAGCCCACCTTTGAGAGAATTATTGTAGTATACAGGTACAAGAGTAGAGTAATGGTGAAATCTTTGGAGGGATGTGAGTTTGATTCTCATTTTGGCTTTGGATTCACATACACGCAGGAGAGTTTCAGGGAAGAGAGAATCAGAAAGGAACATATATGTGAAACACTTCAAGAGCATTCCTATGGCTGATATGGAAATTGTGCTTGTAAGCATCCATTAACCAACACTTTGTGCTCAAATGTATCTTACTAATTATAAATTAACTGATTGCTCATAACGGCACAGCCAGAGAAGAAAAATCCAGGTCTTACGCCACTGGACTGGGTCAAGTTTCTTGTCTCTGCTGCCATTGGACTGGTCAGTTCTGCTACACTATTCTAAAGACTTTAATAATCAGACTCTGAAAATTTTGATTTCTCAAACTCTGCTTTTACAGGTCACAGTGGTTAGTTCAGTGAGCCTAAAAAAAACTGACATCAGAGTCATTGCTGCCATACTTAGCACGGTCGTGGCCTACTGCGTTAAAACATATTTCACGTAATCTACACTCAATAATCAGACAACACCCTCGCTTATAGCTAAATTAATCCTTAATTAGCTCTGTCTCTTCCTCTGTATGAAATGTAGGTTCCAGAGAAACTTGGTAGATTATCAGAGCCTTATCACAAGATCTGTGTATGATAAGCAGCTAGACAGTGGAAGAGGCACTCTGCTTCACCTCTGCGATGAAGTCATCCAACAAGAGGTGCTAATAAATAGTCCTTTTTTCTTATTTTTCTTATGTCATATTCTTGTGTTTTGCTAATTAAAAAACTGATCAAACGCAGGTTAAAGAGGTCATTATTTCCTTCTTCATGCTGATAAAGCAAGGGCGTCCCACGAGCAAGGAGGAGCTTGACATGCAAAGTGAAGCATTCATCAAAGAAGAATTCAACGAAAGTTGCAATTTCGATGTGGATGATGCTGTCAAGAAGCTTGAGAAGCTTGGACTTGTCTCTCGTGTGAGTCTCCTTCATCTCTCTTCTATAATCTTTTCTTTTTCTCCACGCATATGCTTGTATATACTCAGTAAGTAAACTAATATTGTGAAAATGGAAAGGGTTGGTCAGGATTCAGAAGACAAGTATAGATGCGTGAATATGAAGGAAGCAAACGAGATAATGGGAACAACGACGGAAGAGATGGTACTCAAGGCAAGAAGAGGTGGTGAATATGAAGATGAAGAGGCAGCAGAGACTGAGCCACGGATGAATCCTCAAGATGAACTCACAGCAAAGGAAGAACGTTATCAATCTCAATTAGACGAGTTCGAGACCTTGTGGTTGTAAAAAGATTTGACGTCATTCAAGACAAATAAATTTGATATTGTATTAAAGAAAAAGAAAAAAAGACATAAAGGCAGACAAATTAATTGAAAGGACCCATCAACAATGAGTCCACCACATTTCACATTTCACACTAAATGAATTCTCCCTTAATTATTTCATACATAATTTATATTAAAATGAAAAACATAAGACTCGATGATGGAAAGTATGTGTAGGTAGGTAGGCATATAAGAGGAGAGCGCTCTGTTCAAACAGGGACGCTGTGCAAGACGACTGTCTCTACGGTGAGACCTGGTCCGAAACCAAACAAGACACCCCACTCCAACCCTTCTCCTGTCGTGGCCACACCATCCTCCTTGGACTTCCTCCTCATCTCGTCCATAATGAAGAGAACGCACGCGCTCGACATGTTTCCGTACTCGCTCAGCACGTGACGCGTGGCCCTCATCTTCTCTTCCTTGAGTCCTAGCTTTAACTCAACCTGGTCCAGGATCGCAGGACCTCCAGGGTGAGCTATCCAAAAGAGAGAGTTCCAGTCACTTATCCCGAGCGGTTTAAACGCTTCTTCTAGACTCTTCTCTATGTTCTTCGAGATGAGCCCAGGGACGTCCTTGAGGAGATGGAAGGTGAGCCCAACTTCCCTCAAGTGTCCATCTATGGCTCCGTCCGAGTCTGGGAGGATGGTCTGTGCAGCAGACACCATCTCGAAGATAGGCTTCTCTCCCACGGAGGCATCAGGGTCCGCACCAACAATGAGCGCGGCAGCACCGTCACTGAAGAGAGCCTGACCAACGAGGGAGTCGAGGTGTGTGTCAGAGGGGCCACGGAAGGTGACGGCTGTGATCTCGGAGCAGACGACAAGGACACGAGCACCACGGTTATTCTCAGCGAGGTCCTTGGCGAGTCGGAGGACAGTGCCGCCGGCGTAGCAACCTTGCTGGTACATCATGAGACGCTTGACGGAAGGGCGAAGACCGAGGAGCTTGGTGAGCTGGTAGTCAGCACCAGGCATGTCAACTCCGGATGTAGTGCAGAAGACGACGTGGGTGATCTTGGACTTGGGCTGACCCCACTCCTTGATGGCCTTCACTGCCGCCTCTTTCCCTAGCTTAGGGACCTCGACCACCACGATGTCCTGCCTCACATCAAGAGAAGGAGCCATGTAGGCGCACATGTCCGGATTCTCCTTCAGGAACTCCTCCGTCAGGTGCATGTGCCGTTTCCGTATCATCGACTTGTCGCCTGTTACAGTAATTGTTAACTATGGGAACCATATGCCAAAAGAAATGAAGAGATACAAAATAGGGAGTATTAAGAGGGATACTCACACATGCGCTTGAACTTCTCCTTGAGGTCAGTCATGTGCTCACTGTTGGTGATGCGGAAGTAGTAGTCCGGATACTCTGCCTGGATCACATGGTTCGCAGGGTTGGCCGTGCCTATCCCCAAGATGCCTGCGGGGCCATCCGCTCTCTGTGCCTTTCTGATCTCTTCCAACGACGGTTGTGTACCCATCACCATCTTTTACAATTCAAGTCTTTTAGAGTTTGATCGATGAGTGAGATTGTGTACTATGCAAGTTATGTATATTTGATGGCAAGCGGAGAGTGGGAGTTTATATTAACGAGAGAAAGGGAGAAGAGAGAGTGTGGTAGGTTAGATGGACGGGCAGATGAAGCACTACGTGTCTATGTGTTAGCTCCCTTTTATGTGGTTCTCCTTCTTGCTTCCCTTTTATTTCGTTACTTACCAAGAATATTGAATGGTGGTTTTTTTATTGATTTTACGTATATTCGCAACAACAAGTCATATTAATTTCTATGTGCGTAATTATTATATATTCGATGTATATACATGTAAAGATACGTACGGCCTACTGGAGAGGTTAGTTGTATAGATTTTCCCACACGTGCATACTTAACTCCATCATTAGCTCCTACTAATCTAATTTTCCTTCTTAATATACCTGATAATCCTATAACTAACTAAAAATTACATTAGGTACGTCTCGTTTTCTCTCTCCCACCCCATCATGATGATAGTTTGAATCTGCTCCTTTTTCGGCTTCCAACAACGCAAGATGCATTTCGCATCCCATCATAATGATATTTGTGTTGTTGCTGTTCTTTATGTTAGACTAATAAAAGATGCATTTGTAAGCTTTTGCCTCATTAATTTTATTCGGAAAAAAATTGAATATGCGTAATATCACATCGTTTTTTGTTAGTATTCATTTATTCAATTCATGTCTTAATAATGTTGTAGATATTTTTATTGGAAAAATAATATCAATGGGCCCATAAAAGAAGGTGGGCCCTAGAGCTGGTTATGCTTAGCCATGTGGGCAGAATATAACCAGAGTGTGTTGTCATTGTGGTAAGTAGGGGCACTCCAATGCGGGTGTTTTTATCAACCCGGCCCGGCCCAAAGCCTATCCGTCGAAAACCCGTGTCCATCAAAAACTCGCCAAACTAGCGGTTATATTTAGGGTTGGGCAAATTATCCGTTATATTTGATTCGATCTGCTATTTGTTTCGATTCGATTCGAAAAATCCAGATATCCATAGCTTTACGGAGCAAAGCAAATACTAAATTTTGATATTCGTTAAAAACGGAGCAAATCACAAATATTAAAATTTTAAGAGTCGGATATCCGATCTGCTCTAATATACATATATATATGTATATATATAAATAATTACATATATAATGTATAGTTAATATAATTATATATAAATTTTTGTGAATTTATATTTATTTTATTAGTTATTTTAATACAAAAATTAAATAAATTTAATATAACAATTTAAAATTTAATATATAAGTTAATTTTTGACTTTTTAATTATTTTTTAAATATTTTTAATTATTTTATAATTAATTTAATATTTTTGAAACGGATCGGATATCCGGTCAAAAATCCAGATTTTACCGAATATCCTAATATCGGATATCCAATTAGCAACGGATCAAATACGGATCAAAAAATTATTGATCCAGATTGGACGGAGCGGATCACATATATCAATAAAATTTCGGATATCCACTCCGTGCTCAGGCCTAGTTACATTGTGGGACACGCCTGCCAAAACCAGGGTCAATTGTAACGCGTGGATGCCCGTGTTTTTGTTTTTGTTTCTTTCCTTCTTTTTTTGTATCAATTGTAAATTCCGCTATTTGTAGTATCCCACATCATTTCTTACGAAAAAACTAAAAATTTAGTACCATTCTCATAATACATTGGAGCAGCCCCCACTATTTTTCTAAGAGTGTTTTATTTATTTCTTTGTTTTGAGGTTAGTGTTTAACTTTTTTACCCTTTTAACGGGATTCCTTCTACAGGATGATTGTATTTGTACCATTTAATCTGATGGGTTTAATTATTTAAAAACCCAACTGGTGTACTAGTGGGCTTCAACAATAAAGGCCGGGCTTGTAAGCCGTACGCTTTTGGCCCATATTAACATCCCTGGAAAACGGAATGGAGGACGACGACGACGAGTGCGTGACGACGTGATGCAGACCGGCAATTGCTTCCGATGCCGTCAGGCTGGCCACTGGATCAATGACTGCCCTCTCAAATTCAGCGCCGATGATCCTCCACCGTCGATCCACTGCCCTTGTGGCGGAGGTTTCTGTGAAATCAAGGTCTCGAATACTCAAGAGAACCCTGGAAGGAGATTCTACAAGTGCCCTGCTGTTCGTACCCAATTTTTTTTTTTACTGATTTCTCCTGCATTTCTCGAATCAATACGCGAATTCTCCACTGAAATTTTCAATTCGCAGGCTCAGAATTGCACGTTCTTCAGGTGGTGTGACAAAGTAACCGATGAAGATATCAGATTCCGCCCTGCCTTCACCATCCCAAATTGCCCCTGCGGTTCTGGACCTTGCCGAAGAGTCACAGCCGATTCCGGACCTAACGCCGGTCGATCATACTTGCTATGCGGCATCAAGAAGGTTTGACTCACTCACTGCGACGTTTAAGTCTACTCCGAATTTCTCTAGTTACATGACGTTTTTAAGAAATTCTCTCAGGGTTTCGGGGCTTGTGGATTCTTCAAGTGGGAAAATGTTGAGAGGCCTCCGAGCTGTGATTCAGCGGACGAGATGGATTTCTGGGTTGAAGCTGATCTAGTTTCGAGTGATGTGGAAAGCAGCTTCCAGGCTTGTGGTGTGCCGGAAAATGCAAATCGAGTGGCGTCGCTGGAGAAAGAATGTCAAGGTTCTGTTAGCACACATGATGTTTCTACATTCGAAAATTTGGATGCCATGTCTGCTTCTGATGTACATTCTGCTGCTGCTGTTGTGAACCAAGGTACTTCAGCTATGGACAAATTTCGATTCTTTTATAGTATTACAACTCTTTCTTGTTATTTAAACTCTTATGATCTATATACTAGGCGTCCCTTTGTCTGATCCGATTGTGATCGAGCCTGAAGAGCAATGGATGAAGAGTCTACATGGTGATCAGGCAACAGATTGTGCTCTTTCCAAGCTGAGTGTGGATGAAGCAATGAGTCATTTGATCAGAGATACGGTCTCTAGTGGTTCCGCTGTGAAACATGAAAGGAAGAACCGTGAGCGGCCTGTTGCTGGAACTGGTGAAGCTGAGTGGTCATTCCCTAATTTGCAGGATCTAATGGAGCAATACAACTCAGAGAAGCTTCGTTTGGAGAGTGTTTCAGGGAAACATGTACAAGTGTTGAGTGCATTTATGAGTTCATACAGTCGACTAAGGCTACTGCAAGAGAAAACTAGTCGTCTCAGGAAAATGTTGATTGAAACGGAGGAGGAGATGGCTTGTTGTGAGGCTGAGACATTAGAATTTGGAGCAGGTTTCCGGAAAGTGGCTGGAGAAATGGCTGAGTCTCAGAAGAGGATGCAGGAGACAGCAGAGAAACTAGGAAAGGAAGTAGAAGCATTGAAGCATAAAGAGTTTGTTGACATGAAGAGAAGAAGATGCTGAGCTTTGCATATGAGTCATGAGTGACACTCATTAGTGTTGGAAGGTTATGATCACTGGTAAATTAACTCCTTAGTTCCAACACTTTACACTGCCTCATTGGATAACTTGTAGTATAAACTAGTTAAAGTTAACCGATTAATTGGTCTAGCTAGATTAACCGATTAATTTGATCGGGAACTGGTATTCTCCCTTATCACTTTCAGGTTTAAATGAGCCAAAAGCAGACTTCCTTTGTTTTTAACTTTTTAGTGTGCTTAGGAATTATGAATGTACTTAGTGCGCTGATCACATGGTCGCTTGATTAAAACTTAAACGAGTAGTTAATTAGATTTGAATGAGACAAAAGATAATTTGAAAAAGGATTAATTATGTTAAGCGTCCAAGAGAATGCCTTTCCACGTTGGGCGCACATGCGTTTTCTTCTTTCTTCTTTTTTTCCTACTAAAACACCATTAGAGGCCTAAATCCACGGAAATTAATTATCACAATGTATAGTTACATCATAAATAGTTGAATAAGAGTAAGAGAAATGCCAGTGGGTGCATATTTGAGACTGTAATGTAAAAAGAACAATAGATTGAATAAAACACACTTACATGCCCATTAAACTGATATTAATCAAGAACTGAAATATGCAATGGTTTAACAATTGTCGAACTCACTTTTCGGCGGTGACGAGTGCGAAAAAGGGAATAATCGCCAGGGAGGGATTAACTAGGTTTCTTGACCTAAACCCTAATTAATTAGGTCTCGTATAAACATTCTATTTAATTTTTACATGTCATATTCCACCGTAACCACGAGAACGCAGTGTTAGTTTGTTAAAAGGATCGGAGAATAAAATCAAGAGGCGATATAGAATGGAAGAAATGTATCAAGATTCAATGAATCAAGATTATAATTAGAATATAAAACTAAACGAGAAAAATGAGAGTTGGTCAAAAGGAGGGGGAACATAAACTATAGGACTTGTTTTCTCCAATAAAATTCAGATTAAAGATGAAATTCAAAAGCATAAAAGATTGCTCACATGCAACCCAAATTCCTTTGTTCTCAATAATGCATGTTTTATAAACATTTTTTTACATAACTAGTATAGATCAAACGAATTTCAATGGAGTATTTTGGTCAGAATATATATTAAGAAATCGAATTTATGAAGAGACTATATTATAGCGAAGCGGACAAACATAAATGATTTAAAATATAAAAAAAAACAAGTAAATGATAAGGAAATAGATAGATTAGATCATAGATGCCTCGCGATTAGAAAATAGGAGATGAAAAAGGGTGTGGCACAATTCATTGAAGTTGCAGCCTATAAAATTGGGAGCACATGCAGTACCTCTCCCTATATCTGTTTTTGATTATTCTCTAATTAACTTAATACCCACTTTTTGGTTATGATTATTGTACATGTAGACTAATGGGACGTATATTAAAAGAGTAATTAAAGAATACGATCCATTAATTAGCACCGTCCCTAACGTTGGTCGTGTAGCCAAACATAAATGGTCTTTGGTCTTCCTCTGACACAAAATAAGATCGTCTTAGAAAGCCTACCACTTGCTTCCTTAGATACTCATATCAAAATATCATAAATCTCTCTCTACGAGACAATTCAACTTATGTCGCCAATCTCTTCTTTTAATTTGAGTTGGTCAAAAGTCAAAACCCTTACTGATTAGTTTTACAAGATTATATAACTCATATAATAGATGCTTAAGTAACGACTTCATCCTCATAATTAAGTCGACTGACTACCTTCCATCATGCGGCCATCATTGCACCCCTCCTTTCCCAATTATTAATTCTAAATCAAACACTTTACTCAATTGTTTTTATGTGTTGTATGATTGATTGATTTGGTTTTAATTTTAAGTGAAGGAAGGAAGTTGTTTACGTTTCATGAATGATATTAATCAGGGTTTCCTTCTCTTCTCTTGGAGAGGTTATGATTAAACTCGCAGTTCATGCATCATTTAATTTGGACCATGATCACATGCAACAGTCTTTGGACTCGTTATACAAAATATATTCTTCGAATTGAATAGTTTATCTACTATTCGCTATTTATCTTTAATTTTTGTCTATCAACTACGTGATCATATTATTAGACACGGGACATTGGTATCTAAGGTAACATGCTAATCATGGCTCTCTTATCATTACTCATCCTTTATTTTCAGCTTATTATTGTCCATGAATGATGAGTATACGTGTTATCTAGCTATTACAATGCTAACTGATTGTTATAATTTTTTCTTTGTGATAATTCTTGTGCCTTATTGTTTGTTCACTCTAATTTGTAACCCCAAAAAAATAAAACTCACTGGTATTTAAACTGATTTGGTTCACTAACTAGCAGCTGTACGTATGATCAAAGTCAGTCCGATCTAAGCATTAGATTTGAGCCATTTCTGAAACCCCTAGTGTAGAACCCCTGAGAAATGCATGAAACATGCTACCAAGTGGCAAAATAATTTTATAATAATAATTTTTTGATTGACTGATAATTGATATATCATGGGCCACAATTAGCTCAACGCAGTGTTATTTTAAAATGATGTTCCTATTGGAATAAAAAAAAAATGTAAAAGAGAATGTAAAGAAGGAAAAAAGGAAAGGTGCGGCTCATATATAAAAGGGTTGAGGAAGGGATACTTTTCCAAGACCAACACACATTCCTTCTCTCTTTTTCTCTTCTCCTACAGTTAGAAGAAAGAATATATATATACATCGGACATAGATTGATTTGTGTATGCATAAGTTGCTATACGAAGGATGAATACATCGAAGAGCAAGAAGAAGCAAGAAGAGGTTGGAATAAGATTTCTTGGGGTGAGAAGGAGGCCTTGGGGAAGATATGCGGCTGAGATTAGAGACCCAACTACCAAGGAGCGTCACTGGCTTGGCACCTTTGATACGGCAGAGGAAGCTGCATTGGCCTACGACAGAGCCGCTCGGTCCATGCGTGGCACACGTGCCCGAACCAACTTTGTCTACTCAGACATGCCTCCTTCCTCCTCTGTCACCTCCATTATTTCTCCCGACGATCCTCCTCCTCCCCCGCCTCCTCCTGCTGCTCCTCCTTGTTCTAACGACCCTGTCGATTACATGATGATGTTTAACCAATATTCATCAACAGACTCGCAAATGCTGCAGCCTCACTCTGATCAAGTGGACAGTAGTTACATGTTTGGTGGCTCTCCTTCTTGTTATTCTAACAGCAGCAGCGAGTTGCCTCCTCTGCCGAGCGACTTGTCCAATTCTTGTTACAGCCAACAGACGTGGAGCGTGGAAGACTACTCCTCTGCTACCTATTTCGAGGGTGAGTACGTTCACAGTCCAATGTTCAGCAGAATGCCTCCGGTTTCTGACTCTTTGCCTCAAGGTTTCAACCACTTCGGCTCCTATAATTAACTTTTGTTCATCCATATTCAATTCTTTTCTCCTTTGTACTTTTTTTTGTTTTGTTTCATTATGTTTCGCCGTCCTTGATCTCTGTCTATGATCAAAGTGACTGTTTGTCTTAGTATTTTAATAAGAAGTTATCCAATTGTATCTTGTGTTTTCTTGTCTTAACCAATGAAAGCAAAATCTCCTTCACAAAACTCACATACATATTGGTTATGGGCCCTGAGAACTCAAAGGCCCATCTATGAACATGCCTAATTGGTTCTACAAGACAGATTGTTTATTCATGATTCTACAAGTATTTAGAATACTTGTAGAATCATGAATAAACAATCTGTCTTACTCTATATGCGTGCTTTTTTTTATATATGTAATCTGAAATGTTTCATATTTGATGGGTTCTGGTAACTTACCTCCATGTCGGTCGTCAAAAGATGGTAGTAGGTTTAACTGGTGAACCATGTCTTGTCTACCTGTCTCAAACGGCAAAAGCTGGTTACCAAACATAAAATAAATACAAGTACATAAAAAGTGGTTCCCTGAAGAGGAAACTAAGGTGAAGAATATGGAGATGAAGTTTTTCTCTTTTTATGCCATTGCAGCTGCACTTCTTGTGTTAGCCAACTTTGGGATTATGCACATAAGTGGTCAGAGCGCTTCGTGCCTGAACCAGCTTGCTCCATGCCTCAGTTACCTGAATGGAACAAAGGAAGTACCTCAAGTGTGCTGTAACCCTCTAAAATCAGTGATAAAGAACAATCCAGAGTGCTTGTGCCGTATGATTAGTAACCGAGGGAGTTCAAAAGCCGAACGAGCTGGCATCAATGTCAATGATGCTCAAATGTTGCCTGCCCGATGTGGAGAACACGTCAATCCCCTTGCCTGCTTGACTCGTACGCAATCTTTTCTCACTTGAAAAAACTCTCTCTTTTTTTTGTCTCAAAAATCAACAATCTTTTGTGTTGTGCAGGATCTCGAGGATCTACAAACTCAGACCGAAGTTCCTCCGGTGGCAACTCAATTTCTCACTCATATTGGATGCAAACATTAGCTTTAGCAACCACCTTGTTGTCATTTATTCTTTATATAAACTGAACCATCTCACATTGTCTACTATAGCACTCTGTTCATTCTTTTTATTTGTTTAAAAACTTAAGAGTTATGCACTTGCGAATTTTGGTCGTCAAGTCCCAACATACATATATATAAGCATATTATTAATGCCATTTATGATTTATTATTCCAAATGAATAGTATAAATCCATTTCTAATACCGTGCTCATTTTGCAACAAATCAACCACAGACTAAACTCTTCGTGAGAAATACACTTTAATTCCCTCTTGAGAGATATTCTTCACCATTCACAACTTCAAAAAGAAAAAAACGTGTGTCAAAGTGCGACTCTTTGGTAAGAAATTTGGTTACCAAATTTGATGGTGTGTAGTTGTACTATCGGCTAGCCATAAATTATTGATCAAATAGTAAAACCGGTTTAAACGGTATAATTGTCCAATAACCGGAAAACTCAGCTGGTTCACCAATTTTGTGCCCGGTATACTTGAGGGGAGAGTTGACCAGATATCGTCGTCCTCTATTCCTCTCTTGTGCGGATCGAACAGGGTTGTCTCTGGCTTACTACAAATCCGACCAACACTAAACCCTCCGAGTGAATCTTGTTGAGCGATCATCGGGAAAAATGGGAGGGATGTTGTACAAGCTCTTCGCCTCGGCGTCGCTGCTAACCCTCGGATTGTATCATCTCGTTTGCACTTTCTTCCATGTTCTCAAGACTCCTCAATCCTACGCCGCCAAGCCTTTCTACGCTCTTCCCCGTTCCTCCACCGCCGGTAATAACCACCACCGCCTCCAAAATCTACCCTTGATCATCCTCATAGTCTCCCTTTTCGTCGCTTTCCTCCACCAAACCCTCATCTCCTTCTACTCCGATCCTCTTGTCAAAGGAAGTACCCCCGTTCACCGATTCTCCTCCCTTAATTCCGCCGCCGTGTTCTTCCTCTTCCTCCTCATCGCCGTCTACCTCCTTCTCTCGGAATCCGCCTCCTTAATCCCTCTTCCCTCCGATCTCCTCTTCGCACTCGCCTCCGGAGGTTTCTTCCTCCATTACTCCTCCGCCTCGTCGTCGGCCTCAATCCAGACATCGGAACTCCAGGCTCACTGCGATTCCCTCTCCGCCCGCATCTCCGCCTTATGCTCCCTCCTCTGTTTGCTCCTCGCTTGCCGCCCCAGACTCTTTATCGCCGACGCTGCTCTCGCTGCTGCCATTTGCCTGCAGGGTCTCTGGCAGCTTCAGACCGGACTCTCTCTGTACGTCGATGGCTTCATTCCCGAGGGATGTCATCGTCTTCTTGATGTTTCGAGCGGCGTTGAAGGATCAACCCAGTGTGATATACAGGAGTCGAAGCTAAGAGCTGTCTCCATCTTGGATCTCATGTTCACTGTCCACGTCGTGCTTGTCGTCATCCTCCTCTTTGTTACCTACACGATGGTGGCGATGGCTGCGGGAGTGCGAAGAACCGGTTCTTACGAGGCTTTGCCAACCAATTCTAATGATTCTAATCACATTCAGATGAAGTCGTTGACCGGAACTCAGGCCTGAACCTGTATGTCTTTTTGCTTATCGATAATATTGCTTTGTCTTTTTTTTTCATACTCTCTCTTGTTTCATCTCTTTTGGAACCTTGTTGCTGCTGTCTGGCCTCTTCCCTTTGACAAGTCTTTATCCAAATCTTCATTGTCGAATACACTGTTCAATCCTGTTGTAACTGGAAGATGATGACATGCTTATATTCTTTGTTGATTAATGGCAAGTTGTCACTTTAGCTGATTTTTCCTTCAATTTAGGACTTATAATCTGATCTTTTCTGCCCGATTTTCCATTTCATTTTCTGGAGTATTGTTCTCATAACCATCATGTAATATTTATTTGGTTTTTGGTTAAAGCAAACTTGGTGAAAGACAGAGAAAAAAGAATTTGCGCCGAAAACGTGAAAGAGGCTGTGACAACAACGCAAGCAGTAGCTTAGGGAGTCCCATGTCAAAGAAGGTAAAACAAGAGGGAGTCCAAGGTATGTTTTCTCTTTTGTTATGCCTTGGTCCTCTTCTTTGACATTGGACTGCCTACGCTAAGGCTTGTGTTGTTGTCAAGAGTTTTATCATCATCATCCATAGCAACTTCTTTGTCTTTCACCTCTATCTGAGCTTGCTTTCACCAAATAAGTGTTTATTTTGAATTGTTGCATACATGGTATGATTCAGATTTTGAGGCAGAAGACGATTAATTGTTAACTCAACTAAACTAACAGTCATAATGACATGAATCTGTCGTCGACGTTGGATCTTGTTAGCGCCGCTTCTGTTTGATCATTGTGCACAAACTTGCTATCTTTCTGATAATAGGCGTTTTCACGGGTGGGCAGAATAGTTGGGTCATTTGCAATTATGGGCCCACGCATTGGCCCATATATTTGTCATATGTATTTGTATCCTTCGATAGTATGAATCCGGAGGTGTACGCGTGCGAAGGGGAATGGTGAAACCTTAATGGTTAAGTTATGGACAATAAAGATAAAGGATCACAGAACAATCAAATGGGAGTTTGAAACGGCCAAAAAGTAAACCTTATGGTGGTGCGAATTATGTGGTTTTTTCCTCTCCCACTCTTTTATTGCTGAAAGCTACACTTGTCTTAATATATTGTTTCCGCAAGTCACATAATCTACTCTAGAAACACCGAGACAAGCGCTGAATACAGTACATTCACGCAAATTGTTCGTTGTCTGGTCAGAATATGTAGAGACATGTCTAAAAATCTTTCTTCAAACGTTATACAACAGAGAAAAAGTAGACGCGCGCGCGAATATGATAATAGCAAAAAGGCAACAAAAGATAAATTAAAGAGAAAAAAAAGTAAAGCGATTTGGCCTCAATCAACGGGAACGTATCTTGATTTAAGAGGTTCTTCTTTTCTTTATTTTACTTTTGAGGCGAGAGTTTGCGAGCAAATGGTTGACTAAATAGCAATAAGGGAGGAATATTATTTGTTACTGTTTACACCTTCACATTGCTTCCTTAACGTTTAATCAAGCCTTGTTCAACTTTAAACATTTTAGTATTTTACATTTACTCATTAGTACTGATTACAGATATTTCATCAAAATGGCTTTAAATAAGATAGCGAAAAGAAAAAAATAATAAGGTACATATGATAATATCAATTGAGGCAAATTAACGAGGAGTGGTCCCATGCAGATTTTGAATTGTGATAATCTGTATATAGAGGTAAGAAATTACAACATTATAGATAAGGACATATAACATATTTAACAATATACCAGCCAACCAGGGATAGCCACGTCTCCTCCCCAGCTTTATGGATTTCCTTAGCCAACACCCCCATTATTGTGATTGTATAAATGTAACCCTACCCTTCATCTCTCCCATTTTCCATTCACCATAGAACTCTTTTAAAAAACACAGATATTTTTTGTTTAAAAATACATAGGATCCAAAAGCGAAGCCAAGCAACATAAAATAATGAAGAAGGCAGCAGAATTCGTGAAGAATATAATAAACATGTTGTCTGGTCTTGCCAAGGACAAGACGAAGGAGCTGAAGAGGAAGACAAGAGCCTTTAAGACCCGTCTTGTAATATTCTCCCTGCTCCACAACAGAAACATGGTGGTGAGCTCTTGGTCTCACAAACTCAAGGCCAAACCAACATCAAGAAAGCTAGATGATGGTAAGGATCATAACAAACAGGATCAAAACAAGGTGGTGGTGTATAGCCACAACGCCATGTCTAGCATACCTTCCTCTCCTCAGTATGTACAGTATGTGGAGGAGGAAGATGATGAAGATGGAGAGGAGGAAAAGTATCCAGACATGAGACACTCGCTGTTTGAGGCAGAGGGTTCGGTGATAGACATGGTGAAACACTCGAAGGAGGACAAGGGAGAAGAGTTTCGATTGGAAGACGAGATCGACAAAGTGGCTGACCTTTTCATTACTCGCTTCCACCGACAGATGTGGTTGCAGAAGCAACTGTCTCTAGAGAGTATTCAAGATACATCCTTCTGATTCCAATCTTTGAATATACATTTATAATGTAACGCCCCTTCTTATTTTAGTGATTTTTTCGGGGGCGGAGGACGCAATGATCCTTTTAGATTTTGTTTGCGTTCTGCGTAGTGAAACGAAATCGGGACGTATACACACGCATGTTTATTAATTTCCTTCAACAACGTCCCCTCTTTGTTCATGCTTCTTGACCAATAAAATACATTTTTTTTTTCTTGTTATTGTTGTTGTTTATGTAAATTAATTAATTAATAAATTAAGCACACCACATTATCTAACCATTAAACTACACCACTGCGACCATAATTTAGGTCTATACGTATATATTTTTTTGCATATATTTACCGATTTAGTAATTAAGCCCGACGACAAAAAAAAGTAATTAAGCCCATTAAGGCCCAACAAAATCATATATATACCCAAAAATAAAGCCCATTAAGGCCCATTCATCTATTTAGTAATTAATTTTGGGTCCGTTATCCGGTTCCATATGGAACGACACCGTCTCATCTTCATCCCTCCAGCAATTCCTCTCTCGTCCTGCTGTCCTTTTGCCTGCGAATAATCTGGTTGGTATTTCTGATGGGGGTTTCGTTTGATAATTAGAGTCACTTTCTCTGACCAATCTGGTTGATATTGCCATCTCTATATGTAATTTGTAATGCTTGCTACTGAATTGATAATTTTCTGGTTACCGAGAAAACAAAGGGTTTATCTTGTTGGTGGTCTATGCGGCTGTTCTTGTTCGAGTAATATTTTTTCTTGCTGAAGTTAAACAAATTTTTTTTAGTATGGTAATGTGATGAGATTGGCAAATTGATTGTGTGATATTCTTTTGCATATATTTTTTTGTCTTAAATTTTTGGGTATACATATGATTTTGTGCTTTACAGTATTTTTTGTTTCTGTTCAATTACAACTTGCATTATCATGAGCTCAAAAACGAGCAGTGCAGAGTAAGTAAGGTCACATAGTGAAGAATATTAGAACCAGTGGTCATATTTTTATATAAAGGAATAGAGAAGAGTGAAGTATATGGTGAATTGCACATGCTTCTAGTCATGTGACCATGTCTCTGTAGCCATTTTTGAAACTTGAACCTTTTTGGTTTGTTTTTTCCCCAAAATCTTTCTCTCCTACTGTATCTCTACTGATTTATTCTGTGGTTTCTCCATCGTGATATTTTTTTCGCAATTTTCAAGCCGGGTTGCGTCTAAATGGAAAGCTTATTATTAGCATATCTGGTCGGTGGTGGTATCTGGGGTCAAATAGTGTTTGTTTATTTGTTCAGCCACACAGAGATCTAAAGGAAAAGAATCCAAAGGATGCATTAATTAGCGATAACATGGGGATGAGTGCTTATTATCATGTCAGCATAAGACTAGTCAGTCCATGTGCAGCTGCAACACTCCCTAAGTTACTAGCAATACTGCTGCAAACATTGAAAGTAACCCAAAGTGCTTTTGATTATAATAATAATGAGCAGATGTTATCTTAAGAGCTACCTGATATGGCTATAAATAGAAGCGTCCGCGCAACATTTGTTAGGTGCGATGAGAGTGAGAATGGCTCGTCTTCCTTTTACTCTCTGCCTCACCTTTCTGGTTATGGCCACGGTAACATTTGGTGTACCTCCTAAAAAGTCTGTCGATGTTCCTTTCGGCAGGAACTATTTCCCAACTTGGGCTTTTGATCACATTAAGTATCTCAGAGGTGGTTCTGAAGTGCGTCTCATCCTCGACAAGTACACTGGTGAGTTTCTCTGCCTTCTTATATATGTATACTTCTCGAACACAGCTTTATCTAAAAGCCCGTTCTGATTATTCTTGTTCAATGCGCAAAAGGCACCGGCTTTCAGTCAAAAGGTTCCTACTTGTTTGGCCACTTCAGTATGCACATAAAGATGGTTCCTGGTGACTCTGCCGGAACTGTGACCGCCTTCTATGTAAGTGAAAGTCGTTTACGGCGGTTTACAAGATTATCTGGAACATCTTTTGAGTTGTCAGCTGAAAAACGTTGTATCTTGCTTTTTCCTGCAGTTGTCATCACAGAACTCAGAACATGATGAAATAGACTTTGAGTTTCTTGGGAACAGAACCGGACAGCCTTACATTTTGCAGACGAACGTGTTTACAGGAGGCAAAGGAAACCGAGAGCAGAGGATCAACCTCTGGTTTGACCCTTCCAAGAACTATCATTCCTATTCAGTTCTCTGGAATATGTATCAGATTGTGTAAGTTAGCATTCCCTTACGAGTGTCATTTCTTCTACCCACAGCTAAGTGTATGGATCGATTCTTTATATAACACAAAAAAATGTTTGTAATACAAACAGGTTCTTTGTGGATGATGTGCCGATAAGAGTGTTCAAGAATAGCAAAGACATCGGGGTGAAGTTTCCATTCGACCAGCCGATGAAGATATATTCGAGTCTGTGGAACGCAGACGACTGGGCCACAAGAGGAGGGTTAGAGAAGACCAACTGGGCAAATGCTCCGTTCGTCGCGTCCTACAGAGGTTTCCACGTCGACGGATGCGAGGCTTCGGTGAATGCCAAGTTCTGCGAGACGCAAGGGAAACGTTGGTGGGATCAGAGGGAGTTCCGAGACCTGGACGCTAAACAGTACAAGCGTCTCAAATGGGTTCGCAAGAGATACACCATCTACAACTACTGTACTGACCGCGTTCGATTCCCCGTACCTCCTCCCGAGTGCCGCAGAGACCGCGACATTTAAGTGCTTTTTCAGATTTCATCTTCGATTTTTCTTCCAATTAATGTAATCCACGCTTGCAAAATCTTCTACTTTCTATGTTTATTCTTGTTACAAGTTATGGAAGTCATGATCTAGAGAGGCTTGAGCTGTTACAAGTCCATATTACATGTGACGTGACTTCAAGTTACAAAAAAAAGTTTGAACATTGAAATATGATAAATAATAACACAGCAGTACTTCTTCTTCAAAAATAAATAAATTACAAAAATACTTTTCATATGTAAAATCACAAAGGAGAAAAAAGATATGTTTGAAAAGAAGTTATATAAAGAGTTCTGCTTTGGGATTTAGAAAAGTAGAGAAGACTGGGCGAAGCACGCGTTAAATCCGTAAACCTCTCGTTTCTCATCGGTCGTCGTCTTCAAGCCGGGTTTGAGAGTGCTGATGGCCCCTCCAGCTTCAGATCCGGCGAAGATGCAACAGATCCAGCAGTTTCTTACCTCCGTTCTCTCCCAGCGTGGCCCCTCCGCCCTCCCGTACGACGAGACAACCAAGTGGCTGATCCGGCAACACCTCCTGAGCCTAGTCTCTTCCTACGCTTCCCTCGAGCCCAAAGCGGCGACGTTTACTCACAACGATGGCCGCTCCGTGATCCTCCTCCAGGCCGACGGCACAATCCCGGTGCCTTTCCAGGGGGTCAGCTACAACATCCCAGTCGTCGTCTGGCTCCTTGAGTCTTACCCTCGCCATCCTCCTTGCGTCTACGTAAACCCTACGCGCGACATGATCATCAAACGCCCTCACTCCAATGTCTCTCCTTCAGGCCTCGTCTCCCTCCCTTATCTCCACAACTGGGTTTACCCTAGCTCAAATCTCCTCGAACTCGCCGCTCAGCTCAGCGCCGCCTTCTCCCGTGATCCGCCTCTTTACTCTCAGCGCCGTCCTCAGCCGTCTCCTTTGATCGGATCGGGAAATCAGCAGCAATCGAGCCCTTTTCCTCCTCGGCAGCAACAGCAGCTGCAGACGGATGATGCGGCGGAGGTCTACAAGAGGAACGCGATCAACAAGATGGTGGAGTTGGTTCACGGCGATCTCGTCTCGATGAGGAGGGCCAGAGAGGCGGAGGCGGAAGGACTGCTGAGCTTACAAGGCGGCCTTAAGAGGAGGGAGGAGGAGCTCAACAGGGGTTTGCAGGAGCTGGTGAACGAGAAAGAAACCCTGGAGCAGGAATTACAGCTCATCTCCATGAATACCGATTTTCTCGATTCCTGGATTAGGGAGAATCAAGGGAAAGCCGAGAATCTGCTAGTTGATTTGGATGTAGACAATGCCTTTGACTGCACAGACACACTATCCAAACAGATGTTGGAGTGCACTGCGTTGGATTTAGCCATTGAAGATGCTGTTTATTCGTTGGACAAATCGTTTCGAGATGGGTCGTTACAGTTTGATCAGTATTTGAGGAATGTGAGGTTGTTGTCGAGGGAGCAGTTCTTCCACCGAGCCACGGCTGAGAAAGTTAGGGCGACGCAGATGGAGGCTCAGGTTGCTTCCATTGCAGCTAGGTTGCACTCGTGATTACTGGCAAGGTTTTCTTCAGTTTTGCTGATTACTATTTATATTCGATTGCTGTTTATAGGCATACACACAGTGCATATACAAAGTTGAATCGATCATACTTTGGGTTACCATTCTCTTTGTCATATTTTTTTTTTATATAATGGATCAATTGGTTTGGGAATTATGTTTCTCCTCTTTACGATTCTCAATCTCATTCGGTTTCTCTAAAAGAAAGTAGCTAAAATGGTCGTAAAAGCTTGAGTGATGATGCCATAGAGATAAGATCAGCACTAGCATTTCTCTTGATAACAAAACAAACTCATGAAAATCTCACTTGAAAATATGAAAATGAGTCTTAAGATGATGGTATAAATAATGATACAACACTTGAAAGGGAAAAAGAAACATCATCCAAGTAGAAAAGGTTTTGGAATTTAGGTGGTAAGCTCCATGATGGCAGAGACTATATCTCCATTAGCGGCCTTGAGAGCCTTAACAGCCCTTGATCTAGACACTCCTGCTTGGGTCACAACCAGCTCGATGTCCTTTGGCTCCACACCCTCCTCGTCCACCACTTCATCGTCCTGATCAGCAGCAGCTGCGGCTACACCACTCGATGTTTCTCCCTTTGAAATCATGCTGCTGAGGTCCGGAGCCTTGAACTGCTCTGCAGCCTGAGTCTGAAGCTGCGAGCTCAAATCCTCTATCTTCGCCTCACCGAAGATCACATATGTATCTGATGCTGGACTCTTGAACACATCAGGTTTCGATATCACAAACAAGATCTGCATTTTCAACCCACACCTTATCATTAAAATTTGCAACAAAATAAAGAAGTCATGATTGTTAACACGGCAAAATATTATAGAATGAGAAGACTACAAACATTCTTGCTCTTTTTGATGGTGACACGGCTAACACCAGTGATGGGTTTCATCCCAAGCTTCACCATTGCTTTCCTACTCTTTTTCTCACTTCTGCTTTGCTTTGATCGGCCGCCTTCCTCGCCGTCATGTCCTGCTTAACATATCGTAGCGCCGTAAGGACTCGGCTTATATAAGAAATGATACCGACTTCCTCATTCTATAGTACCAAAATAAAAATCAAAATTTCACAAATCAGCAGAATCTATCCAACACAGGTCTTGGTTAGTGTTTCGTACAGTTCCAGGGTGATATGAATACAAGAGAATGGATTCGACGAAAGGCTCAAGACAACAGGGTTTTCAAATTTTTAATTAAACAGATATATCTGCTACTCCTCTACTCACAAGTAAATTCAACTTAGTTGCCCAGGATAACTAGAGTGATGTAAATAAAACCACAACTTGGTAAACATATTTATAGAGAAATGGAAGAGGGTAAAACAAGAAAGCTTACCCTCTGCCTCGTCATCATCCTCGGAATCGTCCTCATCATTGTCATCATCGTCTTCAACCTCAGGCTTATCAAGCTACAACCCAGAATCAGAAGAAAAAGTAAGTAAGAAATTCTTAAACCAGAGAACTATTCAAAAGTTAGAAATTCGTCGACTTAAGCAATGCGATAACCGAGATGTTCATGGAGTTCGACAAATGAAGATTCAGATCTAAAATCGGAAACCTTAGGCTAGAATATCCAAAATCAGACACGGAGATCTAGGTAGGAAGAACTCAACAATCCGAATCCAATCATTTTCAGACTTTGAGATAACAAAAACGATAAAAAGAGAGTAGAAAATGAGCAGAGAGAGTGTGTTATTACATCGATCTTCTGCTCTTCCAATTTGGCTGCGAGGATCTCCTCTTTCAATTCGGCAGTCATGTTTTGACGAGAGAGAGAGAGAGTTATCGGTGACGGAACCCTAAAACCTTTGAAAGAGATTGATTGATGGCTTGGAAGGTAAAATTAGTTAACTCGTTTTGAAGTGCACCGAGTCGGGTTAGGATTTATAATATTTAATTATTTATACCTTAAACCAGAAGATAGACTCAAGATTAGGGACCCAAACAAAAAGGACAAATACAAAAAAATTATGAACGCCGTCTGAGGGGATCGAACCCTCGGCCACGGGATTAAAAGTCACGCGCTCTACCACTGAGCTAAGACGGCTTTGTTGATATTTGATATGGTATGGTAATTTATAGCTTATTTATACAACACTACTAATTGATAGATATCTAATTGTCATAGGTACAGTGAGTGATGGACTCATAAATTAATTATTGTAAAGAACCGAATCAAACTGAATTCTAATTTCTTCGTTTTCAGATATGTAGAGTTCATCGTTTCCAAACTAAACGTAAAAAGAGAAGATTATAGTAAAGAAAAAATCGATTTAATCGAATCAAACTGAAATGAGAGAAATCGCACTGAATCAAATATTCATAAAATTCGAATGATACTTCGTGTAATAATATCTTGAGTATCTGAACCAACCCAAAACCGAGTCTAGAACCAAATAGATAACCGAAATACAATTACACTATATACCAAAAAATTGACCGTTGGAGCATGAACACCACCACATCAGTAGTTATCCATATACTTAGACATTAGACACATCGTTTCATAAATGTCTGCAACTTAATCAAAGGGACATTATAGCGGAAAAAAAAAAAAAATTCAAAGGGACATTATTTGTTTTGGTTAAATGAAAAATAAAGCGAGGCCCAAGATCACACGCTCCTATATAATACTCTCTACTATCACCATCAAAATTTGACCGTTGGAGAACATTTCTCTTTGCAAAAGAAGAAAATTAAAATAAGAGTATAACCTCTCTTTTGTAAAACAAAGAGAGGCTTCCTTTGCAATCTTCTCCTTCGGTTGTTCGTTTTTTCTTCCCCAGAAAATGGAATCGCCACAGAAAACGAAAACCGGCCTGAAACTTCCCGCGGGGATGAACCAGACATCGTTGCGGCTGGAGACGTTCTCGAGCTCGTTTCGTGGGATCTCAAGTTTGTCGTCGCCCTCTAAATCGACTTGCAGCGACAGATTCATACCGTGCAGATCTTCGTCGAGACTCCACGCCTTCGATCTGCAGGACAAGGAATCGACGACCCCAGTGAAAGAGGGAGGCAACGAAGCCTACTCCAGACTTTTGAAAGCTGAGCTCTTCGGATCTGATTTCGCTTCTCCTTGTTTGTCTCCTGCAGGTACCCAAGGATCTGCGTCTTCTCCCATGAGTCCCTGTACCAACATGTTGAGATTCAGGACGGATCGCTCCAATTCAAGCCCCAATTCGCCGTTTTCTCCTTCAATCCTCGGAAACGACAATGGCCTCTCCAGTGACTCCTCTCCTCCTCCAAAACCTCCCCGCAAGGTTCCCAAAACGCCTCACAAGGTATATATCATTTCCTTCACATTTCATGTGATTTGGTTACAGATCCTTGGGAGAGGTAGAAATGAAATATTGTTTGTTTGTTATGATGGTCTCAGGTCTTGGATGCTCCTTCCCTACAAGATGACTTCTACTTGAACGTTGTGGACTGGAGCTCACAGAATGTTCTTGCGGTGGGGCTTGGTACTTGTGTCTATCTTTGGACTGCTTCCAATAGCAAAGTGAGTGTTGAGATATACTTGTACAGTTTTAGAGAGTTGCATAGTGTTTATCTCTGCAGTGTTATAGTGGACTCATATGTAATTTATGGATCAGGTGACAAAGTTATGTGACCTGGGCCCTAATGATAGCGTGTGCTCGCTTCAGTGGACACGGGAGGGTTCATATATATCTATTGGTACAAGTCACGGTCAGGTTCAGGTGTGTTGTTTTTTTCCCTTCCAATCTGTGGTTGTGTCGAGTTCTGATTGGATGCAATTGAAGTTACTAAAGGTTTGATTTTTGCTGGCAGGTTTGGGATGGAACACAGTGCAAGAGAGTCCGGACAATGGGAGGTCATCAAACGAGAACTGGTGTCTTGGCATGGAACTCAAGGATCTTATCATCAGGGAGCAGAGACAGAAACATCCTTCAACACGATATCCGAGTCCAGAGCGATTATGTCAGCAAACTCGTGGGACACAAATCTGAGGTCTGCGGGCTCAAATGGTCTCACGATGATAGAGAGCTCGCTTCTGGAGGCAACGATAATCAGGTCAGCTTGAACCTAAGCTATTCAGTGCTCTAGGAGAGACTAGTGATAGTATGATAAGAGCGCAAACTATTAAAACTGCTCTAGTCATCTGCTTCAGTCATAGGCTATGTCCAAGTACTGAACCTCTGAACTTCTTTGAGGCTTATCGTGTTAAGTGGTGGGTATTCTTTTTGTGGAACAGTTATTGGTGTGGAACAACCATTCGCAGCAACCTCTTCTGAAGCTTACTGAGCATACAGCAGCGGTGAAGGCAATAACATGGTCTCCTCACCAGAGCAGCCTCCTTGCTTCAGGAGGTGGAACCGCAGACAGATGCATCAGGTTCTGGAACACGACAAATGGACATCAGTTAAACAGCATCGACACTGGAAGCCAGGTCTGCAATCTGGCATGGAGCAAGAATGTTAACGAGATAGTGAGCACTCACGGGTACTCTCAAAACCAAATCATGCTCTGGAAGTACCCATCCATGGCAAAGGTACATAGGTTTTTCCCCACACTTGAAACCTTATTTCTTCATCTTTCTTTCTATACAACAGATTCATCAACCGATGATTGCTTTGTGTAGGTCGCAACACTTACTGGGCACAGTATGAGAGTTCTTTACTTGGCTACGTCACCTGATGGCCAGACTATAGTGACCGGTGCAGGAGATGAGACCCTGCGCTTTTGGAATGTCTTCCCTTCAGTGAAAATGCAGGTCAGTATCCTTTCTTCGAGTTTTGAAACTCCTCCAGACCATAATCAGATCATCTGGTCGTTTCTGCTCAGTTAATTAATGATGACCTGTTGTTCTATTTACAGACACCAGTGAAGGACACAGGACTCTGGTCATTAGGGAGGACACAAATCAGATAGCAGTCGTATCAACCTTTTACTTTCTTTTTTCATTTGTGTATGAGAGAGACATATACTACTGCACAGAGAGACAGAAAAGCTGCAATGTAACACGCAAAAATCTGCATTTAGTTCCATTTTATTTTTCTGATTCTTTGTAAACCTGATACATCTATTTAAAAAAAAAACAGAGTTACTACTACTCGGTTTTCATTGTATATGAAAAGGCTTTTAATCATAGAAAACCCTGGCAAATCAAGTAGATTTCTCGAGATGATGATCTTGTAGCTTTTGGCCTCAACCAAGATGCCTTGCGGAAGATGGGCTTGCAAATTTTGGCAAAATCTAAAAAAAAAAAAAAAAAAGAAGAAGAAGCAGTGTATTGTAAAGAAGAGAAGCATTTGATTTCATCTGTATATATATAGTTGGACTCTGTTTTTACACCGTACCTTGAGCATCCTCGCTTTCTAGAAGCTTGATGACAAGATGACCTCCGTGCTTAAGTACACCACAACGACTTTCCTCCTCGCCACCACTATCATCAGGTGACTGAGAGATAGCAGCTTGACCAACAGCCAAATCAAGGGCTCGCATTCCCAATTCAGCAGACAGTGCTGCATCTCTAGTGGTAATTCCAGATACCGAGTGACACATATCTGAAAGAACGACTGAAAATCCCATTTGCTGCACCACAGAGCAATCCATAACTTGTAAACAAAAGACCCTAAATTTGCATATTCAAGTGAAAGGGAGGTAAAAGTTTGATTGAATCACCTGATGCGATAACTCCCTAATCTTCTGTCTTGGGAAATTTAAAACATCGGCGCAAATGGTTTGCACTCGCAAATCACACTGTGGAGGAACCCTCACCTTCTGCTCTGAGAAAAAAAAATAAAGCCAATGGATTCACACAGTTTACAGCAAAAAGAAAGCCAAGAACTTTGTGTCATGTCAAGCTTCCTCTGACCTTTATATCCACACCGACGACATTTCCACCAGTTTTAAGCGGACCTAAGCTTTGGCAAGCGACCTGAAACGGATTATAGCAACATATCAAGTTAAGCTTCCAGTCGCAGTCGCAGGATTCATGGAAACAACTTGGAGCTCATGGAATCAAAAAGACCTGAAGCCAAGCACCAGGCGCGCAACCTAGGTCAAGAACAGAGGAGCCTGGTTTGATGAGCTTGTACTGTTTTTGAATCTGTAGAAGCTGTAATTCGAGAGAGAGAGAGAGAGAGAGAGAGAGAAAGAGAGAGATGAGTGATGTAAGAAGAAGACGAAGACGAAGCAGAGGAGGGCATTGACTGTAAACGTAAATTCACCTTGAAAGCGGAACGAGCAACATAGCCAAGACGTTGAGCTTCTCTGTAGAAGAAGTCCGGCGCTCCTGCCCCACTCATCTCCCCCTCCGGCGCCGACAACAACCGATTTCTTCTGCTTCCCTTTTATTTTACTTTTACCCAAAACCTAAAATGCCCCCACATTTTACAATTAACTTTTTAAGTGTTAACAACAAATATTCGGTAATACTGCTCACATACATTTTTTTTAATTATCAATTACAAAAAAACCACTTTTTGCAACTAAATCATTTTCTCATTTTTCTTTTTATCTATTTAATTTGAATGCTGGAAAATATTTTTCACGTTAGACACAACTTGATGAATTCGGTCTGATGGACACAGTTTGATGAATACAAATTATTATAAAGTGATAGTTACAATATGATTTGATGGATGTTAAGTGATAGTAACAATGGATGGACATTAACATATGAACGCGGTCTGATGGACACAATTCAATTGATTTATATTGTTACTAAGTGATAATTATAATATGATTTGATGAACACTAAATGACAGTGACAAAAGATGGACATTAACGTGTGGATGCAAATTGTTTTTCATCATTTAGACACAATGATATAATTGTCAATAATTCATTAGCAAAAATGTCACAGTTTCAAAAAATGCCTCTTTGTAACTAGAAACTCAAAAAGTACCTCTAAATGTAAACATAACACTATTTAGTACGGAACAATTTTATAGGATTGTTATTTGGTACGGAAGAAACTCAAAAAGTGCATTTGATAAGATTGTTACCAAAATAAATTTCTGTTTAACGTGTGGATGCAAATCAATTTTCATCATTTAGACACAAAGATATAATTGTCAATAATTCATTAGCAAAAATATTTCAGTTTCAAAAAATACCTCTTTTGTAACTAGAAACTCAAAAAGTACCTCTGAATATAAACATAACACTATTTAGTACAGAACAATTTTATAGGATTGTTATTTGGTACGGAAGAAACTCAAAAAATGCCTTTGATAAGATTGTTACCAAAAGAAATTTCTGTTTAACGTGTGGACGCAAATCAATTTTCGTCATTTAGACACAAGGATATAATTGTCAATAATTCATTAGCAAGAATGCTTTAGCTTAAAAAAAATGCCTCTTTTGTAACTAGAAACTTAAAAAGTACTTCTGAATGTAAACAGAACACTATTTGGTACGGAACAATTTTATAGGATTATTATTTGGTACGGAAGAAACTCAAAAAATGCATTTGATAAGATTGTTATCAAAAAAAATTTCTGTTTAAATACATAATAAAATATTTACTTAACATATTAACAGAACACTATTTGGTAAGGAACAATTTTAAAGGAACAAAGTGGAATTTTAATTTTTTTCTTCTATAATTTTTTCTTGTTTCTAATTGAAATATTGATTTGTCATCTAATTAGATAACTTTTCTAACAATGATATAATTTCTTCAATTTAAAATGTGTATTCAACGTGAAATATATATACAGTACCTAAATTCAAAAAAAGGAGGCCTTAGATTTCTTTCTTAATTCGTTAAACTTTTTTTGTTTTTTATTTTATCTTTTAACATATAATAACTATATAAAATTAAATTTACTTTTTGTAATAGATTTTAGTTATATCTTTTGCTTTTTAGAAATGAATGCATAGTACCTCGTGAAACCTTTGCAAAGATATATTTCCTTTCATGCATGGTGCAACAAATGCATAAGGATAATTTAACTAATCAATATAGTTTTGTATATAAGGGCGTGGAACTCATTAATTAGACATCTGTAAGAAAAAAGTGTTACTACACGAATAACAAAAAAAAAAAATCAATGGACGAGGGTGAAGGAACCAACAATGAACGCCGGTTAACGAAGCGGCAGATCAGATCATTGGAGACTATCACTTACGAGAAGAGTGTCATGGATCTGTCAAGAGAAGGGAGAATGACTAATTTGATTCTGAACCGAAACCGTGTAAGACCGCTGAACTCAATCGCTGGAACTTTCGCAACGGTCTTTGATAATTCTTCTCCTTCTTACCAATGGCTTCGTCCTGGCTGGCTCGCCGAAGAGCGTCGAATAAGCGTGACCGGCCGACTCTACCGGGTAATTTCTTTTCTTTGGATTTATATATCTTATATATGTGATCAAATTAACATTTGTTTTAGCTAAGTGATTATAGGTTAGTTGTTGTTATTATGTAGATCTAGGCTATGGATTGATTTCTATTAGATATGATCTCTATGCCTTGATTTCTATTAGACGCATTTTTACCTTTGCCAATATGCCATATTTACAGTGGTTTGTGATTGGTTTTTTACTTACTTATATATAAAAAAAAAAAGAGAAGTAACTTACACTTTAAATTTTCACGTTGTGGATTTTCAACAATGATAAGATTACATGTATAGGATTCAGAAGATTGTTTTGGAGATTAAAACATGTTCAAATGTTACTAACCTAAATTTTATAATTTTTACACTGTTTGATTAACTATTTTGCTTATTGATTGTTTGTTTTCTTTTTGTTATTTTAAATCCATTTTATTTTCCTTATTTATCTCAAAACTTAGGACAACTTTACCAATCGATCAAGTTGTAAACAAAAACTAATTATCATAAAATACGTTTTCATTCTCATATGATGTCAATGTGCAGTACTATTATGATCCAGTGGGACAAATGTACGGTACCCGACAAGAAGTGGAGCAGATATACACAGACATTGATAAGTTTTGGGATAACAAGGATGGCATAGTCATCAACCTCGACTAGAATACTCTGTATTGGTGGCATTATCATTTAATCGAATCGAAATAGATGAAAAAGGTTTAAATCCAAAATACCATGGACAAAAAGGAATTTACCTATGTTTTGGATTTATATTTTTATGTTTATGTACAATTGAGGATTTTTCCGTTGTTGTTTCCATTAATTATGGCTTTCATGGTTTTTCTTTTAATTTATGAATCAACCGAACATTTTTCGGTTGTTGAATCGACAAAAACAGTAATCGCGTTTCCAAATACTTTGTTTGCATATGATTTATATACAATGCCAAATAAATTTCTGAACAAAAAATAAAAGAATTTCGATTACAATTACATGTCAAAAATATATATAAAAAATAAAAGAATGTATTCATGGACCTAAAAGCAATACCATACTACAGAATCAAATCAGTTAGAAATTGAAATGAGCAAATGTAACATAAAAGTAATCAAAAGTACGTCTGGTTTCCACTAGCTATATGATAAGTTGGAAAAAAAAAATGAAGTATGCTTCTGTTGTTTCGCCTTTGTACACTTGCCCACATTTGTTCTTGAGTCGTCAAGTGAAAGTTAATGTGTTATTAACTTTCTCCTTCTTTACATGGACGGATCTGATTTAACAGCCATTGTTGCAGCCGCCTGATGTTTCCCGTTCTGTTTCAGATGGTGCTGTGACCAATACCTATGTGCTGCCAAGACTCTGTCTAGCAGTTCTTGAGGCACTGGTTCTCCTCTTCGTTGCTGCGGTGAGATACTCGCCGTGTGAACCAAAGTTTTCCATTTGTCCTAAAAAAGTTAGTGGAACATTAAGCTACAATATGGCTGAGATTCATAGTGTATTTGATCAGTTTCTGCTATGTGTTTTTACCTTCAAGTCCACGTAGGTTCGATGACTTGCATTCTCAAAAGAACGCAATTTCACATCACGCCATCTGTGGGAGCAAGAGTATGGATCATTAGTTGACCCACAAACCAAGTTAATTGTATCAACCAGTATCAAATGAACAAAGTCTTTTTTTTACCTTCCAGTCCCAAGTTCCTCAACTGCGTGTACTAGAGCTTCTACCTCTGTAACAGAGAATGGTCTCCTGGTTCTGCGCTGTGAAAGATCTGTACGCTTAGGTTTCGGGTTAGCTGGAACAATTGCAAGAGCCTCGGGTTCCAAGGCTGAAACTGCAACCAGCGCTCTTGAATCTGATGAAGGCTGTTCATCAGCTGATATGTCACTCTGATAAGGAACTAACTCCTGGTTATTCTCCACACAATTTCCCAAATTAGTCACGGGATCTGCATCTTGGAGAAGATAAGCAATTCTGGTATCTAACACGGGAGCAGCTGCGGACCTGGCGAGATCAAATGATTTTCCTTAGGAATAATCTCTAAAACTTCACATTTATGATCTATCCTTGAACAAAAGCCATACTAGCAGCAAAAAAAGAATACAAGATATAGGGTTATAAGAGAAAATTGGTTATTACCTTTCTGACAAATTTGTAGAATCAGTTGGCATAGAAATGACAGGATGTTCAGAGCAAAGAGGTATAGGCAATTTTTCGGGACCAGGCTCCAAGGTGAAGCCAAGGTTGCCTACATTCTCTCTACACGAAAGACCAGTCTGTGATAGTGTGTTGTTGTCATCTCTAACCTTCTTCCCTTGAACTAACACTCCAATATGTATTCCATCACCGAGTAAAGCAGTAACAGCCTCCATCACCGTTCTCTGTTACCAAAAGTGAAGTGTCAACCAAAACTGATACGTATCACAAGTCGTGTACACTGCAGAACTAAAAACATCTAAAGAGGCGACATGGAAAAATAATCACGCACCTTCAGTGAACCTACTGTTGCTGTTTCAGGAACTTCAATAAAAAGCTCCGGAATCCTAAGGGACTTGATACTGAACTTCACTGCAAACAATGAAAATAGCATGAGAACCACATATCATGTCTCGGTCAAAAGGTCTGTGTGAATTATCAACTGATCAATTACCACGGGAGTCCTTTGAATGAAGACCTACTGCGGCAGAGAAAACACCATTTTCTGCATTTAACAAAGCAGCCAAAAAAAACCATGAAATCAAAAACCGTCTCCAGCCAGATAACGAAGCATCTAGATATAGACTGATACAAACCTGATTCTCCCTTCTCAGGTGAATTAGAAACACTTTCACTACTGAGTCCTCCATCAGAATTAAATACCAAGCCTTTGTCAGACAACCTTCTCTTACTATGAACAGTCTCATGCTTCAATGGGTTGTAACCATGACATAATTTTCGCTTGCGGTGAAAAGCCTTCAAGCAACCATCTAGAAAGACATCCGCAAACAGAGTAAGAACAGAGAAGCAGCTAGAAAGGATGCATAACACAGTAGAATATGATACTAACCTGTTCTAGTGTCTTCAAAACACTTGGACCTGGGAACAGCTCTCCCGTACTTTGTCATCATCGACTTCTTTACTCTTCGATTTCCCACCCGTGTCAAATGCCTATATGACTTACATTTATCACTAAATTTGTAGTACTTACAATAGTTTTCGTCATCATCTCTGCAAACTAACTTAGAATGATTCCCGTATCCTTCAAAAGAACCATTAGGGACACCATTCGTTCCTGGTGGCAATTTTACATCGCCATCCAGGTGGACTGACTCTGGAAACTGCACATGTAATTGGCTCTGATCCTTTACGCTGAAAGTATCAGCGACTAAGCCATTGATCGCTTCTCCTTGTTCAAACCCGGCATCCACATTAACAACACTCGTCTCCTCAGAGACGCCTCCTGATTCACCAAGAGAATCACAATCCCCTTTCTTGTTTTCACACCGTACTAGAGGCTTCATACCACGACCCCTCTTACAATCAGAAACCGGTGTTTGCTCCAGAATGCAATCTTCTTCCAAAGACGAGATTTGCAAACACGTCTCGCTCGTATCCTCACTAGTCGACTTGGAAGATGGGTTTCCTTGATGAGAAAACTCGGATTTACAAGGCTTACTGTAGACATCTTCATGTTCTTGCTTGATCTCTCCACTCAAATGACCATGATCATCCCCTCCAAATGCATAGGTAGACGTTGAGGAACTTTCGCTTTCTTCCAGCAACTTTCCAGCCAGAGAAGCGAGCATATCAATTGCACTGGTCTGGCTGTCAACATCATCTCTCTTACTTGACACCTTCCTCTAGAAAAACAGCAATTCAAAGTCATCAGATAACGAATTAAAAAAACACTGAGAAATTAAAAGAAATCCAAATGAAGCACACGAATCTTTACCCTGCTTGAACGAGGAGCCTTGGGGATCATATTGGGGAAATCAAAGCCATTAGAGCCACAATTTAATCTCCTCTTGACCACCATCTCTCAATTATGCATATAAATAAATAAGCTGCAAAGATTCAGTGGAGAAAAAATTTAATGTCATGATCATCTCCAGCAAAATTAAGTATAATTTTAAACAACTGTGATACTAATTGTCTACAGATCCGTGGTAATCAGCTAGATATTTATGAATGTCGAAAGTCAGATGCAAAATCAGGATATACAGATCAGGTTTCTGATCATAATTTCGTTTTTTTTTTTTTTTTGAAACATGCATAGCGCAGCGAAACTTAAGACTCAAATGCCGGAAGTTTCTTTTTACAATTTACGTAGGAATATAGAAAAAAAAACTGATCGTCCTGATCTCAGATCTCTATGAAACTGCAGACTTCTAACGAGACGCCGGCCAAAAATGTATTCGAGATTTTGAAATTCGGCATTAGATTCAAAGAATTTACCAACACAGTTCACCAAAACCATGGGAAAACAGATCGAGAATGAAAGCAAAAAAACAGAATTGAGAATGAAAACTCACCTAATCAGCGAGCGATCCCTGGATCACAATCTCGTGCCAGTTGATTATAGATCACGCAAACTGAAAAATTCCGAATCACGCTACTTACCCAGTAAAATATTCTCACGAATCAGATAAGAACAATGGCTGTACAATGAAATGAAATTACAAGAAATTTACAGAGAGTTCGAAATTCTAAGATTTTAGGATGAAGAAGAATTCGCGATCATCCTTCTCTGTTGTTTTCGTTTTACCCCTCGTTTCTCTCTCTCTCTCTCTCTCTCTCTCTCTTCTAGAATAGAAATAAGGAAGAAAACATAAAACCCTTTGAAAAGAAACCACAACCGAAAGGCTTAAACCCCCATTTATTCTTTTTGAGAAAATACACAGTTTTTTTTATAAAAGAAAACAAAAATATTGACCACACAACCTGATGTGGCGGTTCAAGGATATTGGTTTACCGGCTGAAACCAGTCACTTTGCTAACTTCCCCAGCCAAATTTGACAACACGTGGAGTATCCCCTCACTACACGAAACCTATTTTATTTGCCATTGTCATGAAAAAGAGTTAATTTCGGGATTGGATAAAAAAAAAAAAAAAATATTCCATCTTGAGGGAATATTATTATGAGGATGTGATACCGCGTGGATCCCATCTTTTACTGTTCCGTGCACGTTTAAACGTCATTGGTCCACGTGTATTATCTTGCTGACGTGCTAATAGACGTGGAATTTTGTTTCATATTGAAATAAATTGCCCGAGTGGATATAAGTCGAACTTTGCCTTTAAGTCTAAATTATTAGGTCGTCTAAGGTAGTAACTTTATTGGGTGTTTCGAAACTATTGAATTCTTTCCCATTTATATATTTTGGGTCAAATATCATAATGTTTGTAAGTTTATTAAATGATCGCAATGAGATCGTTTAATATTGACCGGAGGCCAACGCAAATTTTTTTTTTTCTGTTTCTGTAACGGTTATCCAAATATATTGACTTTTCTCACTTATTTATTCACTAATGCATTTTGTTGATAAACATTATAGTGTTAAGCATATTCGTAACTGGACGAGCAAAAAGAAAAAGCATATTCCATTTAATTGTAAAAACTGTTAGATCGCTTGGTAAGACGGATATAGAAAAATAAAATATTTGTGTGTTGCATATTATTCTTTATTTTATGTACATTAAGATCCAACCACCCAAAAAAAAAGAGGATATTCCATTTAATTTGAAAGTCAGTTGGCAGAAGCTTATCGCGAGAATATATAGTAAATTAAAACAACAAATAAATAAAATAAAACAAAAAAGACTATACATAGAAAAACAAGATTTCACATGGTTGGTTGTCACACTCAGACCCCTCAACGTTTTCATAATTTTATAATACGCCGATAATATTGGATTTATATCCATGTCGTGTATAAAAAAAAGATCCATGTGTTTGTGTTTCCGTGTACATTGTACCACTACGTATATATATGCCTATTGCCAACAGAACATTTCAAAAATTTATAACTCGACGAATTATGGTACACGACATCGCCTATGGCTATATATCACACCACTAGTTGCTCTCCCAACTTCAAAGTTTAATAATGGAATATCATACACTGTTGGAACAAAAATATCATTGTAGGTTTATTTGCTGTGACGATAACGTATTACCTGTCTGTCATGTATCTCAATATAAAACATCAAATTATGTGTGAAAATTAACATATAGATTTAAATAATATTTTTTAACGGTTTAGATCTTGAGCCTAGACATCCACGAGGAGTGCTGCTGGATGTGTTCTTACATATTCTCCTACACGATTTGAAATAGCAATACAAACCTTTATACATATCCGAGAACATATGGACTAATCTAGTATTTTTGTTATCGAATACAGTTTACATGTTGATTTCTTCATCTATTTGTTTTTGGTTAACCATTTGATCACTATGATTTGGTTACGATATACATTTTTCACTTTTTTAGTTCGTTATCTCCATTAGATATCGGATGGAACCATATATAGTATTTATATATATATATATAAAAAAAAAGGAACCAAAGAGGAATAGATCTGGTCTTTACTCATTTGCGAGTTTGTTTTAGTCTGGTTGAACAGCTTTTCTTCTTTTATTTCTCCTTAGACAAAAAAGAAAGAAGATTTCGCTGTCACCAATTTGAAAAGCAATCACGAGTCGTCACATGGTTTTCATATTCTGGCAACATTTCGAAATTGATACAATATTCCGTTAGCCCACAAGAATCTCAATATCTTACATCATACCCCTAACATCTACATTTACTTATTAAAAATGTTTTATATAGCAAGGGGCTTTCAATTCACACGGTTTCGTATGCTTTAAGGCCGTATATCTATTCGTTGATGTGTTTGACATAAAATTTGCTCGATCGACATGTCAACTAGGACAATTGGACTCAATCATATCCCAATCTAGCTAGTTCATGACTAAAATTTATAGCTATGAATATTGCATGTGTTTAAATATATCCAGAATAAGAAAAGTTTGTATCGGTCAGATCTTGTGTGTGTTATGGAAGTAGTAGATTTATATATCTTGTCTATAGTGAAGGTTGATTTTGCAAAATTAATTTAGTTGGAGGGTTTTTTTGCAGTTATCCCTAAATAATTTCTACTTTTTCTTTCAAATGGTAACTTTAAATAATAACCTTAGAATTTTATGCTAAATCATATAGTAAATGCTTTTGTTTCAGTTATACGTTACGAATAAGACGGTTTAAACTTGATATTAGTAAGTTTAAACTATAAAATGTTTCCGTAAAATTAAAAAATAGTTTCTAATCCGAAAAGACCAGTAGGTTATTTATCTAGATAATAAAAGAAGCGGTGGATTATATAATAAATGGGAGGAGGATGCGTGAGCGAAGAAGATACCTGTAGTACGTAGTTCAACTGTTCAAGTAACCCTTTTGACTAAAGTGGAAAGCTTTGCGTGGAAAACAATCTATAACCGTCAACTGTGACTAAACTATAGAAAATAATAAAGAGAAAAATTATTATGTAAATTCAAACGTAAGAAGGACTTCCTCGTGCCAAAGGAGAATGTAAATAGGCAAAGAAACTGATGATTATAAACTCAAATATTTCTATATCGTTGATGAAGTCATTATGTATTTATATATTGGATCAGACAACATGATCAAATATGAAATCAACTCACTGATGAAGTTAACTATTATATTATATCATATATATCATCATCATCATGATCCAAGCGAATACAAGACAAGCATATATATATATATATAACACAAAGGCCAAACCATGATTCCGGGATACAAGTCTCAACTATAACGGTTGTTAGACCGAAGCTGAAGAAGTCGAGCCCAAGAATTGAAATAAACGCTTTCCGTGAGGTAATATGTGCTTCCCTTATATGTTTCATAGCATTTTTACGGTTTTTGCATTCCTGATAAATTTTAGTATCGTTTTGATCTTTTAGATTGAACTTAATTTATCTTACCCGCTAAATAAAATCTTTGGAGTTGTTTTTCAAAGAAAACAAAAATATTTTAACTTTTGGAACTCTGTTTTTTGTTTGTTGTAAAATCCTTATCTAGTAACAAAAATTGTTTTAAAGATATTTAAAACCAATAACCAACAATTGAATAATAATATATATCGCAAAAAGTAGAAATTGTTTTTCAAACATAATGTTTCTATACAGTCTCTTAATGAACCAAAACAAAATGTCTTGCGGAAATATATATATAAAAAAATTCTTCACTATATGATGTTAGTGTATGCAAATTTTGCTTGAGAAGTTATGGAGATCGATACATGCATTGGCTCGATTCTAAGAGATGACATATAGGAAACGAAATATTGAGGTGCCAAGTAATTATTCAATTTGCAATCGCTGTTGAAGTTACGATTTTCAAGGGTTGGAGTTTACTTCTAATTGCAAGGATCTAGTGTTGGGCCTAACATGGGAGAATATATGTACTTCTTTGAGAACGTATTCAGGAGTACATTTCGACGTATCCTCGTCATACATATCAAGTAGCTAATAAAACAGCGGAGCAACCGTTCACTTTTACCACGCGTCCTATTCTCTCATATCTCCATATTTACCGGATAAGCTCTAACTCGTTCATCAGGCCGATAAGCCAATGACCCTTTTAGTGAGCAGGGCCAGCCCTGGGCCAAGCCCAATGAAACATTGACCTTAGACCCCCAAATTTTTTTTATTTTTTTAGTATTAAAAATAAGCCTCCAAAAAAATTTTAATTGCAATAAAAAGTTCTTAAATATTGTAAAATCTAATATTTTTCAGGTTTAATTCAATTTTGCTGGAGCCCCCAAATTTTCAGGGCCGGCTCTGTTAGTGAGCAATGTAGTTTCTTTGAGGGGAAAAAAGAAAAGATTCGGAAATAGAGGTTATATGTTGAGTTCACTTATACGTCAGTTTGCACAGGACTATCTGAAGAAAGGGCTTACCAATGCGAAAATGAACCATATCCGCTTTGTTAGACTTGTCACCGACATAAATCATAAATGGCTGCGGAGATAAGTTTCGAATACTGGTATATTATAGTCTTATGTGTTGGCTCAGGTACGCTCAAACAATGATGGGTTTGGATCTCTTCATCGGGAATACTCTTTTACCAAGTTGTCATTAAGAGACGACCAAGTGAATAGGGAATAGTGTAAAATCCAGTTACTGCCGTAAACAAACATAATACCCATAAGCACGTACACTAAATATTTACAATCAATCAATATATATATAGCATAAGAACACAGTTGTTTTTTTTCACAACATTGACACACAAGAGTCAAAAAGGCTTACTACCCATTTCAGCCATTTCGACTACACAATTACATTAGTCCTTCGTAATAAACATACAAAAGCTACATCATTCCCATACCGATGATCGCAAACCTTAAAGCCGAAAGTGAAATGCTGCTGGTCCAAAAGAGATTTTCGGATACTTAGTAGCATCATTCACACTTTGTTCTAGACACCAATAGAAATATGAAATGAGAAAAGAAAAAAACCTCTCTTTTGTTTTTTTTTTTTTGGTTTTTCAGGCTGATTTTTTCTCAAGATGAACAATCAGGACAGCGTATCAATCCATTCTCATTGCAGTCCGGGCATCTCTTGAGCCTATCTTCATCCTCATCAAACAGTTTCTTGCTCCCACTACAGTTGGAACACGGAAGGAATCTCACGTCCCCGCAACAATGGCACACAAACCCTGGCTCCCTCACCGGAAACTCCTTGAGGATCTTGGCCAGCTCGCCAATCTCGAACAGACTCTTGATCACATCAGCACCACCCACATACTTGCCCATGATGAAAATCTGAGGCAAAGCCACACCTTTCTCGCCCATTGTGATCTGCAACTCTTTCCTGTAAGCTGAATCCATCGACACATCACGCTCGTCTATCCAAACCCGAAACCCTCTAAATATCATCCTCACGGCATAACAATCCTCGTACGTCCGTCTAATCCCTCTCAAGCTAGTGAAATACACCACGATCCTGTCCTCTGTCCCGGGAAGACGAATCACCGAGTTGTTTAAGCTCAAAAACGGTGATATCCGCGACTCCGATAAAAGCGACTTCCCTGATTTCTGCTTCTGAGGGATATCAGCTGAGGTCGGTTTCGCCGATTTCGAAACTTCAAATAATCTACAGAGGTTCTTGACTTTTCCTTTAAGAGAGCTCCCCACTGTTTCCACGGGGTTGTAGAATTTGGTGATGGAGGTCGTACGATTCAGAGAAGGATTGAGGCTGTGGGATTTGGGGCTCGAATCCACCGTTCTCCCGTGAATTGTAAGCGACCTGTTGAAAAACGTCGACGGCGTGGCCGATTTCGGCTTCCCGGAGAACTCCGCGGTTTTCTCTGATCCCGCCATCGACACAGAGTCACGAAACACCTTTCGGCGGCTGTTTTGGTGCAGAACCTAAACCCTACAATCAGAATTTAGATAAATAGACGAATCTAAAGAGAAATTGAGAAATAAAATAAGAAAAACAACAATCGCCTCACCGATCGATCACCCCCACAAGGAAGAAGTGGAAATTGGCAACGTCTGCACGTAGAAGACAATCCGAAAAAAAAACAAAACAAAACAGAATCAGCTTCTGTGAATTGAGTCGTAAAGCATCGGAAATCCGTTTTCCAGCTAAATATTTCTCACCTAAGATCGAAGAACACGAAGATGATGAAAGAATATCCGTTATCTGATTCTGGATTTTTCCTTTTGTGTTTTTTTCTTGCGGAGAAGAAGATGTGGAGGAGAGCTCCGAATTAGCCTTCTGGCTTTGTTGTAAAGCAAAGAATTTTTCTGTTTTTTTTTCTTATTTTCCTGTCAAATTATTAATTTTCACAATTTCATTGTTATCATTATGTCTCTTATAAAAAGGCTCTTTCTGATCTTTTTTTACTCTATGATGCTTCCACGAGAAAGAAAATTAATTGTGGATGAATTTTGCGAGGAAAAGTCTTTATTGACAAAACGCGGTTGGCGTATTAATATTTTTATATTCCAAATGGTTTACAATTGTGTGGGAGAAACCGGATTGGGACGCGGTTAGAGTTCGGTTTAGTTCTATGCGCTTTAAGGCTTTAAGCTAAGGTGAGCTACATTTTCAATTAAGCAATGGGTCTTTGAGGTGGGCCTAGGATATGGACTCATTATTTTGGGTTGTTCTATAACAAGAAAGTAAACTAATGAGATGAATTTGCACAAAACAATGTGGTTAGAACAGACTCTTCCGTTGTCACCACCATCCAAAACCCAAAGGGTAAATTGGTAATACTAATAGTAATTTTTTTTTTGACGTAAACTACAAAATGCTAACTCAACCTGACTTCTAAAAATTAAAATCATTAAGATGGCAAATTCATCACAAATGAATTTGATTGAAATATTATTTTGGTTATTTCTAAGATTTTTAAAATGAGTTTTGGCAAATATTCCAACAAAAATAACTCACAAAAATATCTGAAGTGTTTATCTCCGGGTAAACTAGTTTGCATTAACAATGATGCTTCACAAGAAAATTATTTGAAAGAAGTGGTTTTTCGACAAAGTTGTCCAAATTTGTGTTGCTCCCACCCTCTCGTAATGTCAAAATAACCAAAATCTCAGATCCAAAAGAAAATGTCAGATTGTGTTAGAGAAATGACCCCAGTATGAATTTTGGAATCCTTGAAAAAAATTAAAATCAACAAAAACGTTGTTGTCGGTTTGCACCGAAGTTAGCCAAGACAGCAAGCAAGCAAACTCTGAACCTTCTTTCTTCACCTTTCCTTGTATAAATCCCTCAAAGAGACGGGCTTTAATTTCTTAATATCAATCCGATGAATCATTAGATGAAGCTTCTTGCATCCGGAATTTGAAAGGTACCACCTGGAAATCTCTCTCTCTTTTTTTCTCCTTTTCTTTTATGAATCATAGATGGATTTCGTCGTTGATGAATTGGGCGATACTGGGTGTTGTCTGGTGGTTGATTGATTTCTATTTGATTACTGGGAACTTGATTTGCTATGTTTTTATTTAGATTCGATAAAGAGAATTTCGGTAGAAGATCACCGCAAGTTTCATGAATCTTTTGTATGTCGGTTTCAGCTTTTGGAAAACAAAATTCGGAGAACTAAATCTATAAACTTGGCTAGACTCTTGTGTTTTTTTTTCCTTCTGATTTTCATCTTTGCTATGAAGTAGAGAAATTTGAGCGGCCAATCTATTTTGTTCATTACAGGATTTAGTTATGGAGGTAATGGCACAGAACTTCCTTCCTCAGTGCTCTGTGGTGACTTGGAGTAGTAAATCAGCCAACAACAACAGATTGGTCCCAAATCGACCAAACATCTTATTGTCTGGGGCCAGAAAACCCAGGCTTGTGATTCGAAACGGGAACTCTGATGGTTATGTGGTTGGTGAGAACGAGGACTTGGGTATTATAGCCAGAAGAGGAGACTCAAAGTCAAAGGTTTTGATTCCTGGTTTGCCTGGCGAGTCAAACGGCGAGGCCGCTGCTCAAATCAGTCGTTCTCGCTGCGAGTGGAAGCCGAAGCTCACGGTGCATTATGAGAAGTCTGGCAGTGGGAACCTCGAGGCTCCTGCTGTGTTGTTTCTCCCTGGCTTTGGTGTTGGTTCTTTCCACTACGAGAAGCAGCTTACGGATTTGGGAAGGGATTATCGAGTATGGGCGATTGATTTTGTCGGGCAGGGTCTATCTCTACCCACTGAAGATCCTACTACCATATCTCAAGAAACAGGCGCCTTGAAAACCAATGAACCGTTTTGGGGATTTGGTGATGCAGCTGAACCATGGGCTGATCAACTCGTTTACTCGCTGGATCTCTGGAAAGATCAAGTTCAGTATATTGTTGAAGAGGTAAACAATATCTGTCAAAAAAAAAATTCCTGTTCTTTGTCTCTGTTTGTGTTTCTAGTTGCTGAGTCGGTAAGAGTATGTGGTTTTTATGTTGTACAGGTTATCGGTGAGCCCGTGTACATTGCAGGGAACTCACTGGGAGGTTATGTAGCTCTCTACTTTGCAGCAACCCATCCTCACCTTGTGAAAGGTGTTACATTGCTTAACGCAACACCTTTCTGGGGTTTCTTCCCTAATCCAGTAAGATCCCCAAGGCTAGCACGTCTCTTTCCATGGTCAGGAACATTCCCTCTCCCTGCAAGAGTGAAAAAACTCACAGAATTGGTGTAAGCAAATCATCTTCTCACCTGCAAAGTATCATATTTTTTATAGCTCAAATCAGTCTAATATCTTCTGTGTTGTTGTTGTACTTCCCTCGCGATGGAATTGCAGGTGGCAAAAGATAAGTGATCCTGAAAGCATAGCTGAGATACTTAAACAGGTCTACAAAGACCATTCGACCAATGTGGATAAAGTATTCTCACGTATAGTGGAGATCACGCAGCATCCGGCTGCTGCAGCGTCGTTTGCTTCAATCATGTTTGCTCCTGGCGGACAACTAACCTTCTCAGAAGCTTTATCTAGGTAGATAAGACAGTATTAGTGCTCATGTTTTATATGTTTTTTTCAACTCCTCTGCGTGATTGGTCTTACCGGAAATGCTAACTGATTGGTGTATGCTAGGTGTAAGAAAAATAATGTACAGATATGTCTCATGTACGGAAGAGAAGATCCATGGGTGGGACCGATATGGGGAAAGAAGATAAAGAGGGAAATGCCTAACGCTCCATACTATGAGATCAGCCCAGCGGGTCACTGCCCACACGATGAAGTCCCTGAGGTACAATGAACAAACTCAAAAAAACTTTGCTTAAAAAGCTTTTTGATTCAGAGTAATGGACCCTTTTTGCACTATGAAAACGAGTAGGTGGTGAACTATCTGATGCGCGGGTGGATCAAACACCTTGAGTCTGGTGGGTTTGAAGCGCTTCCGCTTTTGGACGATGGTGAAGACGATTGGGAGCAATCAAGCATTGCTCGGGAAATCGAGTTTCCGAGAGAAGGTTGGAAAAAAGCAGTGAAGCTGTGGTTATACGGGTCAAAGTATTCGTTCTGGCGTGGAGTTGGAGATGCTTTCAGAGCAAGTTTCGTTAGGGCGTTTCGAGGGAAGTCTGCATAGAAGTAGCATTTGCATCAGTCGTCCTCTAGTGTAGATAGTTGTAATCTATGGTCGATGGTGCTATAATGTTGTCTGATAGAATAGAATCAAAAGTTTCTAAAATGTTCATAATGAAAACGTTGGAAAACAAATAGTATGTGCAGTTGCGTATATAGGGAAGTGTTGACGAATTTGAAAAATATCAGACGCAGTATACAGATTATCTGCCTAAGACCTTCTTGTATAACCCATGACCTAAATCGAAGCTGAAACATATCAGTTGGCCCAACTTTAGGTCTCCGCGCACATAGGATTTTGGTTACTGTTTTTGTGGTTAGATTTCGAATATTGAGTCATTTGAAATTCGAATGAATATGTTACTTGATAACAAAAATTTGTGTTCACAGTTCAAAAATGTAAATTTTTTTAGTAACAAAAGAAGTAAAAGAAATACAGATGGAGAAAGAGACGAAAATAAACACAACTTTAGCAACAAAAGGAAACGTGGGTCCCAGTGGGTCAGGCAAACCCTCTAAATGTGGCAAAAAGGAGTCATGCAAAAACCCCGAAATTCAAAAAGAGAGCACGCAAAACAGTGCCCATGCAACACACAAGTCACACAACATTTAGTTTTTCTTTTTTTCCTCTCACTTTTCTCTTTTTCTTTTTAAGAAATATTCCATCCAAATTTAGCAAGCTTGGTCTCCCCTTTATAGATTGGAACCCCAAAAAGGAGTTTCTAAATCCAATTTGGGGACTTAAAGATAGAGGAGAGATTGAGCCACTTCTCTCTTCTGTTCTATGCGATACCTCAAATTCGGTTATTCAATATAGAAGATGGGCCGTGGAAAAATCGAGATAAAGAGGATCGAGAATGCGAATAGCAGACAAGTAACCTTCTCCAAGAGGCGTGCTGGGTTGCTGAAGAAGGCTCATGAGCTCTCTGTTCTTTGTGACGCTGAGGTTGCCGTCATCGTCTTCTCCAAGTCTGGCAAGCTCTTCGAGTTCGCCAGTACTGGGTTAGAATCCTCATTTTCTTGATTCGATTTGTGTGCTTGCATGTCTACACTTGATGGCTGCTTCTTTAATCGATTTTATGAGGCTTAAGATTTGATTAATCTAAGTGGAATTGATTCTTGCATGTTTGTTCGGGTCGTTTTAAACTTTGAGTTTTCTAATTGAGCTGAACAGAGTCCTAATTAAAATCTCACATTTGGTTCCTGTAATGAATGAATTTTATCATATGATTTTAGCATGAAGAAAACGCTTTTGAGATACGGCAATTACCAGAGTTCTTCAGATGCTCCTTTGGTTAATTGTAAAGCAGAGGTGAGAATTCTTGTGTAGATTCAATTGTTTTTTTTCCTTTTTAATCTTGATTTAAGTATTTTGTCCTGATGCATGAATGTCTGATATGCCATTTAGAACCAGGAGGACTGCGCAGAGGTGGACCTTTTAAAAAATGAAATTTCAAGGCTTCAAGAGAAACATTTGTATGGAACCTAATCCCCACTTGGTTGTTACTTTAAGTCTTCCTGAATCAAAGGCCGGTTTTGTGTTTACAATATGGTTTTGTCTTTGTGTGTTGTGCAGACAACTTCAGGGTAAGGGCTTGAATATTTTGAGCTTGAAAGAGCTGCAACACCTTGAGCAGCAACTAAATGCTGCACTGATATCTGTGAGAGAGCGAAAGGTAACTAGTATTATCACTCTTACCCATTCCCTTTTTTCATAAACATGTTTGCATTTTCCTGATAAAGGTTGTGTGATTTCAGGAACTATTGTTGACTAAACAGCTTGAAGAATCACGGCTTAAGGTAATAATATATGCAACACTAGCTTTTCCTGTTTAGCTTCCAACTGAATATAACGAAACACATATATACTTTACAGGAACAGCGAGCAGAGCTGGAAAACGAGACCTTACGTAGACAGGTGAGCAAAATGAAATCCTTCTTGTAATGTTTTTGTTGAATCATTCTCCTGTCACGAAGTCTTCTTTCTCTGACTTATAATCATCTCTTGAAATAGGTTCAAGAACTCAGAAGTTTACTTCCGTCGATCAACCAACACTATGTTCCATCCTACATCAAATGCTTTGCTATAGATCCCAAGAACTCACACGTAAACAACACTTCCTTGGACGACATTACGTGCAGCCTCGAGAAGACCAATTCAGACACAACTTTGCAACTAGGGTATTGCTCTTTAACCATTTTAGCTATATAAGCCTTATGCCTTAATACTGCTGGGATAATTTATTCTTGCTACTCGTGTTTTTCTTGGAGGTTGCCGGGAGAGGCACATGATAGAAGGAAGAATGAAGCAGACAGAGAGAGCCCGTCAAGTGATTCAGTAACAACGAACACGACCAGAGCAAGTGCACAAAGGATCAGTCTAGTTTAGCAAAAAAATCATTTGAAAACAAAAAAAGGCAGAGGTTCTCTGTTTAGCCATAGAGAAAAATGGGAGTGAGGTACATAATGTTGCGTCATTAGCAAGTATTCGACTATAATTAAGCAATTTAAGAGGGATACTAGAAGAAAAGAACAAGAGAAGATTAACTTATTATATCTCATCTGCATTTTCCTCTAACCTCACTCTCTGTACTTTTTCATTTGATTATCTTTCGTCTTGTCTCTCCAATCACAAAGATATAACCTAGTTGATAGTTTATCAACCATAATCTTCACAATTAACTTTGTGCCTTAATGAATAAAGCACCTAATTAATTGATATCTCGAATAATGTAACCCATATGGTGGTTCGGTCACCTGAGCAGATGATATTCTACTAAAGCAATTACAACAAAAGACGGTTTGGAGCAATTTACGGAGAGATAGCATTAAGCATCATTTGTGATTCTAATGGACACTGAAGAAGAAGGACTTTTTTGTAGAGAAAGCTCTCTGTTTCCCATTTTACTTCCCTTCTCAAAGTAATAAAATCAAAGCAGAGTACAATTGGAAAACTTAAAGTTGAGATGACAAAGATTTTCACACATGTACATATACACACATACCTACAGTGGTAGTTACTGCATCGTGGTGGTGACTGGCGTGCGTGTTGACTGTTGATCAAAACAGTAAAAAAAAAAACAAAAAAGTCAAGGGTAAAAAATTACTATCATGTGAACGTGTAATTGTCGGAATCTCCCTGTACTACATTACCAATCAAAATAGGCCCAACTGAACTAAAAATCCTAATTAAGAAAGTTGAAAGAGTTTAATAAGATTGAGTGTTTTGCCCCGGAAGTAAAGAAAGTTTCAATAACGACCCCATATTTCTGTGTTATCGAAATTCGTCTCCAGATTAAATCCCCGAACCCGAAGCAAATTAGACCGAAAACCCTAACCCACCTTTATCCGCGAGAGAAGAGAAGAGAAGAAATTGAGCAGCCATGGTCTGCATCAGGCGAGCGACGGTGGATGATCTGCTGGCGATGCAGGCCTGCAATCTCATGTGTCTTCCTGAGAACTACCAGATGAAGTACTACCTCTACCATATCCTCTCCTGGCCACAGCTTCTCTACGTCGCCGAGGACTACAATGGTCGCATCGTTGGCTATGTGCTCGCCAAGATGGAGGAGGAGAGCAACGAGTGCCACGGCCATATCACTTCTCTCGCCGTTCTTCGTACCCATCGGAAGCTCGGCCTCGCCACAAAGCTCATGACCGCCGCTCAGGCTGCCATGGAACAGGTTTTACTCAATCTACACATTCTATTTTCTTACTTCAAGTATATAATTGCATTCAACAAACAATATCTAGATTGTGTTCAGTTGTATTGAATAAATCTGGATGATAATTTTTGCCTTCTTGTAACGAATTTGTGTCGTTTAAGTTATGCTGAAGATTGAATTAGTGATGCAAGTTAGTCGATTCTTTGGTATGCGAAGAATCCATGAATTACTGACAGTATGTGTAACTTTCTGTGATCTTATGTATGCTATTGAATTTTTGGTTCTTATCTCAGACTAGATGAAGTGATTGTGGTAGTTGCTATTTCTCATGTTGCATTGTGCTTTTCTTTACTTTACTTCTCTTGATTGGAATTTGAAGCAGTATACAACATAATTCACCTCTGATAGCTTTATCTTTGAACTTGAGCTGTTAATTCAATCTCATGGTTTTGTGGCAGGTTTACGGGGCAGAGTATGTTTCGCTGCATGTGAGGAGAAGTAACCGAGCGGCATTCAATCTCTACACGGAGACATTAGGCTACAAGATTAACGATGTAGAAGCAAAGTATTACGCGGATGGAGAGGATGCTTATGACATGCGAAAGAATCTCAAGGGGAAACAAAACCATCACCACAGTCACGGTCACGGTCACGGTCATCATCACCATGGAGGTGGATGTTGTTCCGGTGATGCAAAAGCTGTAGAAACAGCTCAAGTCGAAGAGGCTAAAGCAAGTTCGAAGTGAGAGTCAAAAGCAGGATGACCAAAGACAGGTAATTATGAGTATGTTGGGGTGTGTGTTCGCTAGCTCGCTCTAGTACTGCTCACTATTTTCCATTCATATGATTTTGAGTGACAAATACATTTTTGTAACCACTCTGTTTTCCTCCATTGTCTTCCTTTGGTTGTACTTGATATCTTAGCTCTTCTTTTTTTATGTATCATGTTTCGGAAATCCCATTATCTCCTTAAGGCTTTACAACTTGAGATGGAAACCTTCTATTTGCAAGATAGCAGATCTCTGTGAGACAATGTATTACATTTAATTACAAAAGAATCTTGACTTCTACAGATTTCCCTTTCAACTCTTCAAGAACCTTGCAAAGTTTTTATGTTCTTCGTATTCGAGTATCTTGAAGCACTAGTTTGTGCAGTGTCAAAGCTTTCCTGCAGCCATCTGATCTGGGAAGTAAGACCAGCATCACGCAATGCATTCAAAGCTGAGGAATAAAGCCTCGCATCAAGCCTGGTTCTCTCGACTTTCATGTCCTGCAACAGCCTCATCAGCTCATCGATCCTGCTGGTCTTGGAGAATACACCGACCATGATTCCCGCCATGGCCCTATCGATCTTTCCTCTGCTCATCCTAAACTCATTGTAAAGCTCCACACAACTCTCAAACTCTTTTGCTCTGTTGTATGCACTGATCATGCTTGTGTAACTCACCTTGTCCGGCAACACCTTCATCCTCTTCATCTCTTTCCATATCTTTTCGACCCGTCTCAAGTCCATAGCTCTTCCATGCATATCAATCAAGGAATTGTAAATCCAAATGTTTGGTTTGCATCCTCTTTGTTTCATCTTACCCATGAGTTTCACCGCATCGCTTAGCCTCCTTGTTTTCCCGTACATATCCATAATGTTCGAGTACGCGACGACGCACTTGTCAAACCCTTTCTTCACCATCTCCTCAAACAACGTTTCAGCCTTCTCGTACTCATCTAGCCGACAGTATGCGTTGATGGTTATTGCATAAGTCACTTGCCCTGCCTCGCATTCTTGCTTCATAAGCCACTCATAAGCCCTAACTGCTTCCGCAAAACCTCTTTGCTTGCAAAATCCATTCACAATCGCGCAGAGAATGCAGTCAGAGACCTTTAACTCGTCTTTCCTCATCGCCGCCACAACCTCTAGAGTTCTCTCCACGTTTCCTTCTCGGACGTACATCAGTACAACCTTCAAACACATTTCTGGATCCTTCAACAGTTTCTTCTCTCCAGCTTCTTTGAATAGCTTCTCGACCGATACAACCTCTCGGGCTTCTGCTAAGGCACGGATCAGCGTAGAGTACAATGCACTAGTTTCCGGGATTCCTTTACCTTTCATCTCCTCCAGAAACTCCAGAGCTTCGAATGTCCGTCCTGACTTTGCAAGGGAGGAGCATAGAATCGTGTAGATGGAGCCTGATTCCTTGGCCAAGAAACTCAACCTATTGCTCTTAAACTCTTGAAACAACTCGATTACCTTTTGATTGTCACCAACCCTCTCATGAGCCTCCATGATCCTGCAGTAACAGCCAGGGCTCGGCTCTATTCCCACAGATTGTTTCATCCTATCAAACACTTGGATCGTGCTGCTATACATTTGGAGTTTGTTAAAGCCTTTCATCGCCGAATCAGTTGCAGACACAGCCAATGATTGGTCTGATCTAAACACGCTAAGCAAGCAATGTGTGATTCGGAATTTTCTGTCTCTGATGCAACTCCTGATGAGCTGGGAACACGTATGAGCATCGGGCAACGCTTTGTATTCCCTGAGATCCTCGCAGAGCGAGACGAGCAAGTCCCAGCTCTTGGAATTCACCAAGTAATTGATGAGATGCTTGGTCGTCCTCAGCTCTGAGTTCTCCTTAGCTTTCTCGTAGAACTCAGAAGAAAGTTTCTGGGTTTCCGGGTCTCGGAGCAACCTGGATAAGACCCGGTTAAGGCCATCCGGGGCAGGTTCGAAAAATGGCCACTTGTCTTCTTTGTGAATCGGCGACTTCTTTTCATCTTCCTCGAGAACCAGAGAGCAACGAGAGGAGCAGACGTGAGAACTGTGAGGCTTTTGTGAAAGAAAGAAAACGGGTTTCGTCGGAGAGGTGAAGCTGTGGGGATTTGCATGGTGGTTCACGGTGGCTACCCACGATCTGCTCGCGGTGGCCATATGTTTGCGTGTGTCAGGGAGAGGAAGAGATCTCTCTCTCTCTCTCCTTCTCTTTTGCTTCACTTGTGGATTTAATTTTTAGTTCAGCGCCACAAGAAAAATCGACCACACGTTTTAATTTTAATAATTTCAATTTTGTGCGTGATCGTATGATGACGTTGCATCTATTAATGGTTCACAAGCCAAATCGACGAATCACGTGGCGGATTTTAGATTTCATGTTATGATAAGATTTGACTTTTCTGTGGAGACCGTCAGCTGGGCTTTTATGGGCCTCTCCAATATAAACAACATATATGATAAGGAATCCAAAATATTTGGAGTTGGTTTTATACATTTCCGGAAATTAACAAAGCCTTTGTTCTGAAATCTTTTTGTATAAATTCACAGGTTTTGGTATCGAGAGGACGACCAACTACATAAGCATCATTTTTTTTTTTTTTTTTTATGTTTTGAGTAAAAATAAAAGTTACCTATGCTACGATAAGGTGTAAATCCTTATCTTGTGTTTAATATGGACATGAAAATATGGTGGTTTTTGCTTCTTGATCGAAAGAATTCATATTTCATATGAACAACATTGATCAAAAGTTTAGATCTACCTACCACGCAGACGCATGTCCTAATCTTATTAAATAATAACCTATATCAAAATAAAAGATATAAAAATCAACAACTTTCCAAAATCGAGAAAGGAATATACCTGTGTACAGAAAGGAACGAATAAATAATGAAGAAAAAAATATGTACATGGAGGGGTCTCACCAACAACAAAGAAAAGCAAAAAAAGAAGAAAAAAGCTCAACCAACTTGGCTTTTGGCTAATTAGTTGGATTGTGTCCATGTCATTCATGAGCTTGTCTATCCACATTCTTTCTTTCTCCACCCCCACTGATATCGACACTTCACTCTTTCTGTGACTAAATTAACTTTCAAATTTTTAAAGACTAGCTATTTTCATCTCTGAAAAGCTGAACACCTAGTAGCCATCTCAAGAAGGAAAAACAGAGATTAAGCAGGCTGGGCCGGCTCGGCTAGAAAACGGCGGACTCTAGGGGTGGTGGCGACAACAACACGGCCATTTCTGATCAAAGCTTGCCTATCTTTTATGGTTTTGTCAAAGAATCTGCTTTCCTGATTTTCTGCATAGCATGCGTAGTAGCAACTTACGCAGGCGTGAGGCAGTGCCATTGAGATCCTCGTCTGTTTTTTTAACACATCCAACGGAAAATAATGAATGACTGATGACGATACTATTGTTAAATAAAACACAGTTTTGTAGTCTAAAAGAATTAAGATATGTCATTACCATGAGGTATCCAATGAAGAAGGCAAGCAAGGAGATGGTGGCTGTAAAAGGTTTGTAAACTGTGTGAGTCCAAGCGGCTGCGACAATAACACAGACGCAGCCACTGCAGATGCCTGTGAGGAAGCAGATGGAGCTTGTTATGTCTGCATCTACTATCTCAACCATATCTGCAGCCTCAAACAGCTTCCACGTGTCTTGCGACGCCCTCACAAATCCTTTCCCATACGCTGCTATCTGTTACAGCAAAATAAGTATATTCACAACATTCAAAGCTCAACTTATCTGCAACAATATAATTATTTTAGGAGTTTCTGATAATTACTACTAAAGAACTCTTATTTTTGTGATTCAAAATATTTACTACAAATGCAGAAAGGCATGTGGTTGTGCCTCAACTTGTCAAGATGATTCAAGATTCTCATATCAGAAAAAGAAATAAAAAAAGACCCACCACAACCAAGTTGGGTTCTGTAAGAAGATATTTTTTTGTTTAAAGAAACCGAATAAATGCAGCAAATATAGACACTACTTAGAAAGGAGCGATCACGACAAATCACTTGTAAACCTACTCCATTGAAGATAAGAAAAAATGATTTCAGTATATGACATGGTTTAAAAAGGTTAGTTAATACCTGCACAAAGGCCCAGCCATTGCCGTGCTCGAATATGAAGGTCATGAGTTTGAGACAGCAATTAGCACAGCAAAACATGAACTCATCTTCACCCTTGAGCAAATTCAATCCTCTTGCCAAGATCCTAAGTGCTTCGATCGTTGGAACAAACAGAGATCCTAAACACGCGCTCCCGAGATTACGAGACAAGGCTCTTTGGAAACTAAACCTGGTGCTAGACTGCATCCCTCTAAGATAGAACAAAGCAACGACCCTACTCACTGTTAGGTTAACAACATTCCTCATCACTTCCGTCGTCCAAGCCAAGCTCAGCACCAAAGCAATAATCACTAGCGGCGGAAAATAGAAGTTCAATGCACCGATGACACCGAAGATCCAAAGAGACATCCAGAGGAAACCAGCAGCTAGCATGTAGTAGGTTGGTAGATTCAGATCCGAGAACTTGGAAACGGGTTCTAAGGACTTGACCAGTATCTTGGAACAGAACTTGATCCTGCGAGTGACCCAGCAAGCATATAAACCATTGCCGATGGAGAACGCGATCAGGCAGACCCCAACAGCATCGGTTGCTGGCATCTGGAAACAAAGTAAGAGGATTCCTGAGGACAGAGACATCAAAAAGGTGCTCCAGAGTATGAAGTGGATCATGAAATCAGGCCAAATCCGAAATGCCATTTGCCAGGAGAATGCGAGTATGATGCTCAACAGAGATGCAGCTTCGACTTGTGGAAGTAGGAATTTGAGGATCTTTTGCTCTTTCCTTTTGACGCTACCATTGGATCCGATTAGACCTTGGACGCCTCTGAAGACAAGGAAGCATACAAACCCAATAGCCACAACCTTGTGAAGAACGAAGAGCAGCAGAAAGAACTTGTTTGTGTACTTTGTTGAATTCAGTGATGCCAAAGTTTCCTGCAGCCAAATAAATTAGGAAACTTTTTAACTTACCAACTTAGAAATCCCAACTAATTTCAAACAATACCCACCAAATGTTTTAGGCAGATATTCAAATATAGGCCTACAAATCTATCAATGTCCTCGGAATCTTTAGAATCATCAAGGTGAGAAAGAGATTCAAGCTAGTAATAGAAGTAAAGTTGGAGAAAAATTCGCCGAAAAATGAAAACTTTCCCACTGAAATGCAAAACAGAGAGGAAATTACCTGAGGGGTTGGAGTGAAGAGGGAACGAGATTGATGTTGACGCGGCGGCGGCGGCGACGACGGAGAGGGAGAAGGCGGAGGCTGAGGCTCTTCAGGCGGTTGCGCGCGAGTGGGAGGCGTCTGCATCGGCGGAGGAGCTCTTGAGGAAGATCGGAGTGGCTGGGCGAGATTGGGAGACGGCGTAGTGAATCTAGAGCCGCCGCCATTGTTAAAAATGATCCTAAGAGGGTTTGTTGGGTTCAATCTGTTCAAGCTCGCCAAAAATCTGTGATGGTTGACTTCATCTTTATCCTTTGATTCTTCTTCTTCCTCCTCCACAGACTTTACTTCTCTTTGCTTCTCCTCTGTTTCTTCCCTCTCTCTCCCTAACTTCTCTCCTTTGTTTTCTCTCTCTTCCACCGCCTTACAACAAAAAAACTGATCGTTTACAAGAGATTATTCCGCAAAAAAAAAGAGAGAAATTTGGTAGGAAATGAGAAAGCTTACGGGGTCTGTGGCACCCATTGACACCAGCTTTTGGTGACGTCACTTCCCGGCGACGGCGGTCGTCTCTCGTCCGAAGAATGTTTGCCAAAGTTTTCTTCCTTTATTTTAAAGTGAGATCATTTGTTTTGATTACGTTATTTGTGTGATTGGTGTAAAGATGTTACTGTTTCTTTACTTTGTACACTTTTTTCATTATTTCCGATTTGTCTTTGTGCATTTAATTTTTTTTATTTTATTTTTGGTCGTAACGTTTATTATTATGACCAAAATGGTACGAAAGCAGACTCCACCAACACTTCAGAGTTATATGACATGTGCAGATTATCGCGCGTGAGACACACTCTCCATCTTAAGTCTGCGTTTGTTTGTTTGTTTCCAGTGCATTGCATGTTGTTGGGAGAAAATCACACACACACGTGAAGATGGTGGATAAGGAGAGATCGTTATCTTGTGTGTTGACGTGTAAGCTTCAACAAGGAAAATGAAGCGACACGTCTGCGGTTTCACCGGAGATGGACGGATGCGATTTGTTGTTTCATGGTGATTGAGTATAAGTTTGTTGTTTTTTTTTTTTTCAGAAGAGTCAGAAGATATTATTCGCAAAACATCAAAAACTATAATATAGAAAACATTATTGTTAAATCTAAGTCGTTTTCTAAAACTATACCAAGATTCGATTTACTTAGCTAACTGTATCAAAAGACTGCAAATTACGGGTAAAGTATCCCACTTGCATCATCACAAGACTTCTGTAATATTGTCCCAAAATTTGCTTCCTAATTACTGTTTAAAAAAATGTAGCAAAATAATAGTAAATCATCACAATCTGACGAAATTTACTATACAAGAACTTTTTTTGTAGACAATTTTCTTGCTTGCTTAAATAAATAATGTATGCTACAACATTCTAAGTTTCTAACAAGTTGTTATCCGTACCATTTTGTAAATACATCTCTCATCTAACTTTGGCATCACACAAATACAATCTACAATTAAAATACAATCCGATGTGATGGTTTCATCGATCTCTACTGTTGTGTTTCAGCTAAAAATGGTTTGAACGTCATTACAACTCCGAGTGCCAAGACTGCATTGAGGATAAAGAATACTATTTGTGTGCCTGCACGTTCACAAATATACCATTTCCTTCTTCTTAGTTTCACTTTGGTCAATGTTTGAACTCTGAAGTTATTATATAGCTATTGACACAATATGGATATAAATGTGAAAGAATTCACTTTACCAGGGAGAAAAGTAGCATCCTGACGTTTCTCGCTCCAAGAGAAACTGCCAACAAACGGAACACAGAGAGGAGACTATAAGTAGGAAACAATCAAAACCTATATATCGATGAGAAGTTGTCTTCATTTTAATTATGGAAAAGTTGCATGCATACATGATGCCTGCTGCTGCTGGACCTATTGCTTTAAAAAAAGACATCCCTGTCATGGCAATCCCATTAGCTGCTCCTCTTTGGTCTTGTCTCTGTTTATTTATTTTATTTATGAAGAATTAAAGAGGTTTCGGCTTCACCTATATAGGAAAGTAGAATCAATGTGATGAAAAATACTTACTACAGCCTTGTTTTGAAGAATGAATAAGCCAGTTATAGCAGACACCTGCACACACGCACACACAATTGTTGAGTATTTAAACTAAAATCGATGTGTACATTCTTCTAAGGTTGTTAGAGAGACTTACGCTTAAGACATTCTTTGCCACGGATGCACAATTTAGCGCCAAGGTAAGGGCGAAACCAGATAACTTTGCTATAAGAGGGTAACTTGCTAAGAGGACTAAAGCCAGACTCTGTAACAAGCACAAGATTAGAACTTCTCTTGCTCAAAAATGATAAGGTTAATTTGGAGTAAGAACAACAGGAGGATAGTGATTACCCCAGCTATACGTGTAACTATGATGGGTCCTAGAAGTCTCTCCGCATAAGAGTAGAGTGAAAGCTGAAAGATAAGGAGACCAAACCCTAGAATGAAGTAGTTACTGTTTAGGTCAGAACAGTATCATTATTTCTGTTGAATATGTTAGCATTGAGAAGTGTGGTGGACAAACCTGAAATTGCGAGAACTGAACCAACATCCGCAGAGGAGTATCCCAAACCTCCATATTTCCTCGGGCTGTTTGCCCACAACGAAAAGATCTATTGGAGAAAGAAAGCTGGAGAATTTTATATATTGGGCGAGATAAACAATGATGAATGTGTGAGGAAGACAAGTCCCCACCTCTGTGTAAGCCATATCATGAAGTGAAAAGACGCAGTAGACGATAATAGATGAAACTAGTGGCCAGTTCTTCAAGAGAGAGCTTTCCTCATTTCTCTCTGCCACTTTATGAGATTCAGGGTCATGTGACAAAGCTTTGAGAGCATCACAAGACTCATCATGTGATGCCTCCTCATAAATCTTGTGATTGTGCAATGTTTCCTGGAGAAGGAAAAAAACAACCATTTCTATAGGCTTATGCTAAACACAATCATCACTATAAATTTCATGAAGCATTGAAAAGTAAAGAGCGTACCGGAATCCGTAATGAGATTAAGGTCACCAAAAATGCAAAAACAGATATTGCTAAGCACGGCAGAAAGTACGGAAATCTGCATTGTGATTCATAGACCAATGAGACTATATATATATATATATATATATATATGAGTTGAATGAAAGTGAATAGGAGGAAGTGAAGAAAGTAATACTTACTTCCCAAAGATCGTGTCCTCTGAGAATAAACTTGGATATTGCTTTGCAGGCTACATGGTCAGGAGGTTCAACAAGAATCAGTCAAAAAGAGAGTAAGCAAAAACAAAGATTGAAATGATTTTCTTGTAAATGAAGAAGACCTGAGCAAGAAAACCTCCCATGGCAGGGCCAATGATGAGTCCAATGCCCCATGCTGTACTAACCTGCACGATTTGATATAAACATTCTAAATTGCTCTGCTCAGTTAGAAAAAGTAAAAGATGTAAACTTTGGATCAAGAGCTTACAGCTGAGAGTGCCAAACTTTGATATTCATCACGGAATATTTCCATCGCGTATGCCTGAATTCATCAACATTTTCAATGAGCTTCGATAAAATTCATGTCAGTAGCAATGTAACAAAATGTTAATAGGAGGAGAAAGATGAGACCTTAATAGGACCAAGTAAACCATTGAAACTACCGAGGCAAAACCTTGTGATGATGGCCATCCAGAAATTTACACTTAGGCCAAACAGAGTATTGAAAATGACCCTGTGACCAGAATTTGCAGCATTGTTTCAGAAAGAAGTCAAACAAAAATACAGAAGGAGAGATGAAAAAGAAACAAATGCAAAGATTATACTACTAACACTGAAGCAGTTCCTATGAGGATGACTGGTTTTCTACCATAACGATCAGCCACAATTCCCCAGATGACAGATGTCAAGGTTCTCCCGAGCATGAAAGAGCAACCTTCAAAATGTATTTACAGAGAGACAATGTGAGTTTCAAAGACTTATCCGGTGTACTGAAAAATAGCCTTAAGGTCTGGAACTTCTTAACGACGATGATGACTCACCAACAAATCCAGCATAGAATCCAATGTCCTCTTCCTTCTTTGCTATGTTAAAATCACCAATCTACCAACACACAGACACACACAAAAATAAAGCACAGCAGATTATACTGTTACAAATTTTAACTTTTAATCATTGCCAAATTCAAATCAGTATACGTTATATATATTTGGGTGACATGGCACCAACTAAACTACTTTTAAGCATTATGTGGGGTACTCACCATAAAGTAGAGGAAGGGGAAGAGAGAGGAAATGGGCAGAGCTGAAATGATGCAAACAAACGGAAAAAAAAAAAACTTTTTTAAGACAAAAGAATAACATTTTCTTCTTATTCTTCTTCAATCTCCATGAAAAGTGAACAAGAGTATGAAGGATTTACCGGTGCAGAGGACGATGATCCAAACGGTGCAAAGCTCGGAGAAAGGGAATCCTCGGCGAAGCCTCTTCATCTGGTCAACCTTGCAGCCAGAGCAATTCTCATGGAACTTTTTCTCGAGCAAACACTCTGTATACTGTTCCGCCATTGTTTTCAAAAACCACCTCGAAATCGAATGGATCCAAGAAAATTGGGAGGAAGATGGAGGGAGAGAGATGCAGATGTGTTATTTATGGGAGGAGCCAATACACAAGATTGTCACGTACTCTCATTAAATTCTTCTGTCACCAAAAAATGACGGAAAATCATTTAATAAATAGAGAGATAGAGGAAAACAAGTTTGGCTTTTCTCCTCTCCAGTCGCCAGGACATGTCACGATGTCAGTAATCAGTATGTAAATTGTCCTTTACTAATCTCTTTCGCATTAATTGTTTATATTTTGTTTTGTTTTCTCTAATCTAATTTCCTCGTCACCTTTCTGTCAACCAACCCTATGATAAAATATGTGACAACGTTTTACCAAAAAAAAAAATATGTGACAAGGTAGAAAAAGAGAGTCAATTTCTTGCCGGTTGAGTTGAATGCAACTTTTTCGGATATTAAAAACGTGATATGTGTGTGTACATAGTATAATATAATTACCGTTGTAATTCTATATATATATAAATAAGGCTTAGTTAAAGCTTTGTTGTTGTGATATTCTTGTATTTCGCTAAAATTAGTAAAGTCGTCCACGAAATCGTTCATATAGTATATATTAAATTCAATTAATCCGTTGTAATTAATAAAACATAATTTATAGTAGATTAAATGGAATCTCTCTCTATTGATGATGTGAAAAATATGACGACAACGAGAAAGACCGAAACCATAATATTGACGACGGGACCAAAATTTGAATCTCCCACATGCACAAAATATGGGGAAGATCACGTCCAGAAATTAGTTGACAATGGTGTTGAGAGGTATGAAGGTATGTATATGTGTAAATAGTAAGCGCATGGTTCGACTCCCATATTTGGAAATTGAAATTATGAATAAAAGATTTCTTGCCTTTTTAGTGGCTTTTTTTTTTATGGTACCAGAATTTTATGCTATAATGTGAATTTTTTTTATCTCCTAGTTGTTGTAAAACTGTAGAGAATTTGTCCTTTTTTTTTTCTTCTCCACGTTCATCATTTTCTTAATCTTTCATGTTAACGCATTCATTTCAGTCAATTCGGATTTAAGAATAATAATGTAAACTATTATTAGTTGGAAGTATATTTTTATCAATGAGTATAGCAATCTCCAAATTGCGACACGTACGAATCAAATCCTCGAGAAATCTCTCGGTGACTGACCTGACCTCTCAGGTCAACCTCAGCCAATTGACGGATCGTCGGAAGAAGTTAAAAAGACAGACGTCTCTGACTCTCTGCCAAACACTATCACAACGAGTCACTCAAGCCATCCGACAAATCCTAAAAGTATAATCCGAATAGTTTTGCGTCAAAAAAGACCGCCACAGTCAATTCCAACCGAATAGCAGTGGGTCGACCTTGGATCGGAATTGCAATGGGCCGATCTTGGATCGAATTGCAATGGGCCGATCTTGGATCGAATGGTAATGGGCCGATCTTGGATCGAATTAACCGATTAAAAAAGACTTCGGGATGGAATCCACGACAACCATAACGCTTATGAAAAATGATAAAGTTCTGGTGTAACTTATTATGTCATTGACATTTCTATAATCTTGGTAGAAAATCAGACAAAGCGAAATGAAAGAAAAACAAAAAAAAAAAAAAATGAAGAAGAACTGAGATCCTAAGGTTAGTTAAATTTGATTACTGTTTCTTTCGAATCTGAAACAAAGAATCAACGAGTCCATACATTTGCCTATAACCAATTCAAAATGAATTTCACCTTCGAGCCGTGGTTAGAAATGGCTTGAACGTGAGAGCTACTCCAACCACGACTATCAGATTCAAGACGAAGAACACCATATGCGATCCTGCATACGTTTTTCAGTTTATCTTGTGTCAACATCAGGTATTATGAGTATCATAAAGAATGGCCAAATGGAACTTATGTGCGATGGTACCTGGTAGAAATGCGGCTTGTAGTCGCCGCTCGCTCCAAGAAAATCTGCCAGCAATAGAGATTTTGTGTGTTCAGACATTACTGCTTCTTTGATTTCACTTATGTGTTTCATTCGGAAAGTCACTTACAAGATGCCAGCGGCAGCTGGTCCAACGGTCTTAAACAGAGACATCGCAGTCATGGCAATTCCATTAGCCGCTCCTCTTTGACTCTGATCCTGTTGTTTTTTGTTGTTTCATACCAAAACAAAAATTTAAGTTACAAGAGAAGAGATTATTGGTCCAACCAAGGCTTACAAAAGATTAAGGAATGTCCGTTTACCACAGCTTTATTTTGCAGAATCAACAAGCCCGTTATGGCAGACACCTGTATACACAAAAAAGCCACCAGTATGTCAAAAGGATCTTATATGTAAAAACAAAGGAGACGGAAGGAAAAGAAATAGCTTTTGCTTTTGAACTTACACTTAGCACATTTACGAGGATTGATGCACAATTTAACATTAAGCTCAGACTGAGACCTGACATGTTTGCTATAAATGGATAACTCATCTGTATTGGTATCATCAGTGCCTGAAACGATATAAATTGTCAGAAGAACGATATCGACCTTGTTGCATTCAAGTGCACTACTTATAATCTGCAGAGAAGCATCGAAGGGAATATCAACTCACCCCGGCATAACGGGTGACCAGTACAGGTCCTAGCAGCTTCTCAGCGAAAGGATAAACAAAAACCTGAAAGGAGAATAGGCCGAGACCTAAAGCATAATTTTTGGTGAGTAACAACACAGACTCAATATCATTAGTGAGAATTTTGATTATTCATGATTGCTCAACTCTCAGACTGATTCAAACCAAAGCAGACTCCAATCATCATTTTCACAAGTTCTTACTTAAAAAAAACACAAGACATAGAGCGCGAGGATGTTCTGCATACCTGAGATTGCAAGAACCGTACCAACATCGTTGGTTGAGTAGCTCAGACCTCCATATTTCCTTGGACTATTTGCCCATAATGCAAAAATCTTCATAGCCAGATTCCAGGTTATGTATTCAGACAGAGATCACAAGACAATGAAGTGGCAAGGCTCTAATTTCGCAAACATGGAGTCTTAATGGTGTTTTTTTTTTTTTTATCAAAATCACTATATACTCCTCTATTTCTTCAAATGGAACCACCATCATAATCTAGAACAACTAAACCCAAATAAATGCCCAAATATACTCCACATTCTGGTCACTCCCAAATCATCAAGAACATAAACGGCTGAAATTTACAAAATTCTTAGGCCGAACCCACTAAATGAAGCATGCCAGATGAGAGTATGCAGAAAATTCTAGTATCAACTACTTACCTCAGAGTATGCAGTATCATGTAGACAAAGAACACAGTACACAATGATAGATGACATTAGGGGCCAATTCTTCAACAGAGACCCATGAGAAGCCTTTCTTTCGTTTTCTCCTGCTTTTCCAGTAGAAGCAGTGGATTCACGAGATGCAGCTTCAAGTGTATCGTATGAGTCATCATGTGATGTGCCGTTCTGCTTGTGATTGTGCAGTGTTTCCTACTCGGAGAATTACATAAGAAACTCGTTGGTGAACTCTCTACGAAATATATATTGATAAAGAAGACTCGAAAATGAAGACAAAGGTTCTCAGTAGCCTCTAGCAGAAAGGTTGAGTACCGGAATGAAGCAGCATAGTACTGTCACAACCAATGCAAAAGCTGATATCGTGAAGCACGGTAACGCATACCGGAATCTGCATTGCAATTTGCATATTTATTTCATGACATGACATTCGACTAAACTCTTAAACAGAGAAGTAAGAATACACACCTTCCAAAAATGGAGTCTTTGGAGAAAACATCTGGATATTTGTCTGCCGGCTGGTTTTTGGAGAACATTGAAAGGTTCATCAGACGATATGGACACATGAAAAGCTTCAAGCATTTCAATCACCAAATATAAAACTTGGATATTAATCAACTTACTTGTGCTAAAAAGCCCCCTAGAGCGGGGCCAATGATCAGTCCAATGCCCCAAGCAGTACTAACCTGAAAGGAGTAAAGTTACAAACGTCATGACGCGGCGACGCCAACAATCAAAAGTAAAAACATGTAAAAATATTTGATGGAGAAGCTTACAGCTGACATTGCTGTAGCTTGATATTCATCACGAAATATCTCCGACGCATATGCCTGAAAAATTTCACAATAACGATAAAATATTAGCAAAGAGAACTGACAAACTGTCTCTGCTAGGAGTAACAGTTGCAACAAAGAGGTCACCTTCATTGTTCCAAGCAAGCAGTTGAAACTCCCAAGAAGAAACCTCGTGCCAATTGCCATCCAAAAGTTTACGCTCAAGCCAAAAAGAGCATTGAAAATGGCTCTGCAAACACCACATGATTAGCCAACTTGACACGAACAGGGATACATTAAACAAAATATCTTTTTATGGATACTCACATTGAGATAGTTCCCAAAAGTATGATTGGCTTTCTTCCATAACGGTCAGCCACAATGCCCCAAAACACTGATGTCAATGCTCTGCCAAGCATAAATGAGCATCCTTGAAAGTATCAAGAGATCAATTAGATTAAACAGTAGAAATACGGAGAGAGTTCAATGCAGGATAACAAGTGATTGAGGCAGTGTTTACTCACCCACAAATCCAGCATAAAACCCAATATCTTTCTCCGTCTTTGCAACACCAAAATCCTCAATCTATGAATACAAAAGAGAAGTAGTATTAAAATCAAGTGATAATAGAATGGCATTGTAGGCAATGTAGTGTTTAAAACCCCCCGAATTGTCTAACATACGTGTTTCTCAATTTGCATAAAAAAGGAACAGGAACCCACAATATGGTCTATAATCAAATTACTCACCATATAGTAGAGGAAAGGATAGAGTGAGGAAATCGGCAGAGCTGCAACACACATGAAAGTGAAATGAGAAAGGCATGAGGAATTGCATAACAAAACATTTTACTTTCAACACACGAAAGCTTTTCTCACAATTAGCCAATTCTAATCTAAAGCATTGGCAGCTAAACCCCAATTATCCAATGGCAATCTCTTCAAAGTTAAAAACAAAAACTAGTCGAATCATCAAAAGTACCTCCAATTTCATAAATTTTCGACACCAAAATCGTAAAATAGGTCAAAAATTAACAGAATAAAAACTGTGGAGAGACTCAAAGAAAAGCGAGGGGAGGCGTTACAAGTGGAGAGGACGATAATCCAAACGAAGGAAAGCTCGAGGTAAGGATATCCTCGCCGGAGCTGCTTCATCTGATCCACCTTACATCCCGGACATCCCTCGTGGTACTTGTGCTTCTCCAACAACGCTTCCTTGTACTCCTCCGCCATTTCCCTCTATCAGATTCGACTCCAGCACAATCAAAGCCTGAAATTCAGAAAAAAAAAATTGAACAATTTGAACAACCCGGTCGAAGCAACCCCGAACGAGAGGAAGGAATATAGCGGAAATTTCAAAACCTACGTGAAGGAAAATCAAAGAGTACCACAAAGATTCTCTCTCTCTCTCGTCGTCGTCGTCGTCGTCGCTGGAGCAAGAAAAGACGAAGAGTCGGCACGTAGAGAATCCATATGTATTAATGTGTGAATATATAGTGGAGCTAAAGGGCAAAAAGGTGGTCACACAAGTGTCATCGTAATCTCTCTTCACATGTTCACGGTCCACGGACACGGACACCTCTAAAGGTCCTCCACCTTCCCCCGATTTTGTAATTCACTCATCAATTCTCTCACGGAAGATTACAAATTAACTTTCAAATTTTGAATTAATTTGTTTATCCGAAAGTAATATGTATTTTTAATATAATGTATATATACTATATAGTCTGGGGATACAGTAACCAACCGTAGGAATGTTTTTTTAGGGTCACATGGGATAGTGCATACAGGAAGAAAGAGACAAGTGAAAGTGGGTGGAAAGACATAGTATAGTAGTAATAGTCTAATAGAATAGTCTAGTGATTTAATCTTGTAAGACATGGAATGGTTATCTCAATCAGCAAATCCAATTCGTTCACGTGTGTATATTATAATGTTATTTCAATAATTATTGTTTGTCTTGTTAGGAAAAGAGGCATCAACCAAAAAACTAAAGCAGTGAGTTCTTTAAGATTTACGATATATAATAAATAACTTTATCGTCGAAAGCAAAAGAAATAGTATTGAATAGCCTTTGCAATATATATTTTGGATAAAGGTGGCAAAGATATATACTGCTTTCGTTGTTAACAAAATAAAAGATGTAATGTTTTTGCCAAAACCATATACTATATTAGTCAATTCACTGGGTACATGCATAATCGACTCCCGTGGCTTCGGGTTATGTCAGACAAATTCCACGTCACCCGTACTAAGTGGATCCCACCAATAAATCACGAGGATTCACAGAGCTACGCGTGTTGCCCACACAGTGCACCACAGGCAAGCTTTACAACAGCGCGTTGCTCCCACCCTCCAGCACGTGGGGTCAAGACAGTGACACTTCCTCAATATCTCTTCTTCTTGTACATGCACACATCCTATCATCAATTACATGTGACATATGTCCGTTTGGCAAAGTATGCAGCAAACTAGGATCCAACGCTATTGGGCCTTTTTCTTTGGGTCCCAAAACAATTAAGTTTTGGGTTTGCCTATAAGCTCCTAGACGGCATTTTTGTAAAGGAGGTGTTTTCTCTTTTTGATCGCATAAAAAATAGGATAAAACTAAGGTGCAAATGGTAGTAAATAAAAACGATAACGCAGTGAAGAAAATTGAAATCATTTTTGTATAATCAGAATTTATACACACAGTAATTGTATTCACATACACTTTGTACATAATACAGGAAAGATGATGATCCATTGTCTCTTAGACCTTGATTGGGTGAGGATTTTTGTTTTGTCGTTAGATTGGATTTTTAGTTTATAGATTTTTAATACAAACTTAAGAAAAAACTAGGTTCTTTGGAAAAAAAATCGTATCTCGTTTTTTTTAGTGGATGAGACATGAGACTTTGGGTTTTTCTTTTAGTTTTTAAAACCAAAAATTCAATGGCAAACATTTTTGTTTGAATTTTGTTTTAGAAAACAAACGATAATCAAATTAGAAAAATTTACTTTTATATTTGAGCTCAGAAAACAAACGATAATCAAATTATAAATTATAAAGAGATTTATTTTGTCTAATTTTATTACATCTATTTTGTAGAATTTCTTATCTTGATTGTAAAAATGATTTTTTTTTTTTTAAATAGTTCCCACTATATAATTGAGAGAGTTCAAATGTTAGTTACTAGTAGTTTACCAAGCATTCTAAAAGAAAAAGAAAATAGAAAATAAACAAACTCCACCAGATTTAATTGGGGATAAATAACCGACGACACAGGCTCTATGATAGAGAGAGCGAATTATCTTCTCCTCTTCTTCCATCATCCATTGGACCAAAAAGAGGATAAAAAAGAAAACAAATCTAAGGCGTGGAAGCTCTGCAGCTCATCCATGGCGACGATACCCGCCACAGCCACCGCAACCATGTGCCCGTCTCCTCCTGTCCCAACAATTTCTCCGTTACTCAGAACAAGTCACCAATGTCAACCATCTTCTTCTTCATCATCCTCATCTTCCATAAAGCTTATTACCACTCTGTTATCCGGTGAGGTCATGGTGGATAGAGCGGCTGAGAGCTCCGTGATGATCAAACCTGAGAAATGGGGAACCCAATTAGAAAAGAGGAGGAAGAGGAGGAGGAGAAGACGAGTAGGTTTCGAGCGTTTGGAGCCGGAAGAAGAGGAAAATGTTGGTCCAGAAGTAGAAGCAGAAGCAATTAGTGTTCCCATTGGAGCTTCACGATCTGGGTTTTTGAGCCGTTTAGAGGAAGTCCAGCTTTGCTTGTACCTCAAGGTATAATTTAGTTCTACCTTCATTTATAGAAAATTTATCGAATATCCCACATGGCCAATCTATAATACAGTCCTATCTCATTGTTTGTATGTTTATAGATAACAGACTAATTTTCTGATAACAAACAGGAAGGAGCAACACTTGAAAATCTGGGAACAAGTGCTGAAGAGAATGAAATGGTATCAGTTTTGCTGTCCAGTGGCAAAGGGAAGAAGAAGCGTAGTGCAAATGAAATATTATGCCGAAGAAGAGAAGCGAGAGAAAAGATCACTCGTTGTTACCGGAGGCTGGTTGTCTCTATCGCAACAGGGTACCAAGGCAAAGGGTTGAATCTGCAAGACCTGATTCAGGAAGGAAGCATAGGCCTTCTTCGTGGAGCTGAGAGATTCGATCCCGAAAGAGGCTACAAGCTATCGACTTATGTCTACTGGTGGATCAAACAGGCCATCCTAAGGGCTATCGCGCACAAGTCTAGACTAGTCAAATTGCCGGTGAGCCTTGCATCTCTATCACCATGTTCTCACATTTTGATTGAAATAAGAGAGTTATAAAAGAACATATATAAAACAGAGCATATGCAATGCACTAAGTGACTATATCTTAGAGGGTTCATTTGCAAATATAGCATGTTATGTCATCGTCTATAGATGAATTTTATATAACATAGAAGATAAACTACAATGGGTTCCTCTGGAGTGGTATGTAATTAGTGAATGCATCGTTTTTAGCGTGTTGTGTGTAGGGAAGCATGTGGGAGTTGACGGCAAAAGTTGCAGAAGCTAGCAATGTTTTGACCAGAGAACTAAGACGGGTGCCGAGCTGTGAAGAGATTGCAGAGCACCTCAACATCCATGTCTCAGCGGTTAGGCTTGCCGTGGACAGGAGCAGATCCCCTGTTTCGCTGGACAGAGTCGCCTCTCATAATGGCCGCATGACGTTGCAGGTACGCTTCCATTATCCATGAGAATGCAGAGCAGAGAGAGAACCAGTGAGTAACTTTGTAGAGTTTTTGACTGTTTTCAGGAGATTGTAAGGGGACCTGATGAAACAAGGCCAGAGGAGATGGTGAAGAGAGAACACATGAAGCATGAGATTGAGCAGCTTTTGGGGACTCTTACCGCGAGAGAATCTCGAGTATTGGGACTTTACTTTGGGCTCAACGGAGAGACTCCTATGTCTTTTGAAGAGATTGGCAAGTCGTTAAAGCTTTCAAGAGAGAGGGTGAGGCAAATCAATGGCATTGCTATGACGAAGCTACGAAATGTACATAACGCGAATGATTTGAAATTATACTATTCCTCTAGTGAATGAAAAATTTAAATAAACGAGCAAATTGGTTGTTCACAATCACTAATAGCAACTGAATATGATATAGAAATGTAAGCTTTATACTGGATTCGGGTCTGTACAAATGGAGAAGATAAAAAAAAATGGTACACTCAGTGCTCTCCTTTGTGGAGATTATGGAGGATATAGAGAGAAGCAGAGGACAAGAAGATGCAAATGGAATAACTAAGCAAATCCAATCCGGTGGCTATAGTAACCATCTTGCTTCTTTCGAACATCTTCACAAGAAGAATCATAACAATGACATGTCCAACTTTGGTTTTCAGCTCATCCAGCGAGCTGATCTTCATCCATTTCGGTCTCTCCTTCATGGCAAACATTCCAAAGAGAGAAGAGGCTTTTAGGGCACGATCGGATTCAGGAGGGACATCAGGAGAGGAGTTGCTGATGAAGAGTCCATACAAACCCATACTAAATATTAGCATAACTGTCCCGGCCAAATAAACATCTGCACATCAAAATTTTCACAGAGAATGAGCATTATAACGAAACAAAACCGGGATTACTAATGCTATATATAGCAACTATTACCTATAGCTTCGACCAGGCGTAAAACCATTTGGCCGGTGTGGATGCCTTTGACACAGTTAGTCCAATAGACTTTATACGCTTCCATAATGTAAACACACCCCTAACAGAGTGAGTCAGTTACATCAGTACTATAATGGTGTATGTATGGCAAAACATTTACAGTCTTAAAACCACAAAGTTACATTGAGGAAGCAGAGTAGCGAACCAGCAAGAGAACCTCCTACTGCCAAGAGCGCCAAGAACCGGAAATCAAATATGATCTGCTCCATCAACAAATACATCAAAAACAATCATACACTTTCGGACAACTTAAATCTTGATGAACTGATCACTGATCTCCATGAGTCATGTCACAGCTCAAAAGTTAAAGCAAAAAACAGAGACTATAGAGAGGAGTATATAAGAAGAAGTAGAAACAGAGTAAACTTTTGCAAGATCCCATAGATAGAAAGTTTTGATTTAGTTTTACCCTCTCAACGTTGGATTCGGTGGAACGAAAGAAGCGAGCAAATGGGCTGTTATCAACCGCACCCTTATCGCGACTTGTTCCATTAGAGTTCCCGTTAACGGGAATCGAGATAGGGGTCGATGATGCCGATGACTCCGGAGACGACGAGGCAAGTGTTGCTAACGGAAACCGGAAACGGCGGCGAGTGTGTAACACGTGGTGATTCGGCAGTGAAACGGAGAGAGGAGTGGCTGAGATTAACGAGTAGAGAGCAGCCATAGATAATTTATTTGAATAGAGGGAGAGAGATAGATTGGCGTGGAGCTTCTTATTAGTTTTGAGTTTCTTGATTACTGCCGGCGGACAAGTAGGAGAAAAGATCGGCGCGTTGGCTCGGAGACGCCGAGGATCAGGCGGGAGGGAAATATGTGGTGTGTGTAGTAAGTTGATTTTTCTTTCTAAAACATATGTACCAATTAATTACCTCCGTGCTGTCCACACACATTATAATATTTTACTAAAAATTGTACCGATAAACAAAATGAAGGAAATCTAAGGAGTTTATTTAGGGTTTGATTGGTTTTATAGCTTTATTTTTTTTGATGTAAAAATAAAATTGTAAATTTTTTTGCTGTAGTTTTAGATTTGAATTCTGTAAATTTTAGTGTTGTAAATTTTTTAATTTTTCAAAACCAAAATATATTGATTTACATATTTTGTTTTATAAAGCTAAAAATATTAAAAAAGAAAAGAAAAATCTGCAATTTTTAAAAATATGTGTAAAACATAATTAGAAAAAATTTAGTACTTTGAAAAAATTATAGTTGTATACAGATTTTAAGACACTTACTAATCAAGCTTTTACTTGTAAAATTTGATTATATAAGTTTTAACGACTAGAATTTTGAATAAAGACTCTTAACTTATTTTTTAAACCTATCTTTTATTGAGTTAAAAAACAACATAAGATTATTGGCTATGAAAATTATGGAAATCTTCTGGAATATTTATAGGAATTTAAAACACATTAACTGCATTTCTAAATATTAACCTTTATAGGAATTTAAATTAATTAATCCAAACGATTTTAATTTGGAATTTTCGTCGGAAATTTAGTGAGAGTGAAATTAGTTTGGAGTTAAACTTTAGACAAGTAGTTGGTGCGCTTATGAGTTCTCTGACATCTGAAAAATGCGTGGGGAATATACTTACAATTTCATGTGTATAAAGATAAGATATGAAGAAGTGGAGAATATACTTACAATTTCATGTGTATAGTAGAGTCATAGACTATGGTGGACTAGACTACTTATATTATAAGCACTAGAGAGGATACTATTGTAATTTCAGCTGAGTCAGACTCTTTGCCAAGCTGGGGGGGGATTTGTCACCTCTCTCCATCTCCTATTAATTAAGCCACTCAAGGTGCCTCTGAGCTCTTCCCCACTACTTCCGATTCATCATCATCTCTCTCTCTGCCTTCGAAAGAGCTTGTAAGTGTGCCTTCCTCCTCCGTCGATACATATTCCTGCCTTACTCCTTGATCATCATTTTTCCCATTCTGCCTTCTTTTCTGTGATCCGCAGTTGCAGATCTCGTTCGTCGCATAATGTCGAAGTCTGGCGCTCTGGATCTCGCGTCGAATCTCGGTGGCAAGATCGATAAATCCGATGTTCTCACCGCCGTCGAAAAGTATTTGTTTCGTTCCCTTATTCTTAACGCATCGTGTAAATTCCTCGTTGTTTTGCGTCTCCGATTCACTCAGAATCCGCGTTTTCTTCTCATGCATATTGTTCCATTTTCTCGTTAATAAATCTAATTCTATTAGCCACGGCGAACCCTTATTCTTTCTTTCCTTTCATGCCATAATAATTCCTAAGATCAACTCTGGGTGTTATGTGCAATATCTCCCAATTTTTGAATCACTTGTTTTGATTTTGATTTTGATTTTTTTTTGTTTTCTCAACAATTCCACGAAAATGATGCATTGAATTTTCGCATCTGCTTGGAACTGAGCTTTCAATACAGCAGAAAAAAAGGAAGTTTGAGAGATGGTCCCTGTTCTTTTTTTTTGCTACTTTTATAAATATATACTTTTGACGTGTATTTCATCACTACCATCACGTTCTCGAGGGACCAGGCTAATTTTCTTGCCATTAACAGCATCTATTTTAAAAACGACCGATTTTTGTTTTCATATTTCTTTTTAGTACTTCTAATCCAAGTTGTAGGTAGAAAACGCATGCATCACATGATTTTTTTTTTTCCTGTCTGGCCTATGCTGGAAACTATTAACTTTTAGTGACTCGGTGACTCAGGTATGAGCAATACCATGTCTTCCATGGAGGAGACGAGGAAGAGAGAAAAGCTAATTACACAGACATGGTAAATCCAAAATGTTTTTCCACTTTGAAAAAGTGTCAAGACCACTTTCCTAAATATTAAAAGCCTATATGCAATTCACACATTAGATAGGTGTTACTACTTCACAAGGCCTAATGGAATGAAAAATCCTAATGATATCTCAGGTTAATAAGTATTATGACCTTGCTACTAGCTTTTATGAGTACGGGTGGGGAGAGTCCTTCCATTTTGCACACAGGTAATACAGGTTCTACAATCAACTTTCTCTCATGCAGCCAGAGACACTGATACTCTAGTTATATTTAATTAGCATGAGTTTTGGGTTCGCAGATGGAATGGAGAATCACTTAGAGAGAGTATTAAACGTCACGAGCACTTTCTTGCTCTTCAGCTTGGCGTAAAACCAGGACAAAAGGTTTGATAAACTTAGCTGAGAGGTTGAAAATGGACCCTTCGCCATCAGATGTTCATTTCCTTTAGATTTCTTAACAGGTACTGGATGTAGGATGTGGGATTGGTGGACCGCTGAGGGAAATTGCACGATTCAGGTAAAACGACTACACAAATGAAACACACACTCTCTCTCTACATCCTTTACTTCTATCTTTACATTAGTTTTGAAGTAGTCGTCATGGTTAGGTAAATATTTTAATTTCTAAATTGTGTTTGTGTTTGCTCTGCTCCAGCAACTCATCTGTTACCGGACTCAACAACAACGAATACCAGATCACCAGAGGCATGGTAACATATCTACAATTTTTGAAAGATGATGCATTTCCTGTCATGTAATCGGTTGCTTGAAATTCTGGGAAATGTTATTTTTTTCGTGTCCACGCCCTTTATTTTGGTTCATTCAGGAATGTAGATTATAAATGGCACCATCCGATTTCTGGTCGTTTACATTTCATATTGGCAATCCTCTTCTTTGCAGGAACTAAACCGACTTGCAGGTGTCGACAAGACATGTAACTTTGTCAAGGTCAGTTGAATTCGTACTTCTTGTAGCTACTGCGTAAGTCATAGGAAAACCCCATTGTAACGGGCAACGTGATGAAGGTTGTTATTTGTTAAACTTTCAGGCTGACTTCATGAAGATGCCATTTCCTGAAAACAGTTTTGATGCAGTTTATGCCATAGAAGCAACCTGCCACGCACCTGATGCAGTATGTGAAATTCTAAACAGCTATTTGTTTGTTTTATTCCCTGCATTTTTATGCATTATGACTCATCATTATGACCTCATCAACAGTATGGATGCTACAAAGAGATCTACAGAGTGCTTAAGCCCGGACAATGTTTTGCTGCCTATGAGTGGTGCATGACTGATGCATTTGACCCTGCTAACGCCCAACATCAGAAAATAAAGGTTTAGTGTGGCCTCCCTTGCATTTATTCATTTGTTGGTTATCTATGATGGACATGTATACAAACAAAGACTTAACTGTTCAGGCAGAGATAGAGATCGGAGATGGTCTGCCTGACATTAGGCTGACTTCAAAATGCCTTGAAGCTCTGAAACAGGCCGGCTTTGAAGTAAGTATCTGATTACGGATCCTTACTATTTTTAAGTTCAACATCTAAACACACTATTGTCGTCTGCGTTGGATAAAGGTAATATGGGAAAAGGATCTGGCCAAGGACTCGCCTGTCCCGTGGTACTTACCTCTGGACAAAAATCACTTTTCGCTCAGTAGTTTCCGCCTAACAGCTGTTGGACGATTCATAACCAAAAACATGGTAATTTTTTTTCTGTTTGACTCATCTGCCAAATCTCATCAACTAGTAGCTTTTTCATATATCCGAGCTTGTCATTTTTTTTATTGAAGGTCAAGGTCCTCGAGTACGTAAGACTCGCACCTAAAGGAAGCCAAAGGGTTTCGGATTTCCTGGAGAAGGCCGCGGAAGGATTAGTCGACGGTGGAAGGTGAGAGGATCCCCAACTTATATCTATTCCCATTCAAGATTCAAATTGAGCTTGTTTTTCTAATGCGAAATTTTAAATTTCGGTTTCACAGGAGAGAGATTTTCACGCCAATGTATTTCTTCTTGGCCCGGAAGCCAGAGTGAGCGGACCTCATTGTAGGTCGAGTGAAGTTGACACAAACTCTCAGTTTGCATTTTATTTGTTCTGTGTACCTTCGTTGCTGCAGTGTTTTGAAGTCTCTTGATATTTAAAACTTTATTCAACAATTTCTTAACATGTCACGTGTTCATGTGCATTCTGTCACTGAGTCACGTGCACATGCGCAGTAGATCTTCGAATCCCAATCTATTTCTCTTTTTAGATCTCAGACACTCTTTTGTCGTTTTCTGCCATGATCCACAAGTGGGACCACTTCCACGAATGGACGTGGACTTTGGATTCTTTTAAAATATTATGAGATTCGCTGAGCCAAATGGTAAAAAGAATCTATGTTTTTCTCTTTGGATCTAAAAATGCAATATTATCATTTTGAATATGATGAGATTCCTTTCTTTTGAATATTGATAAAGTAAAAATCCAATATTCGCATTTATGGATTGAATGAACAGTTCGCCGTTATAAGGATTTTAATTAGAAAAAAAAGAGTTGATCAAATCCGAAAACCAGATGTTATAAACCATAATAAATTAATAATGGTGGCCAACAACGCAATATGTATGTTATCTGGATGTGCATAGAAAATAAGTTGGTTCATACGAAATGTAGCAAGTATGCCACATGAGTAACCGCGTTTCTTAGCAAAATAAGTATAATTTTATTTCCCTTTTTGCAACATGAACGTTACTGAATATTTTGAGATATACGAGCTGGACTCCTCCCGCCAATTTATTTTTATCATTTTCATTTTAGATAACATTAATTAGTGGGCCAATGAAGTTTGTTAGGCTTGGGGCCTTAGCATATAAAAAGTAGGCCTGACAAGAGATTCACCTGAGAAGTTACTCAGATAGAAATTCCATTCAGCCCATCTATATCCGACAAGAGATTCACCTGAATTCTCGCTAGATACCGTGTACGCAAGCAAGCGCGTTTACCACACGCGTTCAACTGTATGGCTCTATCTTTTTTAAGTTTGAGTTGGAGTTACAAGTATATTATTCCTCGTGCCGCTATATAAGCCAAAGCCAATCAAAACGAGAACGTAACAACCTCCTATCGCCCAACAAACAAATACCTGGCTTCTCCCTATCTATGTCGACTGCCTCCGTGATTATCATCGGCGCCGGAATTTCCGGTTCGATCTAAACCATTCGCATACTTCATACTTGTGCCCCAGGAACGAACCATCGCCGGCTTGATTACTAACGAGATTTTATTTGACTGGGAATCAGGAATATCGGCGGCCAAGGTGCTCGCCGAAAACGGAGTTGAAGAATTTACCATACTTGAGGCGACGGACCGGATCGGAGGAAGAATACACAAGCAGGATTTCGGTGACGTGTCGGTGGAGCTCGGTGCCGGTTGGATTGCCGGCGTCGGTGGTAAGGAGTCCAACCCTGTCTGGGAACTCGCCTCGAGAATTAACCTCCGCACCTGCTTCTCCGACTACGCTAATGCTCGTTACAACATCTACGATCGAAGGTTAAACTTGATCCCGAATATCATTTAAGTCACTCACTTGCTTCTCCTCATCATGATTAAAGCGTTTCTCCAATTGTATTCCGTTGAATTGCAGTGGAGAAATCTTCCCGACTGGATTCGCTGCTGACTCGTATAAGAAGGCTGTTGACTCGGCGATTCTGAAGCTAAAGAGCCTTGAAGCTGATTCTGCTGGCCAAGTTGCCGAAGAAGCTCCTTCGTGCGTCTCCTCTCTGTTTTTAGAGGTTTTAGATTTTGCCTGAAACAATCGATTCTTATTGAGTTATTGTGTTTTTGTTTTGGATTTAGGTCACCGAAGACGCCAATAGAACTCGCCATTGACTTTATCCTGCATGATTTTGAGATGGCAGGTGAGTGAAAGCAGGAGAAAACACATGATTTAGTTTCAAATTGCTGATCGATTGATTGATTGATTTTATTACTGGTTTCTCAGAGGTTGAGCCAATATCGACTTATGTGGACTTCGGTGAAAGGGAGTTTCTGGTTGCTGATGAAAGAGGCTACGAATGTTTGCTGTATAAGATGGCCGAGGAATTTCTCTTTACCTCAGAAAGAAAAATCTTAGACGACCGCCTCAAACTAAACAAGGTACCTTATCTTTAACCTTTCTTCTTCAGCACTTGTGCACAAAAACTATCTTGATGAGCTTGATTGACCTCTTTTACTTGGAGTTAAAAAGAGCATATTATGACGTTATTTGCAAAGCTACTTTTGCCTTTTAGCTGTTGTTACTTACCCTATTCGGTTGATTTGATTTGCATATTTCCTTTTTTTCTGCTAATTTTTCAACTTACACTGTTGCAAGGTTCTCTCAGCCTTTGGTTTCTAGTGGAATTGATTACGCTCCAGGTCATTGTACCTATTGTTTTCTTTTGTATTCTATCCAAAAAATATTCAGCTTCATTTGGTGTCTTAAGTTATTAGTTCTTGCCTCTTGGGAAGCATTATTGTGAAAGTTGTGGGGTCTGTATGAGTGGGCGTGTTTTAATTATTGCCTCTCACAAACCCAGCTGGCTTAACTCTTTGGAAGCTGTTGTTATATTAGTATTCTAGTAATCTATATACTATATTCGAGCTGTAGTGTGATGAATCTGTGGGAATTAATGGCAGGTGGTTAGGGAGATACAACAGTCGAAGAATGGGGTACTGGTGAAGACAGAGGATGGTTCCGAATACGAGGCCAATTATGTGATCCTTTCTGCGAGTATCGGTGTTCTCCAATCCAATCTTCTCTCCTTCCAGCCTCCTTTACCCGTAAGCTTACTTTTCCCTATTCACCTATAAACTGTAACTTATACTGTAAATTACTCCTTGGTCTTATCTTTTATGCTTATTTAACGTATAAAAGATACAAGGTTCCTGCACAAAAAGGGGGGGAGTTTTTTAATCATTTAATGTACATGAACCTGGGGACATATAAAATTGCATTAGCCATTAGGTAAAGAAAGTCAGAATTCATGGTGTCTTCATTTTTTAATCAAAACCATACACCAAATACAGTGGGTTGTTGATCCACAGGTTTCAAGTGTGGCCTTTAGAATAACAGAAACAAATAGGGAAGATATGATGTAGCAAATCTGCAGTTCTTGTGACACATGTTAAAACGAAAATCAGAATCTTTTTCAGTCCCTCCTTATTCGTGAGATCTTACTATCTAAAACTTTTTGCTTGGTGACAGAGATGGAAAACAGAGGCTATACAAAAATGTGATGTGATGGTGTACACTAAGATCTTCCTCAAATTCCCTCATTGTTTCTGGCCATGTGGTCCTGGTCAAGAGTTTTTCATCTATGCGCACGAACAGCGCGGCTACTTCACCTTTTGGCAGGTTGATTTCCTTAATAATGAAATATATTACTGTAGTTTGATAATCTCAATGCATCTTTTTAGTCGTTTCACCTACGGGCGAAACGTGGCACATGCACCCTCTAATCCTAGGATTAAAAAGTTGGGGTCCCTCTGATTATTATCATTGCTTTAATTTATCTTCACTGTCTAACCAGCGGCATGGTCCATGTTGTCAAAGATTAACACAATATTATATCACCGTATGATGTGTATGCAATACCATTAAAAATCTTGTAGCTTTTATAATATTAGTACAACTTGCTCGTTCTCCTCTCCAGCTTAAGTAGAGTGATCTAACTGTTGCTCTGTTTTTGTCAGCACATGGAAAATGCGTACCCGGGCTCTAATATACTGGTTGTGACGTTGACCAACGAGCAGTCAAAGCGCGTGGAAGCTCAATCAGACGAGGAGACGCTGAAAGAGGCAATGAGTGTTCTCAGGGACATGTTTGGTCCCACCGTTCCTTACGCAACTGATATTCTTGTCCCGAGGTGGTGGAACAACCGGTTTCAACGCGGTTGCTACAGCAATTACCCTATGATATCTGATAATCAGCTTCTGCAGAATGTCAAGGTAAAAACACCTTTTTGTTGTTATTATCTATAGCACATACAAAACATGTCAGGAATTTAAGACAGATTTTGTTTGAGATTCAGGCCCCAGTTGGACGGATATTCTTCACAGGAGAACACACAAGTGAAAAGTTTAGTGGATATGTGCATGGAGGATACCTTGCAGGTATGGACACAAGTAAGTCTCTATTGGAAGAGATGAAGCAGAGTTTGTTGTTACAACCTTTACTAGCCTTCACCGAGTCTTTAACACTAAAACAGCAGAGCCCTAAATCTCAAACTTACAATACTAATGCCAATTTTATCTCAGGCAGAAGTTAGGAACTCTATTTTATTTTATTCTTTTTGAGCTCCTCTTCTCTTGAGCAACTCATGTGAAGTACTTATGCAACAGATGCCTTGAAATCGCCAAGGCGTCTCCTTTTGCCTTAACAGGATAAATCTCTGATGAACTTTGCTGCCATTTGTGTGACATTGTTATCCATTCTCTTCGCCATTCCTCTATCTCAAGTTTCTTCTTATCTCCTAAGCTTTTCAGCATTTCATTGAAATACAACGTCGCTCGGGGTAAGTAGTAGTCTTCAAGTAACCCACTCCAGAACTTGTTTGCTGATGACGACGAACACAAAAGATAACAGTTTTTTTCAAAAGCTCGATCTACTGAAAAAAATCATTTTTCTATAAGTTTAGATCTTACCATAATCATGAAGCTTGCTTTGGTTCACATCTTTCGAGTCATACCACATCGTTACTTGTGTTCTCGCGTTCCACTCATACTGTACACACAAAAACTCAAGTCATAAGCAAGCAATGAACTTCTTCTACCTGCAACGTTCCAGGAACAAAATTGATGATGTTCACCTGTTTCCTTTCATCAACGTTTCTGGCCAATTTCTTTGCACTCTCAAGCCATGTCCCCAGAAGGAAATTATCATCCGAAGCAAGCAAAACATCAATGTCCTTTATAAGCTCAAGAAACTTGTCACTCAATCGTCTTAAGCTTCCAATATCTTTCTTTACAAAAGCGGTCACCGCTTCAAAGTACACCTTGTTTGCTAGCTTAGATAAAACTTGCCGCGTCAAATCAACCATGTCGTACCTGCAAGCAAAAAACATATGAATCTGTAAACCATTAAAATGGTAGATACTCTATTCCTACTTACTCCTACCTATATGTTAAGCTCCCGAACAGATCATCCCCAGCTTCCAGGAAAAGTTGGAGAGCTTTGATCACCTCCTTTGTAGAATACCATAAATGCGCCTTAGGCAAACCAGAGTTATCATCTTGCAACAAGAACCTTCTTTTTGTTTCATATGGGTCAGTGGAGATCATATATGGATCTGTTTCTCTCGATTCGCCTTGTACAGAACTTGATGGATCCCAGTCCGGAAGCTTTACTATGAAATCTGTGTTATGATCCTAAAACAGAGAATTACAAAAACAAGTTTACTATGATATAAGTCAGATCCAAGGCGAGATGATGAGGTAATGAATGACCACAAAGAAAACTTACTGCAATTCCATCAGTGCAATTGTAGACAGTGTGATAGAGAATCTCCCAAGCGGCCTCCACTTGATGATTTTCTTTCATGTATCTTCTGCGTGCATAGCTCTTCAGCCATTTCTACAAACCCAAATATTAAAAATGCATGAAGCTGACCGTGCAAACATTTTCAAGTGTCGTACATTGGCTGAGTTTATTGTGTACGCATTACCTGTACATCAACTTTCTCATCTCTAAATGCCATTTCAGACATTAGCTCGTAAACCACTGGGTTATGCTCTATTCCCTCCATGCACATTCCCACACCGACCTATGTGAAACACAAACAAGTAAATCGCATTTCCAAGGGGCCTTGCCAAAGTGTACACATAAGATTAAAGATGTGAAATTGCGTATGTAGTCTTGAATATACCATGGTTGAATTTTCACTGACACGAGCATCTACAGGTCCTGAAGAAATTGATTCAAGATTACCATACATTTCAATGTTTCCTCCAAAATTGTGAAGCATGCACCTGTAATTCACCTGACTTCAATAAAAGAACAGCAAAATACATCTCTATAACACCATCATGAGAGGGAACCGAGACAAAGGTATACCAGATATAAGGAGTTGCATAAAATTGGGCGGACGTGTTCCATATCGGTTTGACTTCAGCAAATAGATCAAGAACTATCATTTTTCCAAAGGGAACCGAATGTAAGAGCGCCTGCAGAAATCGAGAGAGCCTCTGTGATATTGAATAAGAAAAGCCATTTCTAGAAATAATACAATAGACTCCAACAGCATTCATATATACACTAAAATTGGAAGTTTACTTTCATCTGGGGCGGCTTCCAGAATTTCGAGTCTGAACTAAAAAGCCAACCCTGCACAAAGGTGGGTCTCAAGTAAGAAAGCTTTTCAAAGATCATGGCATGAAATGACGAAGTCCTTGCCTTGTCATTCTAGATTACCCTAATTCCAATATTAATACAGTAAAACAGTTTTCTAAATAGCATCCCAAAGTAAGAATGCCACTGAGAATATAACTAGAAAAAGGGCATACTTGCATTAACCATACAGCATCCTTGTTTCCCTTAGACATAGCTTTGTACACTGCAGCTCCTAGTGAAGATATGTATTTAGGTTCACTTGTGGGAGGAGTATTCTCATTGAATGTATCACTGCATTACCACAAGTGGGCAAAAAAGGTAAGCTAGTCAAGACTATTACCATCATTATTCCAGAAAAAGGGTTGTTTTTTGTTGTTCAATCATACATCGGAAGATGCTGTTTTCACCAGTACTTACCGGGGACCAAAACTAGAAAAAAGTTGCAAGAAGTACTTTACCTCTTACAGGTGAAGACTGAAGAGAATTACCAGTTATAGATGTTTGTAATCTTTCCATACTCTGAGAAAATACCAAGGTAAATTTAAAGGCAAGAAGACTATGATCAGGTGGGATATTTGATTAGTATGTTTCTGGTTTGATAAGCGACTTTCAGTGGATTGCATATTTTGCTAAGATTATGGAAACAAACACAGCTTCAGGGTACCTTCAATTTGCTGTTTGATAAAAGCCTCTCCAATATCAATGAAGAGAGGATCAGAAGGATTCAGAAGGTAAGTGCAGCACCAGCGAGAATCACCATCCACCGTGTTCCTGAGAAGAAATGAAACACAGACCGTAAGCTATGTTCATGTGAAGACAAAACAGTATTAATCCATTGGATGAAAGAGTTTAGGGGCTTGATTTACGAAAGGAGAACGTACCAGTCATCAAGTCGAGTTATGTTTGCCCCGGGGTATATCTTTCTCAAAGCTGATGGAACATTGCCTGAGAATGATGGAAGTACTAGAAAAGAAGGAAACAAAAGAAACTATAATTAAGGTGCCATGGGAACAATCTATCGAGTATCTGAGAACAGAAGAAAGTGATTGTTCTTTGGACCTGGAGTCATGCCAAGCTCCAGCATCCGAGAAAGTATCCGTTTCTGCAAAAGCAACTGATCACCTAACCAGTTTTTAGACAATGGACCACCCCACCTGTGATGTGGATGATTTAGTGAGAGATATGGAATATGTGAGTTCCAAGAATGAAAGATTAATCTAGCTCAGAAGGAGCAAAAGTATCAGAGATGAGGTTATTTACGCATGAAGATTTCCCATGCGAGCCCAAGCGAGAAACGCTGGTCCACCAAAATAATCATCCAGATCTTCTTTGCTGATATTGAACCTCTAAACAAGATTGATATAGAACTTAGTTAGTGTATTACAAACCTATACTTAACAAAAGAAGAAATGCAGTAGCCGATCATGTCATAGCGAATATTTACGATTCTCTTATAGCAACCTGGCAAGAATAGGAGGAATACAAACTTTACCTTGAAAACCTTTTGCCAGATAGCTTCTTGCCCGGTGAATGCTAGAGGCAAGTTGATTCCTTGCAGTGCCATCCAGTCAATCTCTCTCTCCCATCTCCCCCATCCCCACCAAACATATGAATCTGGAAAAGAAAAGGAGCAAGAAAGCAGAATCAGAAGCATGAATGTGATGTGAGTGATTCATTATAAAACCATTGACACATGAAGGAATTCTGGAATCCAATAAGTGTAATATGTCTTACAGCTAGATGTAACCACATTTTGGTAGTAGTTCCAAGGGACAGGACGGCGAATCAAGATGCGTTTAGAATCTAGACGAGGTAGATGTCCAGGTTGTGGAACAGAGGAAATCTGGATGCCACCAGTCTTGTCCCAAGAAACATGAGCATTACATTTATACTTCAAATACCAGTGGAGCCCGGAAGCAATCTCAACTCCAGTTGTGCCTTTAATCCTGAAATATACAAGTTAGAAATTGCAAAATTGGAAGAGAAAGAAGAGACCTTCAAGTACATTTGATGACTCATCAAGAATTATGTTGTTGCTTACACAATCTCAGGACCCATTCGTCTAGGGCCATCATAGTTTTCAATTAGAAAGCAGCTGCTGCCACCACAAACATCCTATTGAAATAGAAACAATCAGTACTATAGCATCAAACTGAGAATAGCATAAATGATAAGGGTTAAGGGAAAAGAAAAAGGAAGAACCTTTGAGATGATTGTGAAATCAAAGCTGTGAAAATGGGTCGGAATCAGTCTCTGCAACAAACCCTTTGCTGCTGATTCTTGTACAGACGGAGTAGGTCGTAAGGAATCCAAACGGTGAAGCAGACGGTTGATAGTAGGATGATGTTTCGACAAAGTTTGAGAGTGAAGAGAAAAAAACAGCAAAACCAACAGAAACAGTTCGATGGGAGTGGGACGCATGCTGATGATCCTGTCCGTGACTAGTGGAGTAAGCAAGGAAAGGAAAAGGAAATGCAGATAGCATCATAGCCAAAATATGATCCGTCATCTCCTTAGAAAATGGGCCAATATTATTTAATTATTTTCTTTTCATCACACCATACAATTAAAACAGTTCCAACACCACCAACAACAGTCACCGTGGGTTACAGAAAAAGTAAACCGGCAGGCCGAAACAAATTAAACCGGTCTGTATACTTTACTTGATAGCAAAAAAAAAAAAAAAAAACAGAGGAGGAGAATAGCCTGTGTTGTGTTAAACCCTAGTTATCAGTGTTTTTTTGGTTCTGGAGGTTTTGAATCTGCTTCCTGGATCTGTAGCTGCAGAGTTCCGTGTAAGTTGTAGCGATTCGACATGAAGAATTTGAAGCTTTTCTCCGAGATTTCTCAGAACATCCAATTGCATTCGACCGACGAAGTTGTACGGTTCGCAGCCTATGACATCGACCAAAGTCGCTTCTTCTTCGCATCTTCTACCAATTTCGTTTACGCCCTTCACCTCTCTTCCTTCCAAGTAAGCAACCCTTTTTTTTTTCTCGCTGCCTGTGAGATTCGTTTCCTCTTTGGTTCATCCTGTTTTTGTTGATGAGGAAGCGAGCAAAACTAGACATTGGGAATTTGGTCTTAATATGAGTTGTTTTTCCTTGATTTAAGTTTCGAATTTGATTCAAGTTTCTTTTTTTAAATCGAAAGTCTTTCTTTCTCCCGTGTCATGCCAGAATGGAGGAGCTTGTGCTTTGCCTGTGGAGGTCTGCAGTATTGATCTGGAAGCCGAGGATTCGATCACGGCCTTTGATTATCTCGCGGAGAAGGAGTCTTTGTTAATTGGGACTTCTCGTGGGCTTCTGCTGGTGCACGACGTGGAGAGCAATGTGACTGAACTAGTTGGAAATATCGAAGGAGGTGTCAAGTGCGTCTCGCCTAGTCCCACTGGAGATCTACTTGGATTAGTTACTGGTTTTAGTCAGTTGCTTGTGATGACTTATGATTGGGCTTTGATGTACGAGAGGCCCCTTGCAGAGGTTCCTGAAGGTGTTTACGTACGTAAGGACCCTTTACCTTTTTTATCTAAATCATCTCTTCTACATTCTTCTTGACCACATAAGGTTTAATTTTTATGGTTCTAGTTGACAATTTTTCCTGAACAATCTTCCCTCCATTTGCTAACCATGTGAATTGAATAACATTTTTTTTAGGTGAAGCAGATGATTTGTCTGTAAGTTGTGGGGGAGTTTCCATTTCCTGGAGAGGTGATGGGAAGTATTTTGCGACTATGGGTGAGGTTTACGAATCCGGGTGTATGTATAAGAAGATTAAGATATGGGAAAGTGATTCCGGCGCTCTGCAGTCTTCTTCAGAAACGAAAGACTTCATGAAGGGGATTCTTGAATGGATGCCTAGTGGCGCAAAGATCGCTGCTGTTTATAAGAGGAAGTCGGATGATGGATGTCCTTCAATTGCGTTTTTCGAGAGGAATGGACTTGAGAGGAGCTCATTTAGAGTTGGTGAACCAGGGGATGCTAACGTATCGTTTGAAACTCTGAAGTGGAATTCTGCATCAGATCTTCTTGCAGGGGTTGTTAGTTGCAACACGCATGATGCCATTAGGGTGTGGTACTTTAGCAATAACCACTGGTACTTGAAACACGAGATTAGGTATCCGAAGGAAGCTGGGGTGATGGTCATGTGGGATCCAACAAAGCCATTGCAGTTACTGTGTTGGACTCTGGCAGGGCAGGTTACTGTTTGCAACTTTATGTGGGTAACGGCGGTCATGGAGGACTCAACAGCCTTTGTTGTAGATGACTCCAAGATACTCGTGACACCACTATCTTTGTCCTTGATGCCGCCTCCTATGCATTTGTTCAGCCTTAGTTTTTCTTCCGCTATCAGAGATATAGCATATTACTCAAGGAACTCTAAGAATTGTCTGGCTGTGTTCTTGTCAGATGGAAACCTGTCTTTTGTTGAGTTTCCTGCACCTAGTACTTGGGAAGATCTCGAAGGCAGAGACTTCAATGTGGAAATTTCAGACTGTAAAACAGCACTGGGCTCTCTTGTACATCTTCTATGGTTAGATGTACATACACTTCTGTGTGTCTCTGCTTATGGTTCTAGCCAGAACAAGTGTCTCTCTTCAGGTTCGTATGAGACAGAGCTTCATGGTTCTTATTTACAAGAAGTTGAAGTTGTCTGTTATGAGGATCATGTTCCTGATCAAGTGACATGCTCTGGCTTTGAGGCAAGCGTTACTTGCCAGACGCTTCTGGAATCACCGGCGATGGCTCTTACCTGGAATCCTAGTAAGCCTGATTCAGCCTTTGTAGAGTTTGAGGGTGGGAAGGTGCTTGGCTATGCATCTAGGTCAGGCATTATGGAAACTCGTGTAAGTGATGATAGTGTATGTTTTCCATCGACTTGTCCTTGGGTGAGGGTGGCGCAGGCTGATGCTGGTAGGGTGCTCAAACCCTTGATTTGTGGGCTTGATGATATGGGTAGACTGTACATCAACGGGAAGAGCCTATGTAATAACTGCAGCAGTTTCTCATTTTATTCAGAGTTGGCCAATGAAGTGGTTACCCATCTGATTATTTTGACGAAACAAGATTTTCTCTTTATTGTCGATACCAAGGATGTACTGCAGGGAGAAGTGGCACTTGGAAACGTCTACTTTGTTATTGATGGTAGAAGACGAGACGAGGAAAATATGAGCTATGTAAATATTTGGGAAAGAGGTGCCAAAGTAGTAGGAGTTCTCAATGGAGATGAAGCTGCTGTAATATTACAAACTATGCGGGGGAATCTCGAGTGCATTTATCCCAGAAAGCTTGTTCTCTCTGCCATTACTAATGCGTTAGCTCAGCAACGGTTCAAAGATGCGTTAAACTTGGTAAGGCGTCATAGAATCGACTTTAACGTCATCGTGGATCTATATGGGTGGCAGGCATTTCTACAATCAGCTGTGGAGTTTGTTCAACAAGTAAACAATTTGAACCACGTTACAGAATTTGTGTGTGCCATGAAGAATGAAGATGTTACAGAAACACTTTACAAAAAATTCTCCTTTTCCAAAAAGGGGGACCGGGTTTTCGAAGTGAAAGATCGTCGTGGTAACAAAGTATCATCAGTTCTACAGGCAATTAGGAAAGCCCTTGAAGAACAGATACCGGAGAGTCCGTCAAGGGAACTCTGTATTTTGACGACTCTTGCCCGTAGTGATCCACCAGCTATTGAGGAATCTCTTCTGAGGATAAAATCTGTTCGAGAAATGGAGTTGCTAAACACTTCTGATGATTCAAGGAAAAAGTCTTGTCCATCTGCGGAAGAAGCCTTGAAACACCTTCTGTGGTTATTGGATGCTGATGCTGTCTTTGAAGCTGCCTTAGGTCTTTATGATCTGAACCTTGCAGCTATTGTGGCACTCAATTCCCAACGTGATCCCAAAGAGTTTCTACCTTATCTTCAGGAGCTGGAAAGAATGGCCGAACCCGTGATGCATTTCAACATTGACATTAGATTGCAGCGTTTTGATAGTGCTCTTAAGAACATTGTATCAGCAGGGGATAGCTACTTTCCTGATTCCATGAACTTAATGAAGAAAAACCCTCAACTTTTCCCGCTCGGCCTCCAGCTAATTACTGAACCTGAAAAGAAACAAGCGGTTCTAGAGGCTTGGGCAGATCATCTCGCTGATGAAAAACGTTTTGAGGATGCTGCTACTACTTACCTATGTTGCTCTAGACTGGAAAAGGCTTCAAAGGCGTATCGTGAATGTGGTGATTGGAGTGGGGTACTCAGAGTGGGGGCGCTAATGAAATTAGGTAAAGATGAGATCTTGAAATTGGCGTACGAGCTCTGTGAAGAGGTCAATGCTCTTGGGAAACCGGGGGAAGCAGCAAAAATAGCTCTCGAGTATTGCGGAGATATAAGCGGTGGAATTAGTTTGCTTATCAATGCGAGGGAATGGGAAGAGGCTTTAAGGGTTGCATTCCTGCATACAGCAGATGGTTTAGTCTCAGCGGTGAAGAATTCTGCTATCGAGTGTGCTGTTGTTCTAGTAAGTGAATTCAAAGAATCAATAGAAAAAGTAGCAAAATATTTGACTCGCTATTTAGCTGTTCGGCAGAGACGATTGCTGCTTGCAGCAAAGCTCAAGTCCGAGGAACGGTCAGTAAATGATCTTGACGATGACACAGCTTCAGAAGCAAGTAGCAACCTGAGTGGAATGAGCGCATATACCTTGGGGTACATATTTGCATTTGTCTAATTTTCTCAGCCTTTTTTATCTCTGTGGAATTTTTCTTGGCTGATCTTAGGTTGCTTTTACATTGTGGATTAAATAGGCGAAGAAGTTTACCAGTTTTGATATTAACATAAAGGTTCTTGTTTTCTATGCTATAACTCCAGGACAAGGAGAGGTTCTGCTGCTTCAGTCAGCTCAAGCACGGCGAGTACTAAGGCAAGAGATTTGAGGCGCCAGAGAAAGAGCGGGAAAATTCGTGCGGGAAGGTAATATATATATATTCATGCTTACGAAGATTGATGGGTTTCATTTTGATGAGCAAAAATGTAAAACGAATGAATAAAATTGGGTGCAGCGCGGGTGAGGAGATGGCACTTGTGGAGCATTTGAAGGGAATGCGAATGACAGAAGGAGGAAAGCGAGAGCTGAAGTCGTTGTTGGTATGCCTGGTAACTCTTGGTGAGACGGAGTCTGCACAAAAGTTGCAGCAGACTGCAGAGAATTTCCAGGTGGCTCAAGTAGCAGCAGTGGAGCTAGCAGACGATACAGTCTCCAGCGAAAGCGTCGATGAACAAGTTTATTGCTTCGAGCGTTACGTTCAGAAGACGAGATCCACAGCACGAGACTCTGATGATGCCTTTAGCTGGATGCTTAAGGTCTTCGTTACCCCCACATGAAACTCTCTTTTCTGACTGAATTAGCATATCAACAAGCATTGTGCGTTTTAAACATCAGAACTTCCTTGCTACATGTTTGTCTCTTCGTTTTGGCTCTTTACTGAAGGAATCATTTTCTCATTTTAAAATATTTTTTTTTGTTACAAATTATATTACCTTTAAATTTAATGAATTACAATTTAAAACTAAACAAAACGGTAGACGATAATAGGGTGTTTGTTTGACTGTCTTTTTTTTGGTTTGTCTCATTTAATTAATTAGTTTAGCTTCTATAATTTGGCTATAGTAAGTGCATTACTTAAATGCAGCTACCACCACAATCTTAAAATGTTTATTTGAGATATCTAATATTATTTTGTATTTTCGTAATATACATATGAAGTTTTACCCTAAGTGCATTCGTTTTCTTTTCTTTTGAACTCTATAAATATATCTCTGTTCTCTCATCTCATTCGCATGTACATCTCTTTCTTAAAAACTTCTTTTATTTCAAAAAAACTCTATAAAGATCTCCTCATCTCATTCACATACAATATCCTCCTCTTTTTTTCGTCATTACTATTATACCAGAATATTGAATTTTTTTTATAATTTCAACAAGCTCCACATCTCATGTTCGACCTACTCAGACAACATTGTGGATCATCATAACCCGTATGTGCCCGACCATTAGTCTTGAGAGACCCGACCTTCATTATTCGTTATTTGTGATTGTTACAAGGTTCGTAATATTTTCAAATTAACTTAATTTAGTTATGAATAATGTAATATATTATCAACATTTTGGGGTTTTACTGGCTTTGTATAGGCATGCATAAATATAAATCGATATGGATTTAGACGTGACATGAAAAAGAATCACTTATCCTATAATAACAACTAAATGCATGATTAAATCCAAATCCGTCCTATTCAAACATATCATGTTTTAGCTGCATCGGTACTTTCTTAATTTCTATGCAACTTTGTTGCCATTGAATACAAAAATACTTTCCAAAATGAAAATTCACAAAGAACTTTAAAATCTTGTAGTGCCAGTGGGTATTGTTGTTGTTGTTTTTTCCTATATGTCTCGAGGAGATGATAATGAGAAAACCCATCTAGTATCAAATTAGTTCTACTTTTGTTTGGGATCTTATGGCGAATGAATGCAAAACATATTGGTCTCCATTCCGTATTAAGTGGTCTCGCTTTTTTGTTTGTTTTGCTTTGCTTTGTGACGTAAAAAAATCTCATTAATACAACTAGTTTGTACTTTTTAGGGCTTTACGTTAGATATAATAAGTCCCTACATCTTAGGCAAGATTATATAATCGATAAAATCCATGAGAAGCTGTTGATAAAGTGGCAGGACTTATAAATGGATCGGTTTAAACGATCAATAAAATATGTAACGAGAAAAATAAAATAACATTATAATTAACGGAAGCGAGTGAGAAGAACTTGAAACTGCCAAATTAATGTAAAATGACAAAAAAAAATGAAAGTGGGTTTATGAGAGTTAGCACCAAACCAACCAAGGAATGTTTTTCCTCTAAAACACGAGTTTAGTGCTCTGTGGCTTTCCTGTTTTTTAGGCAGGTGTATTAATTCCTTGCACTTCAACAAAAACGAAATGTTTACGTCTACAATTTTTGAATGCTCTTTACGTCGGATCACATGTAGACGTTATGAGGCTTCAAACGGAATTCATATATATACACACACACTATATATAAAACTTTTATTTTCCTTATAACAAACCAAAACCCCCCCCTATAATATTGTCTAACAAAGACAGTTTTTCTTTATGCAGAGAAGCTGCAAAATAATGGAGCTTAAGAAAGCAAGGCCATTCATGGCCATTGTTTTCATACAGTTTTTGTATGCATTGATGTCCATAGTAGCAAAACTAGCTTTGAACGAGGGTATGAGCCCTCACGTCTTAGTTGCTTACCGGATGGCAGTTGCTGCAACTCTCATTACTCCTTTCGCCCTCGTCCTTGAGAGGTTTCTTCTTCTTCTTCTTCTTCAGATTCAGGCCTGTAAAACAAAAATATACACCATGAAGTTAAAATAATTGTTTCTTGTGTTGCAAACGCAGGAACTCAAGACCAAAGATGACTTTCAAAATCTTGTTTCAAATATCCATCCTGAGTTTGTTTGAGTAAGTAAGACTATGTTACATCAATTCCACAATGATAGACATTGACTCGTCCGTGTAACTCGGTTTAAAATGCAAAAAAAAAAACAAATGCAGGCCTGTGGTCGAACAAAACCTATACTACTCAGGGATGAAACTTACTACTGCCACATTCACATCGGCTTTGTGCAATGCACTTCCTGCAATGACATTTATAATGGCCTGCATTTTCAAGTAACTCTCTCTCTCTCTCTCTCTCTCTCACTTTCTCTCTACCAATATTTGCCAATGCATACACTGCTGTAGAACTGACTTGTTTTTAAACACGGTGAAAGGCTCGAGAAGGTGAATATCAAAAGGCGTCACAGCCAGGCAAAACTAGTGGGAACCATGGTGGCTGTTGCAGGAGCAATGCTTATGACACTCGTGAAAGGGAATGTCATTGAGTTACCATGGACAAGTAAGTCAAGGGGTTTTCATGGTCAGTCACATACTATGAATGCTCCAAAGCAGAAAGATATAGGAAGAGGATCAATTATGCTTGTAGCAAGCTGCTTCAGCTGGTCATGTTTCATCATTCTACAGGTAGGACCCATTCTCTACTCTTTTAACGTTCTACAGCCGAATTCAAATGACCTCATCTCAAACCCATCCATAATCAATCCAAGAAACAAAGAATATAACACAAAAGCAGAAAATACTTCACCAGTTTAACTAAGGCTTGATATATTTCTCAGCACAAAACAATAATTGATAATACCTCTACTGAGTAAAACAGTCAAGTCACAGAGAGGTAGTAATGTAACACAGGAATTTATGTCTTTTTCCAGGCAAACATTCTGAGTTCATATCAGGCTGAGCTCTCGCTAACAGCACTTATGTGCTTTATGGGGATGCTGGAGGCTGCTGTTATGGCATTGATATGGGAAAGGAACAACATGTCGGTCTGGAAAATTCACGCGGACATGAGGCTATTAGCTTCAATATATGGGGTACACAATTGTTATGTCTGTTCCTAAATTTCTCAGAAAAACCCTTTTGTGTGTGTGTGTGTGTTGAGAGAATAAGCATTGTTAATTGTCATCACACAGGGGCTTGTCTCAGGGTTAGCATACTACGTTATTGGATGGACATCAAAGGAGAGAGGGCCTGTGTTTGTGAGCGCATTTAACCCTCTCAGCATGGTTATCGTTGCTATTTTGAGCTCATTTGTTTTCTTGGAAGAATTGTACCTAGGAAGGTAACTGCTTTGAACCAATACTACTATTGCCATAGATCTAAAGTAAGAGAATTGAATTTCACAAAATAAGCTTCCTAAATTTGCAGGCTTGTTGGGTCAGTTGTCATTGTCATTGGAATATATTTGGTTCTATGGGGTAAAAGCAAGGACAAAGGAGGGCAGCTTCCACCAAAAGCTGGCTGTGCAGAGTCTGTGGTCAAAATTGACGAAGAGATGGTTCCAAAGGCAGCAACTCAGTCTTAAGGGTCGGTCTGAGATGCCGATTTTGTGACAGTATCTTTATATATTTGCAGAACATTTTTGATAGTATATATAAAGAATGTGGTTTGCCAGAATAAGAGCAAGCATTGCGCTGCATAAAGTCGCAAAGAAGCTGTCTACATCTTAAATTTTCGAGTGCTTGCAGTTGCAGAAGTTAAGATACCTCAGTAAGAGAACTAGACTCGCCAGAAAAGGCCATTATAGAAGTTCAAGGTTCTGAGTTATTATAAGGAGCTATAGTTACAGAGAGCAAGTACGGAATTCACTTACGACAAAATAGCCTGCCCGTTGATAAACGTCTTCTCAAGATGCCATAGTGCCAGCATCCTTCCCATAGATACGCTGAAGTTCAAGGCTGGCAACGTGATACGAGGCTGAAAACAGACAAAAAGTGTATCAACCTTTTCAACTGGAAAAAACCGACAAAGATTGGCTTTTGTATTTTTTTCTATATGTCATTCTCTAAGCTGCTGTGTCAAATTAAAGTGTTTATGCTGAGCTAATACCTTTCCAGGCGTTGAAATTTTTATGGTTGATATCAGACCCTGTTACATTTTGAATAGCATCGAACAACTTCTCCTGAGGTGTATTCTTCAGCTCTTGAACAACGCCATAAATGGTCTTTCCATTCTCAAAGTATATGTGGTTATTTGGGTGCTTAGTCTTGCAATTAGCATGCTGCTCGAATTCGTACGCATTAAGAACCTGTTGCACAGTTCAGTTGGAAAATTAACAGATGAGACATAGACTTGTATCAAACAGACTTGCCATTGAATTACTGAAATCATTCGTATCACGTTGCTTACTTTATTAAAGTTACAGCCGCTGCAACCACATAGATACCCTGTCCCTTTTATAAGTCCTTTGAGATTTTTCTGCCAAATTAAGTTTCAGCACACAGAAGAGTAAAAGGTGAAAGATTCCTTCTCAGGACAGGTAAGAGAACAAACTGACCTCACGTGACCACGAATAGTACTTCACGGTAACCCCATCGAACATTCCTGTTGACAACAAGGACTTAACGTTTGTAGGGAATGTGTTTGTAGAACCCTTCCTAGCTGTCTTTGAATCGTTGCTTTTGGGCACGAGCAAGGTATCAACCCTAGGGCTAGCATATGGGTGATCTCTAAATTCAAAAGACATGTTTTCCTCGGCTACTATACGAAGAGGATCTTTAGCAGCAGTTGCAGGGGCAAGGCTGAAGTTCTCATAACTGTTAATAACTCGAGCTGGCGAGACCATTGTGGCTTCTTTCTGATAATCTCCAAAAGATATGGTCTTGCTTCTATTCTCGTGACTCATTCTATCATTGGTTCGGTCTGCTCTGTCTCGGCTAGATACCATAACTGCCATCTCACCGCCTTCCATGTATGAGGACAGTCTCCCTGACAACACATTCGCATTTTCTTTGCGATAGGATGATTCGATCATGAAAAGGTCTTCAGGTACTTTGTCACAAGAGGGAAGAGACATGAAGTTCTCCTGTCCTTTGTTATAGGAGAAGATATTACAATCAGCCTTTTGACGAGGCTGCTGACCCATCAGTGCAAAGTTCTCTACTCCCTTCTCAAATGGATGAAATGCTGAGAAGACATTTTCATCTCCTTTGTCATAGATCATATCACCCATTGGTATAACACCAAGACCTTCACTACTGAAGTTTCGAATGGCATTGACATCCGCGTTGCTAGCGAATGGCCCTGGCAAGACGAAGCTCTTGTCGAAATCACTGCAGGTCTGGCCAAAGGAGAGCGTGCTATCATATGAAGGACCCGTCTCAAATGACGTTGAAACTCCCTCACCATAAAGCGGAACCATTGATTCGGGCATGTTTCCAGATTCACACACTTGATTGACTTTAACCTTTCTAACGGTGTCGAGATTAAACGAGCTACCATGAACCACCGGAAAACCAAGTGATGAGACGGTACTGCATTGCTCTGTATTTTTCCTTCCATCCCCAATATATTGACCGTCTATAGGAGACAACACATTTCTACCAAGCTGGGCATTAGCAGGATCGAATAAGCAATTTGAGAAGTGTCTAGGCACAAAAGAACTGTCCCATGCAGATAAATTGATATGTGGAGTTAAGAAACCCGGCCGGGCACAATCAATCTCTACCGCTTGTCTCTTATTACTGAATAGCTCTGAAGCGGACGGTTCTGTCAGCCTCTGATGACTCCGCTTTAGCTCCATCCTCGAAGAACCAGAGTATGGAATCTCCTCAGTGTCCTGTCTGCCAAGATCTGTTCTCATCCTCTGTAACAACCAGCAAGACAAATAATCAGTAACCACACTCCTAGCATTGTGAGTTGCATTGTAATAAACGAATTCAGACTGCGACATCTTAGGCATGATAAAAAAAAAAAAAACAAAACTTTGAGATGGCAAAGAGTAAAAAGTTTATAGTTTCGATAAGCATCTGGAGAATTTTGGAGTCTGGGCGTGACGTAATGGAGAAAAGTTGTTGTTGCAAAGAAAAGGAATAGGAAAATCAGGATTTTTAAGTTCAAAAATCTGATATTGGTGAAAGGGAAATTATAGAACCCTAAAAATCCCCTGACGAAAATCCCAGCGCTTACCTTGCATCACTCGAAATGAGACTGCAGAGCTGTTATTATAGTCTTGAGCAGCTCAAACACGCGGTCAGATCGACCGCCAGCGAAGTCAAAATCCAGAAATCCAACAGAAGAAGCCGACGGGAGAATCCAAGGATTTGGGGATTTTGTGTTAACGAACAAAAAGAGACGGAATTTCAATTCCGGTTAAAAGGAGCGAGGGAAGTGAAGATTGTTGAGGTAAGAGTGAAGAGTGAAGAGTGAAGAAGGAAGGTAAGGATCATCAGGACTTGAAAAGGGACTCGTATCGTCAACTTCAAGAGTAAGTGGGAACGTTTTAAAGATCAAATTTTGCGACTCTTACAATACCAAAATATTACAACGAGTAATGCCCGCCAAACTCAATCTTAGACTTGGTTTTAGATTTTTCTACAAAATTTTCTTTTCTTTTTTTGCTCCCGGACTTCTTTTGATGATGTTTTTTTGGTAATAATCCGGGGGAATTAATAAAGATTCTTTCCTCGAATAAAAAAATTAGCATGATGCTATAAGTGAATATAATCTGACTCGGATTTGGTTAATTATCTGAATGTGTTTCACTTCTCCACAAGGTTATTGTATTGCGAAAAACTTTATGATAAAGGATTCACCATTTTAACTTCAGAAGTTGGTACAGCTTCGAAGAAGCATCAGATGATCAGAGATTGAGGTTGGACAAAGAGCATTATACCGGGTTTTCCAAAAACATTAATTGGATTACATGAAGACTCACCCTTTGCTATGAGAATAATACACTTATGATGTATAAGGATCAAACAAGCCTATATATATAAATAACATTAGAAAACTAGTATAACACTAGAAACTAGATTTCATAACTTTTTTTTTTATAAATAAGCTGTTCAGTTTCGTACAAACCCAGCTGCAAAAATGGGTTCTTCTTTTTTACCTGCCTTTCTTTGCCATTTTAGGATTCTTGCACATCCGAATACTAAGAGGCGTAACCTCCACTAGTTCATCCTCTTCAATGTATTCGATGCAGTCGTCAAGACTATAAGTCAAGGGAGTGTCAAGAACCACTGTAATTCAGACGAAAACCAAAAAAATAATGTGAGCAGATGGATTTGAAACTTGCACAAGTTAAAGGGTTAATATGAAGTTTACCTGTTACGTCTTTGTTGGAGCGTATGTTTGTTGCTGCTTTCTTCTTGCAGATATTAAGGCCCAAGTCGCCAGGTCTCTGGTGGATCCCAACTATCTGACCTTTGTATACATCCACACCTGCACCTACAAACATTTGCCCTCTCTCTTGCGCACTTGCCAGAGCATACGACGTTGATGTTCCATCTTCAAAGGCAACCTGAAAGTCCACACGTTCTTGTTCAGAAACCACTAATAACTACCAAACTGGAAACTACTATCTCAACTCCCTGACTTACCAGCGAGCCCAGATCACGGGTGCTAATATCGCCGGCCCAAGGTCCATAACTGTCAAATACGGTGTTGAGGATAGCTGTCCCACGGGAAGCTGTTAAAATTGCATTCCTCAATCCAAGAAGCCCACGTGTTGGGATTTTGTACCGCAGAAAGACTGTTCCTTCCGACCTGTGTCATTCAGGATTCACAAGCATAGTCAGATTGATCTCAATAGCTTCAATTTACCTAGCAGCTTATCAGAAAGAAAAAAACAACTGCTCAAGCGTCTCACATACCCAACACCCTGCATATCAAACATCTGTCCACGCCTTTTGCCGAGAAGTTCAACAACAGGCCCCATGTGATTCTCTGGTACTTCAACAGTTGCTACCTGAATTGGTCGATTTTGAAGTCAGATATGACGTCTTTACTTTCCATAAAAGCAATTAAACCAAAGATATTCAAACAGAGTGAAATCATGGTTTCATAACTTGCTGCTCATTTCTTTGCGTCAGTCAGAAACTCACCTCATATGGCTCCAGCAATTTATCGTTAACCCTTTTGTTGATAACTTTCGGGGGTCCAACCATAAATTCATATCCTTCTCTTCGCCTGGAAGATATCAATGTTCAGCTACTTTCAATATGAAATATGAAATGAACGGTGGCCAGTGAAGTACTTACATGTTTTCTATCAGGATGGTAATGTGTAGTGTACCACGCCCACTAATAATGAATGTGTCGGCTGTCTCACCATCTTCCACTTTCATAGCTAGATTTCTTTCAAGTTCACGGTTTAAACGGTCTCGCAAGTTCCTGCTCGTTACATACTTCCCCTCACGACCAGAAAACGGAGAGGTGTTAACAGAGAAGGACATTTTCACCGTTGGCTCTTCTACTTTGATTGTAGGTAGAGGCTTTCCATGTACTTTATCAGCAATAGTCTCCCCGATCTGCAACGAAACGTTACAACTCAATTACAAACAAAAAGAAAAATGACAAGTGGCCACAATTATCCAGCAGCGCTACAACAGTCTCTCCCATTTGGCATCAATTTACACATGGATATATGTGTACCTGAATGTCATCTATGCCACATACAGCGCAAATATCTCCAGCTTCCACTGTATCAGTAGGTACTCTGTAGAATTTCTCGTAAACGAAAAGCTCACTTACTCTTGCAAATCTACAGGAATCTTCAGAAGTGCACACCTGTAAAGTTATTCCCAATAAGTCTACTACAAACCATATCAAATCTACAAGCTTTGATGAATTAGAAACCAAGGAATGAGCTGAAGTTTTATTAAAATCTTACCCTGACATCCATTCCTTTGCGCAGTGCCCCTGCGTGTAGCCGCCCGATAGCAATGCGTCCTTTATGTTCATCATACTCGATATTTGTGGCCTGATAAAACAAAATATTGGTTTCATACAAGTGAATATCTACTCAACTCAACTATACAGACTGATTCATTGACATTTCTTTTATAATTTGGTTTGAGAAATATCCCAGTGCAGCAAACTGGACAGTTTATTAATTGTGGCCGTATAAACAAAGATGCTATTGATAAGATAAATTCCTCAATTTGACCGGGGGTGGACCCATACAAAAGCTACAAATTGTCTCGTTATTTGGGAGTGCCATTGGATCAAAAGTTTTTTCGATTTGAAGCTTGGTTTAGAACAAGTGACTGGTTTTAGTTGGTGAGAGACAAGATGAATATGCATTATGCACTGGCTGGGAACAAACACATGAAACAGTAAGAAAATCACAATAACTCACAAGCATCTGAAGTGCACCATCCTTTTCAATATTTGGCCCAGGAACACATCTAATGATAGCCTCGAACAGGGGTCCTAGGTCTTCTGCAAGATCATCCGGAGAAAGACCTGCCTTTCCTTTGATCCCGCTAGCATATATCGCTTGGAAATCACACTATAGGCCACCAATAAATAAAAAATATTAAGGTTACTATCATAAAACTCTACTCAAAGTATATGAGTCACGCGAGATAGCACACAAAGAATAGACAAAACCAAAATCAACAATACCTGCTCATCTGTAGCGTTTAGTTCAATAAATAGTTCAAAAGTGGAATTGACAACAAACTCAGGACGAGCCGAAGGCCTGTCAATCTTGTTCACGACCACGACAACTGCATGTCCAAATTCAAGAGCCTTCTTTAAAACAAACCTTGTCTGAGGCATTGGTCCCTCAACAGAGTCCACCTAAGAAAAAAGGGAATGAAGGGAGGAAAATTAAGAAATGCAAAGCTGAAAGTTTATTCTAAAGCATTGAGACAGGACATCAAATTACCACAAGAAGCACTCCATCAACCATGTTCAAGACACGCTCCACTTCACCGCCAAAGTCGGAGTGACCAGGAGTATCTATTATATTTACTTTTGTATTTTTGTAAGTGATAGAGGTGTTTTTGCTAAGAATGGTGATTCCTCTTTCACGTTCGAGGTCATTTGAGTCCATGATCCTCTCCTGCATGACTTGGTTATCTCGGAATACCTACAAAGGTAAGATATGGATTAAGAAAAGGAAAAATTTCCCAGATTATTACATTGACAAAACATCGAGTAACTTTCTCAGGTTGGATAAAAAGCTAATGTCAGTAGAGTTTCAGCTGTTACCTTAGCTTGCCTCAGCATAGAATCAACCAAAGTAGTTTTTCCATGATCAACATGTGCTACAATTGCTATATTCCTCACGTCATTCCTCCTCACCAACTGCTTCTTCTTCACCTCTACTAGCACAAAAAGAGAGTGAGACTTCGTTTAGAGAAGCAATCCACCAAAAAAAACATACTATAGAAATGAACCTAAGAGTGTAATTCTTGAAACTTTACTGATCAAATGAAGACTTTATCCTTAAGTTTCACAATCTCGCAATCATCTTCTAATTTTGTTAATTTCAAACTGACCAAAATTCAAGCAAAAAAAAAAAATAAACTCGCTCCTAGCGGAAATCAATTTTAGCTGCAAAACTACTTCACCTTATCTTAACAGAAAAAATCAGGAGAAAAAAAAAAGACGGAAATGACCTGAGGATGATTCGGCGGTTGATGGAGAGGCGGAGCAAGTGATGGGACGATGAAGCGGACGCCGCCGGGAATGAAATCGGAGAGCTCCTCCTGGTTTAAGAGCGGAAGCAAAGCTAACGCCGAGCACTTGTTGGTTGTGAAGCAGAGGAGAAGACTGTCTCCTCAAAACCGCTGGAGAAGCGGAGGAAGTGCTCAAGCTCAGCTCCATTTCAATTTCTCTCCGCCGAGGAACAGAGGAGATAGAGAGAAAGAGAGAGAGCAAAAGGATTTATTTTGGTTGGAGAGGAGAAGCTGTTGTTTGATTCCGAGGATTATGAAGCCGCTTTTGGTTAAGTCTGCGCTTTCGTGTGGAGTAGATGGACCAGGTTAAGCCACGTCTTGACTCTTGGACTTATCGACTCCCAAACTAATAAGACCCACACCACACAGAGCCACTTGCGTGTGGCTCGCCAAAACTCGCAAGTGGACGGCTCATAACCGGCTTCTAGGTCTTAGTCACAAAGACTACAGAGTTCATGTAGACAGAGGATCTTTTCGCATTTCAAAACTGACCTTCTTTATCAAATTTTATCACACACAAGAACATAACATAAATTCTACATGATATGCTAGTTTGAATCCATATATTGATTCTTTCGTAAAGACAAATAACATGGACCAGCAAGTTTTGCATAATCTTTTCGACGGACGAAACATAAAATAGGGGACCGTATAATTTACATCAATAAGAATATAAACGAAGGTATTGAGAAATATAGCACCACCAAAATATTCATTCTCAGGCTTCTTGTGAGTTGAGCATCATGACGATGACGATTAATGATTGATGCTGATCTGTCTTGCAAGAAATAGATTCACAAAAGCTGACAGCCCAGAGATATCAAAATAATCACAGCTTCAGGTCAATACGGTCGGACCATTCAAATATACCAGAGTAGACCTGGTCATGTCCTATATCGGACCCGTTGCCTCCGGTGGCAATCCTCATGATATCCTCGATCAATGCAAAGTTCCCCATGATATCAACATGAGCCCCACTCTGGGTCCCGCGCCCTTCTAGCAGGTTAGCCGGTGGAGAGTGGTTGTATTCTCTAAGGTAAGTTTTGATCCCTGAAGGATTGAATCTTGTCTTCCCACGCCAAGCTTTGGCACACATGAAACCGGCACTCAGCACCGGTACAGTTTCATCCCCATCCACATTGTAAACTCCTGCTTTCAGACAGCTATCTTCGTCCTCCTCGTGTGCAGAAGTGAATATGTGAAATGGGATGCAGCTGTCAGGAGACTGGTTAAGCTTGTAGATGTATGATCGCTCTGTTGGTATCCCAACTCCGTACAATGAGAAGATCTCCATCTCAGGGGCATTGGGTAATCTGAAACAACAGAACAACAAACCAAACGAGCTTTTTAGAAGAAGAAAAACAGAGAGGACTGAGCAACGTATAGACATAAAGTGCTCTAAATAAGTAAATAGTTCCAGTGTACTCATCAGAAGATCCCTGTACTAGCAGTATATCCTAGAAAACACAGAGAGGGTCTACTAAACTCCTTTTGGAACTAGAATGTGGTAATACTAATAAGGTCTTTCACTTGTCACCACCCTTGCGCTGGCTCTAATAAGCAAACGTAATCTGTATCAACTTTAGTACCTAAATATAACTGAGAAAGCCTTATCGAGAAAGACTCAAATAGCTTTCCTAGCTTTAACCTGATAACCATATTCAAGAAGATGGTACCAACTACCAAAACACATCACTTACTTTGTCTCCAACGGATTTGACCAGTGTCTGTGATGTTCGTACTTTGGATCATCCAAATCTTCAGCAATTCCATAAGAGAAGTGAGCAGCACCACGCGCCATCATCTTAGGAGCAACATAATGTAGCAAATCTATAACTGCATCAGCAGTGTACACCTTATACTCAGCAATCGCTTTAATCCCTCCAATTCCCATATCGTGATACTCTGTCCACACGTCACGACATGTGTTATTTGGGACACTCTGACCTTTGACCGCACCCTTCACCAAGTAAAATGTAAATACTATTAATCATCTAAACATAACATGTACAAAGTTTATATGATTTAAATGTTCGTCCTTACTCGGAAATCAATATTTTTAATCTCGGACACCGGAGCTTCTGCCACTTCTTTCCCAAACGATATAATCCTTCCATAGTTTACAGGCTTTGTCTCGCGAGTCTCGTTGCTCTTTTGCTTTTTCCCACAACAACAGATGTGGCCTTTCTCAGGCGACCAGTCCAGACCTCCCCATATTGTGTCACCTCCCTTAGGTAGCATAGACATTGTTGAGTCCCACGTGCGTGTCATCCTCATTATGTGCTGCAACGTCTGAAGTCTAAATATATCAGTGTCTAAGAACCCTGGTGCAATCGCTCTGCAATTTTCAAAGACAATGAAGTTCTATTAAGTGAAGCAGGGATAAGAGACCATTGATGCAAAATGCCGTAACCATTCATCAAGTGTTCTCAAGAGAGTTCCAAATTCATAAGCAGCAAAAAATAACCAACCAACGTCAAGATTAAAGCAGAGATAATATAACAATACTAATAGAACTGATATCTAGTAGCATGCAAGGTTCTGATCACCCAAAAAAAACACAATCAGCTATTCAATACCTGGCAACTGCAACGTCCTTTGCTTCAGCAGAGAAAAGCCCTGCAACAGCTTTTGGAACACCAAGAAATGGTCCACCAATGTTCATCACGGCCTTGATATACTTGGCACACCAATCGGGTCCACCACCGCCACCCATAGGAGCCGGTGCCTCAACCCATTTCATAAAATGTAGAAAATACAAGACCCCCATGGAATGCGGAACTATGACTGCCTTCTTTCCGCCGTTGGTAGAAACCATCAACTCTATACTACTTTTCATACGGCTAAGCGTCTGGTCACGCACCTAATAATTCAACATAAGAACATATGTAAGCCGTGAGAGATGAAGAAAGAAACGTGAACAGGATATAGATTTATTTATGAGAAAGAAAATAAACCTCTGTGTTCTGAAAGGAAAGTCTCCAGTCATACGCAGCCATGTACATGTTTTTCTCTTCATATCCAATATGTGCGAGGTTAGCGATAAGCACTGCCCAAACAAAGTAGCCAGGGGCAAAGTAATCAGCAGCCACGAGTCCTGAAACAGCTCTAACTCTAATACCAGCAGGATCCAACCCAGTTTCGTTGTCAAGTGACATGTGTTCCACCCAACATAGAGGCCTGTATCAAAGAGACAAATCGGTTACTTAGAATACAACCAACAGTAACACTGTCCCATCTATAACATAGCAAAAAAGAGGAACAGTAAGCCAAAAGAAGAAAGATGCAGATCATAACAAATAAAATAGATGCAACTCAAAAGACAGATTTTCATTAAAAAAAATATCAATAGCAGGCTCGCGAGAAGTTCATAGCTAGATTACAGAATGAGGCTGGAGGAAATTCAAGACAAATAACTAGAAAACTCTGAAAAATCTCATTTTGCAATTCTCAGAAAGAGTTTGAGAAAAGCAGATTGAGCTGAAAGGCAAAAGAAACTAACTTTTAGTTGCACATGCGCATGGTTGAAAAAGAAAGCAACAAACAATCCTATATATCACGGTCACATCTTTCACAAATGTATGTAGAAGGAAAAAAACACTACTTGAGGACAAGCCCATCTAAGTAATCGTACAGGGACAGAAAAAAAAAGAAGCAACATGATGACTTGAAATTCCAAGGCATCAGGCACTATTAGAACAAACGTGTTTCCTTGGATATCTTGCTTAAAACCCAAATTTGGCAATTTTTTTCCTTTGAAACGCTTCCCTTACACGAATACAAATATACAACAGAAATAGTAAACCTCCTAAAAAGCGAGTAAACGAAATGTGGAAACTAAGTTTGAGTGTGATGTTCAAACAAGCAGCAAGTGCGTGATCTCATCAGATCCAACCCAAGTCAAAGTATAACATTAAAAGGAAGAGGGAGAAGGAAAGCTCGCCTTTTATAGACTTCGCCGAAAGTTCCTCCCCACAGGCGCTTTCTAAACAAACCATCAGCGCACTGTTTACCTTCCCAGAGCTCAAGACCTCCGGTGACAATCCCAGGGATGAAGACAACGGGGTGCTTCGCCTTAAGACCTTCTTTCTTCAGCTTAACGCCTGGAGGGTCGGGCAAAGGACCCGTGATCGCTTCCGTTACATACTGAGGAAAGCTCGCAGGCATGGCGTTGTAACAGAAGAGCAGGAACCACCACGTGACGCAGACACAACCGATGAACCAGCAACATGAATCGACGCACGACCATCTCGCCTTGTCGGCTCCTCCCCCAGATTTCTTATGGGGTTTCGGGGAATCGTGAGGTTTCTTCTGAGAATCATCGTCGTCGGGCAGCTGCTCAGGCGGCGTCGACGCTTTCTCCGTCGGCTTTTTCCGATGAATAAGGGGCATTTCTGTCTCTTGGAATCAGCCAGAAGAAGGCCGAGGACCTTCGACAAATCTCTCGAAGAATGACAACCAAGAGTATGTCCACCCTTCAATCTCAACCCTTTCCTGATCGGATTAGGGATTAGATCAGTCGAGAGGGAGAGAGAGAGAGAGAGAGAGACAAAGAGCTGATTTGCTGCGAATTTTTTAAACCAATTAAATTTGTTTTGTTTTTATTTTTTGTGTTTTTTTTCTAGACTTTTTCTGTTTTTCTGATATCCAGGTGACGAATAAAGCTCGGACCTGATGGCAAAGTCATTTGACCACTTTTGCTCCTGGTTCAAAAGTTCAGCCGAGAGCCGTCCGATCCCATCCCATCCGTTTCGTTGATTTCATTTGTAGTCCATAACAGTTTTTGACTGCATTTACTTTTCTAATCACTTCTTTTATCTCTTCATCAATGAAACCTAAATAAGTTTTACAAAAGTGGTCTATGTGAAATCGAATCATGTTAATGTACAAAGAAATGCTGAAGAGCTAACGGTCATTAACATGACCGCATGATAAAATGAAAAGAACCAAAATGCTTTCAAATTTCTTGCTAAAGACATGTAGATAGGCCCTAGTAGATACGACGATAATGAATGAAGAAACTATGACATCTAACGACTAACGGTATAATAAATTCATGGTACATGTTCTTCTACACTCTCTTACCCACGAACATGTGGTGGGCATAGTTTCCGAGTATCACCCAATCGCGTGGAAGCAGACTGTATTTTTTATCAAGTCCTATTTGAAATATATCAAAATCACATTTAAGTAGTAAAATCTTTGATCAAAATCAAAATATAATTTTTGCTTAACATATTAAAATTGACCAAAGTCAAACCAACACAGTTTTATCAGGTGGATCCTACAACAGAGTACCGGCTTATTGCAAATGCGAACCGTCCGGTCCGGTCCGTCTTTAAATGGCCTCGGATATGGGCCAAGGAATCTTTTACATGGCTGAAACCGAAATACGATCTCCGAGACAATACTTTTAAAGAATAAAATAAACTCCAATATCCACACGCCCTAAACCATGAAATTTGAATAGAAATCTCAATGAGCCAATGAGAAGCCAGTAAACTCCATCTCATTGTCCTAAGCGGATATAGATCCGACAAAACTCAACCTCACAACTTAAGAACCCCTCTCGCGTCACCATTCGTCCACGTGTCTTTCCCTCCCACCACTTACCTTCAAAACCATCGCTGCTTTTTTAGTTCCTTCTTCCAAAGCGTTAATTGATGAGAGAAACATAAACACCCACTTGGAGCAGAAGTGTAAAAGCCAACCAAAAAAAAAACGTAAGAAGAAAAGAGGGAATCGATTCTCTTTCTCTTCGCAATCTCTTCTCCATCCTCTCCTCTCCGATTCGACTTTGAATCGCAATCTATAAGCCTGAAAAATGGCTTCACTTGTTTATTCTCCCTTCACTCTATCCACTTCTAAAGCAGAGCATCTCTCTTCGCTCTCTAACAGTAACAAACATTCATTCCTCCGCAAGAAATCCAGATCAGCCAAACCAACGAAATCCTTGTTTAATGTCAAATCTATGGTCTCGGGAAACGGCCTCTTCACGCAGACAAACCCGGAGGTCCGCCGTATAGTTCCGATCAAGAGAGACAACGTTCCGACGGTGAAGATCGTCTACGTCGTCCTCGAGGCACAGTATCAGGCATCTCTCACGGAGGCCGTGCAGTCTCTCAACAAGACATCGAGATTCGCGTCCTACGAAATCGTTGGATACTTGGTAGAGGAGCTTCGTGACAAGAACACTTACAGCAGCTTCTGCAAGGACCTCGAAGACGCCAACATCTTCATTGGGTCTCTGATCTTCGTCGAGGAACTGGCGCTTAAAGTCAAGGATGCGGTGGAGAAGCAGAGAGACAGGATGGACGCGGTTCTCGTCTTCCCTTCCATGCCTGAGGTAATGAGACTGAACAAGCTCGGATCTTTCAGTATGTCACAATTGGGTCAGTCCAAGTCTCCCTTTTTCCAACTCTTTAAGAGGAAGAAAGCAGGCTCTGCTGGTTTCGCCGATAGCATGTTGAAGCTTGTTAGGACTTTGCCTAAGGTTTTGAAGTACTTACCCAGTGACAAGGCTCAAGATGCGCGTCTCTACATCTTGAGTCTACAGTTCTGGCTCGGAGGGTCTCCTGACAATCTCCAGAATTTTGTTAAGATGATCTCTGGATCTTACGTCCCGGCATTGAAAGGTGTCAAAATCGAGTATTCGGATCCGGTTTTGTTCTTGGATACCGGAATATGGCATCCTCTTGCACCAACCATGTACGACGATGTGAAGGAGTACTGGAACTGGTACGACACTAGGAGGGACACCAATGATGCGCTCAAGAGGAAAGACGCGACCGTTGTCGGTTTGGTCCTGCAGAGGAGTCACATTGTGACTGGTGATGATAGTCACTATGTGGCTGTAATCATGGAGCTTGAGGCTAGAGGCGCTAAGGTGGTTCCTATTTTCGCAGGAGGGTTGGATTTCTCTGGTCCCGTTGAGAGATATTTCGTAGACCCGGTGTCGAAGCAGCCCATCATAAACTCTGCTGTCTCCTTGACCGGTTTTGCTCTGGTGGGTGGACCCGCGAGGCAGGATCACCCGAGGGCTATCGAGGCCCTGAAGAAGCTTGATGTGCCTTACCTTGTGGCAGTACCACTGGTGTTTCAGACGACTGAGGAATGGCTAAACAGCACACTTGGTCTGCATCCTATCCAGGTGGCTCTTCAGGTTGCTCTCCCTGAGCTTGATGGAGGGATGGAGCCAATCGTTTTCGCTGGACGTGACCCTAGAACTGGTTAGTCCACTTATGGCAACCATATTGCATATCTCTCAGTTTTCATTACTAGTGTGGGAATGTTTTCTTATTGAAGACGTTTGTGTTGCAGGAAAGTCGCATGCTCTCCACAAGAGAGTGGAGCAACTCTGCATCAGGGCGATTCGATGGGGAGAGCTCAAAAGAAAAACTAAGGTATTACCAACTCATCCTTAGTGAAATCACATTCCTTGATGACTTTCTCAATCATGATATGAAATGTATGTTCTAATGAATTAAAATCTGGTTCATTGCAGGCAGAGAAGAAGCTGGCGATCACCGTTTTCAGTTTCCCACCTGATAAAGGAAATGTAGGGACTGCGGCTTACCTCAACGTGTTTGCTTCCATCTTCTCGGTCTTGAAAGACCTCAAGAGAGATGGCTACAATGTTGAGGGGCTACCTGAGACTGCAGAGACTCTTATCGAAGAGATCCTTCATGACAAGGAGGCTCAGTTTAGCAGCCCTAATCTCAACGTTGCTTACAAAATGGGAGTCCGCGAGTACCAAAGCCTCACTCCTTATGCAAACGCCCTGGAAGAAAACTGGGGGAAACCTCCGGGGAACCTCAACTCAGATGGAGAGAATCTTCTTGTCTATGGCAAAACGTACGGCAACGTTTTCATCGGTGTCCAACCTACATTTGGCTATGAAGGTGATCCCATGAGGCTGCTTTTCTCCAGATCAGCGAGTCCTCACCACGGTTTTGCTGCTTACTACTCTTACGTAGAGAAGATCTTCAAAGCTGACGCTGTTCTCCATTTCGGAACACATGGTTCCCTCGAGTTCATGCCTGGGAAGCAAGTGGGAATGAGCGACGCTTGTTTCCCGGACAGTCTCATCGGGAACATTCCCAATGTATACTACTATGCAGCCAACAACCCCTCTGAAGCAACCATCGCAAAGAGGAGAAGTTACGCGAATACAATCAGTTACTTGACTCCTCCAGCTGAGAACGCTGGTCTATACAAAGGGCTGAAGCAGTTGGGCGAGCTGATATCATCGTACCAGTCTCTCAAGGACACCGGGAGGGGCCCACAGATCGTCAGCTCCATCATCAGCACTGCTAAGCAATGCAATCTTGACAAGGATGTTGATCTTCCAGATGAAGGAGCGGATCTGCCAGCTAAAGAGAGAGATCTTGTGGTTGGGAAAGTCTACTCCAAGATCATGGAGATCGAGTCAAGGCTTTTGCCGTGCGGGCTTCACGTCATTGGAGAGCCTCCATCCGCCATGGAAGCTGTGGCCACACTGGTCAACATTGCTGCGCTAGATCGCCCTGAGGAAGGGATTTCGTCTCTTCCTTCTATATTAGCTGAGACTGTTGGAAGGCAGATCGAAGATGTGTACAGAGGAAATGACAAGGGAATCTTGAGCGACGTAGAGCTTCTCAAGCAGATAACCGATGCCTCCCGTGGAGCGGTTTCCGCCTTTGTGGAGAAAACAACAAACAGCAAAGGGCAGGTGGTTGATGTCTCTGATAAGCTAACCTCGATTCTCGGTTTTGGAATCAATGAGCCATGGGTTGAGTATTTGTCCAACACGAAGTTCTACCGGGCGAACAGAGATAAGCTCAGAACAGTGTTTGGTTTCCTTGGAGAGTGCCTGAAGCTGGTGGTCATGGACAACGAACTCGGGAGTCTAATGCAAGCTTTGGAAGGGAAGTACGTTGAGCCAGGTCCAGGAGGTGATCCCATTAGAAACCCGAAGGTTCTACCAACCGGTAAAAACATCCATGCCTTGGATCCTCAGGCTATCCCCACAACAGCAGCAATGGCAAGTGCCAAAATTGTTGTGGACAGGTTGGTAGAGAGGCAAAAGGTTGAGAACGAGGGCAAGTATCCGGAGACGATCGCGCTTGTTCTTTGGGGAACTGACAACATCAAGACATATGGTGAGTCTCTTGGCCAGGTTCTTTGGATGATTGGGGCGAGACCAGTAGCTGATGGTCTTGGAAGAGTGAACCGAGTCGAGCCTGTGAGCTTAGAAGAACTCGGAAGGCCGAGGATCGATGTCGTTGTTAACTGCTCAGGAGTCTTCCGTGATCTCTTTATCAATCAGGTGAACAGAGAGCAGAACATTCCCTTTCTTACGTTTAGATTCTTGTTGGTTGGTCTCTCATGGTGCTTGTTGTTTCTTGAATTGTGTCTTACAGATGAACCTTCTTGACCGTGCGATCAAGATGGTGGCTGAGCTAGATGAGCCACTTGAACAAAACTTCGTGAGAAAACACGCGATGGAACAAGCGGCGACGCTTGGCGTTGATATTAGAGAGGCAGCGACAAGGGTTTTCTCAAACGCCTCGGGGTCATACTCATCGAACATCAGTCTTGCGGTTGAGAATTCTTCATGGAACGATGAGAAACAGCTTCAGGACATGTACTTGAGCCGCAAGTCTTTTGCGTTTGATAGTGATGCTCCTGGAGTAGGAATGTCAGAGAAGAAGCAGGTCTTTGAGATGGCACTTAGCACTGCGGAAGTCACGTTCCAGAACCTCGATTCCTCGGAGATTTCCTTGACTGACGTGAGCCACTACTTCGACTCTGACCCGACTAACCTCGTTCAGAGTTTGAGGAAAGACAAGAAGAAACCAAGCGCTTACATTGCTGACACAACAACCGCAAACGCACAGGTTAGTGAAGCCTCTCTCTCTCGTTTGTTTTCTTCATGCATTACATTAGTCTCTATGGTTGGAGTTGGACGCAATGACTAGGGTTTTCAATTTTTCTGGTTTGTCTCATCGTTGTACCTGCATTGCTTAAGCGATTTGTGAATGTGGCAGGTGAGGTCACTATCGGAGACAGTGAGGCTGGACGCAAGAACGAAGCTGCTGAATCCAAAGTGGTACGAAGGGATGATGTCAAGTGGATACGAAGGAGTTCGTGAGATAGAGAAGAGACTGACCAACACAGTGGGATGGAGCGCAACGTCGGGTCAAGTAGACAATTGGGTGTACGAAGAGGCCAACTCAACATTCATCAAGGACGAGGAGATGCTTGAGCGTCTCATGAACACAAATCCCAACTCCTTCAGGAAAATGATTCAGACTTTCTTGGAAGCCAACGGTCGCGGTTACTGGGAGACTTCCGCTGACAATATCGAGAAGCTCAAGGAGTTGTACTCTCAGGTGGAAGACAAGATCGAAGGGATCGATAGGTAAACCAGTGGAGAAGCTTATTTTCTTGTAAATGAAATTAAACTGAAACCGCAATTGATGTGTATTTTTCTACCAAACGACAAATCATCTCTCTGTGAATAAGAGAATGTTTTTGCTGACATTTTCTGACTCTATATGAATGTTATGGCGTTTTTTTCAATCTCAAAAATTCACCTTTCACATATTTGGTTAGTTGAAATTGTGTCATTCTTTAAAATCCATTAAAAAATCTTTGATCAGCCCTGGTTAACAAAATTGAGCCTTCTCGGGTATCAGAGGGAAGTCCAATTTTTCATGGTATTGTAGGCCCATTTTGTGAAATTGCTGTTGATTGGAGGCCCACAACTTAATGATCTGTAAACTGTAATGATATTATGTAATGTGTAACTGATGCAAAAATAAAATAAAAGCAATGTTTTCTTTGTTTTTTATAGAGAAGGAAATAAAATGTATAACATGGAATAATATCTTTGAAAAAAGGAATGGAGAGGATATTTCAAGAAAAAAATAATAAAATAATAATATATAGATTTGGTTCATGAAGGTGGTGTCTCTTAATAAAGAAAATGAAGTGTGTCCAGAAATACATTCTCCAATGTCAGTAGATTCCTTTCGAAAATTGTATCTCATCATTTCAATATATTACCCAATGTAAACTCAAATCCGCATGCTGTCAAAAGAAAAGAAAAAGGACTCATATCCGCTCTGTGAAAGATTAAATTAATGGCATCCTCATCATCTAATCATGTAGGAGGAACAAACAAGGTTACTGCTGGGGATGAGCAAGTAACTGCAGACGAGAGGACTATCTTCCTCACGTTTTCTAGAGGATACCCAATCTCTGAAGCAGAGGTGCATGCCTACTTCACCTGGTACTCATCGATATAATCTTAAAAAGCACTATTTTCCATATATAAGATTTGGCACGTAACGTACGGTCCTACGTGCATGTGGTTAGTTAAAGGTTTTCGTCACACATTTGTAGTATAGTTTTAAAATGGTAGTGTGGTTTTTGGTGTGTGAAGGAGATACGGAGAAGTCATAGAAGCGATAGAGATGGGTGGAAAGGTAGGGGATGAAGAGGTGCTGTACGCAAAGATGGTTTTACAATCCGCCGCCACGATTCCAGAGATTCTAGACAATGGTGGGGACAGCAGGAACAGGAAGTTCACCATCAATGGCAAACATGTTTGGGCTCGAAAATTCAGTCCCAGATCCTCCAACAATCTTCTTCCCCCATCCTATGGAGTCTCTCCCTAGTTTCTTATATCATACATATATAACTGCTCTCCTTTGTCAAGACTTTGACATTTAGTTGTGTATCTCATAATTACATTTTGCGTGGACTCAAGTTCGTTATTTCTCAAACATCTTTCACTTTCGATATATACTTTTCCATTTTTTAAGGAATAGAATCTCGCGTCTATGCTAATGCTGGACACTCTTGTCCTTTACAAAGAAGCCGTAGACGGTAGACCCAAATTAAAATCTACACTCTTGTCCTAAGAAATAAGACAAAAAAAGCAATGCATGTTGTAACTATGTAAATTTTAAACAGAGAAGGAAATAAAATCTAACGTGAAATACTGGAGTATGAATAAATTGGAATGGAGTGGACATATAAAGAAAAAATAAATAATACAGTAATATATAAATTTGGTTCATGAATCATGAAGATGGTGACTGTCTCTTAATAGAGAATATGAAGTGTGTCCAGAACTACATTCCCTGTTTCAGTAGATTCCTTTCAAAAACTCTATCTCTCGCTTCATATCACTCAGCATTAACACATATCCTCCGCATGCTGTCAAAAGAAAAGAAAAGAAAAAAAGAAAAAGACCCATATTGTCTGAATGGCTTCCTCATCATCTTCGTCCGCCGTATCCGTGACGAGAGAAGAGTTCAATGCTTTCCACAAGCTTGACAGATCTCTTTTCACTCGTCTTGTCTTAAATCTAAGACGAGACATTAGCCAGTCGTTACAGGTCATGAGCTTTCTCCTCTACCTCGAGCAAAGTGCTCTCGTGAGACACCTGGTCGTGAATCTTGTCTCTCTACCCGACTTTTTCATCAACGCGGTGGCTGACGAAGTCGTGACGTGTCTGAATTGCATGTCATACGATGATCTCTCAGCGTTCGTTGCCAAGCTGGGGCAAAATATCAACATGTTCACCATACCTTTGATCACGCGGATGACTGGAGAGTACCTTACTCTCGCAGTCATCCACCGTGACCGCGAAAGCATCCTCCTTGAGATGAAGAGGCACTTAACCCGAGTATGCTACCCAGCTTTCGAGGATATATGCCTGCACGCTGAGATGTATAATGAAAAGAGGGAAAAGGAGACGAGCCAGTTCTTGTGTGGTCAGCAAGAAACAACGAATCATGTAGGAGGGACAAACAATGTGGGTGCTGCCTTAATCTCCGAGGATGGGCAAGTAACTGCAGAAGACAGGACTATCTTCCTCACGTTTTCTAGAGGATACCCAATCTCTGAAGCAGAAGTGCATGCCTACTTCACCAGGTAACTCATCAATCACACTATAAGCAAAAGCCCGTGCGCGCCTCCAATATATTTTCACTATACTTGATGTGGATGTGGTTAGTTGAAGGTTAGAGTATTCTTTAAATGGTAGTGTGGTTTTTTTTTTGGTGTTGAAGGAGATATGGGGAAATCATAGAAGCGATAGAAATGGGTGGAAAGGAAGGGAATGAGCAGGTGCTGTACGCAAAGATGGTTTTACGTTCTGCCGCCACGATTCCAGAGATTGTAGAAAATGGTGGGGACACCCGGAACAAGTTCACCATCAATGGCAAACATGTTTGGGCTCGCAAATTCATTCCCAGATCCTCCATGAATCTTCTTCCCCCATCCTATGGAGTTTCTCCCTAGTTCTCTTATTTGTTTGATCTTGAGGACTTGTCAAGACTTTGACATTCAGTTGCATCTCAGAACTATTTCATCACCTATTAAACATCTTTCAATTTAGATACTTTTCCCATTTTTATGCAATTGATCCTCTCTTCTGTCCGTTCCTATGATAAATCTACTTTCCCCTTGCAATGTTGGGCACTCTTGTCCAAAGCAAACATGAAAACAAAACTAACTTTATGATTTCGATATGCATAACTTCTTTTGTTGGACTGCAGAGAAGCAGCCAAGATTTGGCTCATTCCTGAAACTAAGATTTATGGGCTTTGTTATCCACTTTACAGCGTGAAAACGAGTGTTTTTTTCTTATCCAAAAACAAAAAAAAACGTAAAAAAAAACGAGGGTGTTTCCTTGTAACCACGATGAAGAATATGCTTTAAAAAATGGTAGAGGATGATCATAACGATCTCCGGACCAGATCGTACAGTGAAATCGCGATTTCAGCACTGATCAGGATAATGATTAGCCACTCCAGAAAATCTGACTTCCTGTTCTGAAGTATTTCCTGAAGGAAACGAATGTTGTGCTGCAAATTTCACACAAGATATAGCAAAAAAAAACCAATTAAGTATTATTTCCTGCAAAAATACAAGTTAGATCATGAGAAAAGTTGTAAAGAGATGATTATACCTCTACAAACTTGAGCTTAAAATCAAGGCTTGCAAATCTCTGTGTCAGTTCAAATTCATCCCTCAGATACTCCCATATCTGAGCATATTTCGCATCCTTCCAAGCTATATCTGACCTGCAGTTTTCCCAATACACAAGCCAGTCAAAATTACCCACAAAACTAGTCAACGTAAGCATCGGTTCTTCATCCATCTCTCTGACTTGTTTACCTCTCAAAAAGACCAAGCTTGAGAATCACATCAGCCAGATTAGAATTAGCCTTTCCAACCAACTGGAACAGCTTCTTCCTATCCATTGTAAACGTTCCAGTTTTCTCCATCCCACGGTTTATGTCAGTAAATTCTGCTACCATACCATCAACCTAACAGAAACAGATTCTTAGTATATCACTGGCACCGACTTCATTTTGTCACATCCCATAATATGTAAATATGGTTACCTGCCGGCCATAGTAATCCAGTGCAATGCTCTGGCCAAGAACACTTCCTATGGTTCTGATGCCATCAATGTTCAAGAACTGCAACATGATGTAATCCAATCCCCCTTGCATCCAGGTGTTCAGAGTGGGATTCTCCCTTACTTCATATTCTGCAGTTTTACACAGCCAGAGATATGAAACTAAGCACCATCCTACAAGTTTACAACAGCACAGCAAAAGGAGTTCAACTCACCGTCTTTTCTCATTTCAGGAAGCAAACCAGAAGCATGCCTCTCCACCACTTTGAGATAATCATCAACCTCGTGTTCCCGCACATTAAATAACACAATCGATCCATACTGGAATACTACCATGTAAATGCACTCACTCCCACTTATGCAACCACCAGTACCCTGAAACAACATCAACCTTTCTTATGATAAGTGATACAATGATTCACCCAATAAAGAGATATAAACATATTTACTGAAAAATTAGATACCAATCTATAGAACAATCAACATGATCTCGCCATGAGATGTGATCCCTAGTACCTCAAATCCACAAACTGAAGAAAGTAGGAACAAACTTACGGTGGGATCAAAATGATTGCCGAACTTGAGAACAACATAGTTAGTCATACGCGAAGTGGGTGGGATGAAGTTCTGCTTGTTTTGCTCAACTAAGCTCCTCAAATCAACGCTGCACACAATCACAATCACATCCACAAAACACTTCAATCATCACTTCATCAAAATCTTAAAACCCAATTGCAAATACATCCAGGTAAAAGCTCCAACGTGATACAAGGTTTCAATCGTTCCAACTAAGAAATTCACTCATCATCAAATGGCAGGTTAGATATCACCTATTAACAAAACGTAGTAGATCCAAGGACTTTCTAAAAAAAACATGCCTAATCAATACCTGGTGGAGAAGAAATAAGCTCGTACAGGAAGAGAAAGCTTGGCTTCCTCCTTCAAGCCGCCAGAATTGCCATCACCAACCTCCAAGCCGCCGGAATTCCCATCACCAACCGACAAAGACGGGACCGTCTCACCACACTCCACTGGATGCTGATGCTGCTGCTGCTGCGGCTGCGGCTGAAGCGAAACGGCGGGGGACGAAGAAAAAGCCCTAACAGTGAAGAGAGATCCGAATTTACGGCTCTCTCGAAAACCATGAATCGGAGAACTGGAGACCGCTAGGAAATTGGAGAAATAACGAGAGATAGTATGTGAGGACGCCCGCGACGAGAAGTGCAGTGGAAGTGAAAGCGACGGCGATTTCTGCTTAGAAGTCAAGATCGAGAAGAGAGCTGTACGGACGGAAGGGCCTAGGGTTTTAACGTGGACGTCGACGCTCCGCATCATTTTGATTCACAGAGAAAGACGGAGAGAAGAGGGATGAACAAGACGGCCTCTCTCCCTCTCGAGTCACAGAGTTATATATATACTTGTTTCAGTATTGAGTCAAATGCGTGCCATTTGTCCATATATGATCTAACAACGTGATGTGTTCATGAATATAAACGACATTATGTGAGAACTATTGAAGAAACGGCAGTTATGAAAACAAAAATTAAAGAATATCAGGATGATTTTCCAGGTGCATTTATACAATTTGCAAGACTAAACCTTTAGAAAATCCTTGGATCTACTACGTTTTGTTAATACGTGAATGTTATCGAGATCATGTGGTTTCAAAATGTCTCCAATTGTGTCATAGACCAAGAAGTTGATCAACGAGACTTAGAAGAGTCTAAACATATAAATTTCAAGAACAAAAAGGAACCAAAGTGTAGTTATTAGTTATTATTATTGCTCTTCTCTTATCAGTTTTTGGTTTCACGAGTCATTAGAGCGTCTTCGTCCCCTCCTTTACCGCTGCCACCGCATGGTGAAGTCTTAGTCTTAAACCTCAATCCGAATATCTTGGAGAAGAAGTTGCGTCCTTCTTTAGTCTTGACAAGCTTGTCAAGATCTTGCTTCATGCTCATACATTCTTTCTCAAGCTCGTAAACGCGGTTCCTCATCCCATTCATCATCACATTTGCATTTGCTATCTTCTTGTGTCCTAGTTCTAGCGCCGGAATCTTGCCGCTTGTGTCGTCGTTGTTGCTGTCCGAGTCGAAGAACCATCCTGCTATAGATGTCCGAAGCCGCATCTGCTCAAAGAACAAGACTTGCACTATGACTCGCAAAGGTAAACGCTCGTTTTGTGCTGCGTGTGTGCATGCCTCCAAAGACAGCTTCTGGCAATCCATCAGCAGGCACAGTTGCTCTCTCTCTGACTCTGTCAGCCATGGATGAGCCTGTTGCTCCCAAATGTCATATACACACACCCATATAGAGAAATTTCAAAAGACTAATTTGATATACTATTATAACAATCATATAGTTAATAAAAGGTTGTGTACCTTGATAAATATATCAATTGCGCGGTAGATACCATCATCCATGGGCCTCACATCTTCAGGGATCAAAGCACCAAGAGCTTGAAATTTCGATAGTTTCAAGTTCTCATCGGAAGCCACCTCTGCTAAGTAGCCATCTATCAGACTAGCTACCTTCTTGATGGGCCTAAGAGGATGAGAGTCTCCCATCATTGGCTTCTCCTCGACGATGTTACTGTAGCAGCTCGAGGAAGAGTCAAACGTCAGCATGAAGTGATCAAGAATCCGCTGGACAGAGTCGATGTCATAGAGTGTTTCAGCTGAGTATCCCATGTTTGGTATTAGCAGATCCTCCAGAGCGGCTTCGTCTAGCTGCACACCGATCTTCTTCTCGAGATTCTCCTGAGTGACCGCACTCGCGTGCAGAACCATGGATGTCCTGAGAAGCCTGAGCAAGAATTTCGTCGACGTGACGCGTTCTTGGCTCGGCAGCAGCTCAACGATCTCCTCAAGGAGACTTCTTTGATCTTCGTGTGAGTAGTACATGTCATCGCCATTAATAGTACCTTCCTCTGAAGATGTACTAGAGTGCCTAGAACAGCCAAGCAGAGGAAGATTCCGTTTGGCGTAATGCGTGACAGATGCTGCTATTATATCAGCTTTCACGCCTCTGGATTCAACGTTTTTGATGAATCTTTTGTACATTTGAAAATCGAGGAACGAAGACACATCGTTGAACCACCAGTTTTCGCTCGTGGCCTTGGTTTGTATCCCGTTCCAGAATGTAGTAGTGGTGGTGGTTCCTTCTGGTAGTGAGATTGGCCAGTTGAACAAACTCGTGTCCTCAACACAAGCCTTGACCGCTAAAGAAGCAATGCACCTAGAGACAATGTGAAGCTCTTCGGCGAGAGGTAGCAGTTTTGGTTCGCAACACTCCAAGGCTTTGATGGAATCATCCCAGTTTGTGAAAACGTGATCGCTGAGGAAACTCTCGGTGAGGTAGATGAGGTTAGCATCTCCGTAGTTTTCACTCATTTGGAGATACTCTGCTGCACATCTGAGGCTCACTGCGTTTTCAGCTGTGACCTCGATTCTTACACCGTAACAGAATTTGGCAACGAGCAAGAACGTTTCGGGTCCACCGGGAATGTCATGAAGCTGAGCCACGCAAGTTGTTTCGGAGGCTTTGCTGAAAAGAGTTTCTAGATATCCACTTCTTGACAACAACGGAAACTTGATACCATGGCCAAAGTGAAAAGTGAGAGAATTCAAAAGAGAAAAGTACTGACTGAGTCAATAATATTATTGGTTTGGTTTGTTATACCTTATGAAGATGGAAGCTTTGGTCTTCTACTTGGATCATCACGTCGGGTTTGAGTCCAGTTGAGCAAAGCCTGATCATATTTCAGAACAAAAAGAGATGTTTTGGTATATTTTGATTGATTTTATATTAAACCGATTGAAGAAGAAGAAGAAGACTGACCATGTGAGACCACTTAGATGAAAGACTTCAGATTTGGAACCCAGTTTCAAGCAAGCCATCTTCTCTCTCTTTTTTTCTTTTCTTTCACTTCACTCTTTGGTTTTTCCGCAAATCCAAAATAGTTGCAAAATGGATTATTCATCGAAACCCCATCAACACTTATGGAATGGGAATTTGGCAAATTTTGATTTTGATTTTATTATTTGTTTTCCTTTCTCGGAGTGGACCGATTCTTGTGGAGAGATAGATACAGACGAAGCTTATTTCCAGTTGTTACTGTTACAATTTACACTAAAATTCTGCCAACTTTCGTTTTCCCTTTATTTTCTGTAACGCCAACTTCTCTTTCTCTCTCATTCATTCCTCTCTGTAACTTATTTTTGTTAAAATATCTGACTCTCTCTTTGCTTTTGGTAAATTCTTGAATGTTTTTTGTTATTCCACAGCAAATAAATGCATAAGATATTTATTTGACTGGTCAATTTTACTTATTACTCTCGTAATAAATGCTTGGTAAAAATATATTAATCCATTACGAGACAAACTCATTAAGGCCCACCATTATTGAAATCCAATAGTAAACGAAAACATAAATGACCCTAGTTAATTGGGCTACCCGGGCCTTAAGCACTCTAGTTAGCAGATAAATTGGATTTGGAGTGCTAAATTTGTATACCCTTGATTAAAGTAATTTTTTGTAATTATTTCAACACAAAAATTGAATTGTTAAAGTAATGTTTCATTTTCTAAAATATTTACAATTTAAATCATCTCATACGTTATGTAGCTTAGTGGTTTGTTATAGTGCCATTATTGTTTCAATATTTGAATTCAATCAGCACCAGTCCAATTATGCATTATTATTAGTATAAACATTATAAAGCCATGCAATTATAAAAAAAAAATGATGATAGACTTATAAAAATCTTGAATTTGTATTTTAAATTTTTTGGATATTACCAAATATTTTTAATATCGGTCAAACTAAGATAAAAAGTTGCAGAGAGTTGTGTGGCCCTTGTCAAGTTTTGCATCTCTCAATCGATTTTCTTTTTTGCGTCGTATTTGCAATTCTCTTTAGCTATTAGCTGTACTTTCCTGGAAACTGCTACTTAGACCTCGCCGTCACTCTTCCCTTTTTTGGTAGATTCTTCTTCTTTATTTTCTTCTTCTCTCCCAAAGATTATTCTCTTTCTTCCTTAAATCTGGAATTCTACTTGAGTTTCCCTTCTCCAATCATCAGTTTTCTATAAACTATAATCCTTTTTCTTTTGTCGGTGGATTTGCTAAGTCTCAAAATTCTCTGATTACCTTTTCTCTGGTCAGTGATTGCATCTTTCATCGATCTTGTTTTTACTCTCTTTTTTTTTTTGTTTCCTTTTATTCTTGCATAATGAATGAATTCAAACTTTTTAAAATAGTTCATTCAGAGTTTCTCCTCTAGTACTTTGTGATTCTGTTTTGTAATTAATCGTTGACGCTCTGTATCTCATCAGGTTTGTAGATATTTGTTCTTAGATTCTCTGTTAGTTGCGTGAATTAGGGTTTATATATACACTTGTGGGATTTATGTTTATTTGATCTGAAATCTATTTTGAGTTCTGTTGCCTTTAAAAAGTTTTTTTTTTTTTTTTTTGGGATAGTTTACCAATTGATATTATTGATCTGTAGGTGTTAGGTGGAGTCAGCCTGAAGAAAGAGTACAAGTTTTAAAGTTTGGATATTTATTCCGAGCATACGCACTATGTCTGGAAACCAAGAGGTGTTTATCCCTTAACTAAACTAAATTACTTATGCTTTCACCACACATTTAGAAACACTCTCATATTGATGTTTTTATCTTTTACTGTCTTGTTTGGTATCTATCAGCCTCAGATCAGCCTGCCTACATGGCGGTGCAGCGATTTCAATGCAGCTATTCCAATCAAGAAGAGGAAGTACTTCGTGCAGCCGCTGGAGGAAGCAGGCTCGGCACTTTTGGAAAAGAATCCACAACCTAATCAGCAAGGTGATGCTATTGTTGCTAGGAGTGCTTTGGATTCATCTGATTCTGATGCAAATCAGAAAATGATTGAAAAACCAATCCTTTCGGTTCCCTCTGTTTCCGTGGGGAATGATGATAAACCGGAGAGTACTGGGAACGTAGTTCTTGACCGAATTAGAGTGAAAGTTGAGGAGCCAAATGTTCCAATCCACTCCAGTCCTTTGGTGGCTGGCTTTGAGATGCCTTCTAGTTCTAACATAGTTGGCAGTTCTCTGGGAAAGCTTCCTGTGCCTGGTGTAGTTGAACAAACTGTTGTTAAGACCCATGACACTGTTAGGGAGACAGTACCTGCTTCCATACTAGGTTGTACAACTAGGAACAGTTCTCCATGTTGGGAGAATGAAGAAGAGCCTTCGGCACTGGATTTGTCGTTAAGGAAGGGAGTTTGTGCACCTCATAACACAGATTTTGTTTCTACTGTTACCAAATCTGGCAATGACAGTGGTGTGAACAGATCAAATTGGGATTTGAATACTACCATGGATGCTTGGGAAGATGGTCTAGATCGCAAGACTAGAGTTAAGACAACTGGTTCATTCTTTAACAGTAGTAACAGCAGAGGTTTCCGTGACATAGAGACATCAAGTTGTCGTGATACGACTGTTATTGCAAAGTCTGTTTCTGAAGAACAGAAGGAGAGTGTAGGATTTATATCTCCTAGGGTGACTTTGACGCAGTTTGATCATCAGGTTATTCCCGCATGTTCGCTTAGTCTAGGCCTCAGTCCATATCCTCCTATTGAGAAATCTCCTTCTCTGTCAGCTACCACATCGGAGGCAGGAGCTGCTTGTACAAGTGTTTCTAGACCAGTAATGACTGCTGGTAATGTAAAATCGGTAAATCTTAGGACTGTGAAGTCAGAAGTGATTGAAGAGAGTGCTCAGGTTTTTCCAATGGGGCTATCTATTAACAGGGTGAAACAGGAGGTCGTTGGCAGATTCAGCAAAGAAAATAGTTCATCATATGGCAGTTTGAAGCCAGCGGCTCCTATATCAGTAAAGGCTGAGCCAAATAACTTCACTCAGTCTGAAGTTGTCAATAGGAAAGATAAGTCGTTGAATCATCCCCATACACCAATAACGCAATCAAATCAGATTCTTGGTTTACCTACAAGTTCTACGCCATATATAGTACCTTGCCCTAGTGGCATCAGCAGTGCGCCAACGTCCTTGAATGGAGCGACAAGAAATCCATGCGTTGAGAGTTATCCTGACTACACACTAAATGAAAACTCAGGCCAGAGTAGCAGTGCAGCGTTTGAAAAACCATGCGAAGCGCTGAAACATGGAGTAATTCGCATGCCTTGTTCAATTTCTGGTCATGGAGATCATAACCACAGTGCATCAGGTGTGAATGTTTCCTTGACTGAAGAGAAAATTTTAGGTGATAGCAAGATCATTATATCGAAAGAACTCCCTGGTAATTCTCGTGGAACTGGTGAACTTCTTATAAGTGATGAGGAAAAGGTTATTTTATCTGGTAAGGAGCTAGAGGAAGAAAAGTTATACAGTTATGGATTTGAGTCAGATTGTGCTTATGATCTAAAGAAGCAATTTGGAAAAAGATATATGTACGATGACGGGAAGGTCCAGAGACCAGCTGCCGTTATTGCAGAAGGTAATGGACATACTGAGTTTGGTGGTTCTGAAACTGAAAAAAGGGACAGTGCTGTTCCATTTCATGGTGGCTCTCAAAATTGTAGCCATGTGGAAGAAAAAGAGAGCCAGCCTGCAATTCTTGGTAACACAGGTAATAAACATATTAAAGGCTGCTCTGGCTCATCATCTACTAGTAAATTTAACAAATATACTGTTGGCGAATCATGTTTGAAATTAGTCGAGATTGCAAGCACTGAAGTTCAGATTAAGAGGCTTACTCCAGAAATTCAAAGTGGGATATTTGATGGATCAGGTGAAAACGAAGGACGGATAGTTCAGGATGGTGAACACTCGACCCATAAAAACATTCATGCAAGTGAAGTAATGTCAGGCGTGTCTACATTGTCAGGCGGAAACGTTGAAAACCCTGAAACAGTAGATAACAGCAGTCCAGTTTCATACAAGGCAGAAATTTCTACTATTGACAATGATGATCCTTTTGCGGAGTTCACTGAAGGTAGTCAGAGTCGAGTTATGAACATAGCTCAGGCTTCTGATAATTCTCCAATTAAGACACTAGATGCCTCGGACAGTTTTGTGCCATTGAGAATGGAAAGAGATAGAGTGCCTGATTTCCCATTTGAACCGCGGAGATACCACTCGAGAGACAGGTAGATATTTCTGAGACCTTTGCTTATATCTTTGCCTCATTCCCTTTTGAGATCTTTATGGAGTTTTTCATTACTGTTTCTTTTGCTAGTGATGAGTCCTACAGATTCTCGCGTGAGAGATACCATGGCAAAATGATGAGAAGCCCAAGGTTAAATTTCATGCCGGACAAGAGAAGATTTTCTGATAAAACAGAAGGCAATCTGCATGACCGTGATACAAAAAGTAATTTCATATCTAAGTTTTTCGATGGAGGAACGAAGCTCACTGTTTCTAACATTCAACGGGACTCTCATCTTATGAATGCAGACTTTGAGTTCGATAACCATGGAAGCACTCGTCGGGGTGGTGCTTTTATGAGTAATTTTCACAGAGGGAGACGGCCTGCAAACGATGACGCAAACCCTTTTCCCCACTCATTTACGAGAAGAAACCCTAACTTTTCCTTTACTCAAAGAGGACCAACAAATAAAGAGGATGCATCTGCATTTCACGGATGTAGAGATGGTGAAAAATTCTCAAGGGGGTTACAGTCCAACAACACGGAGCCAATGTTTATGGGTCAGCAACGTCCGTATCAAGGTCGGAATGGTTTTGGTCGAGGACGAACCAATTTTTCAAACAACCATAAACGAAGCTTTCCTGGATTTCGTTCAAGGTCTCCGATTAGATCAAGAGAAAGATCAGCTGGTCCATCTTCGTCTTTCAGGAACAGATCACAGGAAGACTTCAGTGGGCATACAGACTTTTCTCATCGGAGATCACCCTCAGGCTACAGAATGGGGAGGAATAGCTCGCCTGAGCATTCTGGTAATCCAAGAGAAATGGGTGTGAGGAGGCACAATTCTCCACCTTACTCGCATAGACCATCAAATGCTGGAAGGGGCCGGGGTTATCCGAGGGGCAGAGGATATGCAAGGGGCAGAGGTTATGGGAGAGATGGCGTCTCTTTTAGGAAACCATATGATCGTGTTGTACATAGAAACCATGGAAACTTGAACAACTTGGACCCTCGAGAAAGGGTCGACTACGGTGATGACTTCTTTGAAGGACCGATTCATTCTGAACGATTTGGTGTTGATGTTAATGCTGAGAGAAGACAACAATTTAGTTATAGACATGATGGTGGCAGCTCTTTTAGACCAGCTTTTAACAATGATGGTTGTGCACCTACTAGTGCAGAGAATGGCCCTGATGCTGTGAGATTTGGACAGGACCCTGGTATTGGAATAGTAGAAGGACAGGAGATTTCAATGGAAATTGACGAGGAAAATAAGAACTCAACTGAGAATACATCTGGAAGAACTAGGGATGTGGAAGAGGAAAATGCAACGCAGAGTGAAATTTGGCAACGGGATGAGCCTGGTGGTGACGGGTTTTAGAAGAACGATTAGTGTTTTCTTATTGCGTGAACCTTCTAAGTGGATAGTGAATCAGGTATCAGACGGAAGTTATGTGAATTTGCCATGGCCGAGACCAGTTGGTGACTGATTACTGTGGGCATTCCAATAACTGATGTGAAGGGACACTCTGCGATATTTATTGGCTGTGTATATAGAGCACTTCTCTTGTGGTATTATAATCTAGTTTTCGTTGCCTTTCGTGCTCTGCACTGTAGCACTGTCCGTGATAAACGTGGAATGGTATACAACTGAAGCAAGATGGTGGAAACACCTGTGGGAATTGTTCAGGCAGAGCGTGACTGGTCTAACAGATGTGAGACGATGTTAGAAGAGACACTTTCCTTATGTTAAAATAGAGACCAGAGATTTTCACCCGATACAATTACTTAGACAGGAGAACTATGCAGGTTTTTGATTAATGAGACTCTTTGCCAAAGCACTACTAGAGTGCTACTCGAAAGTTAAGCCTGCCAAGACGATAACAATATGATCTGTTATGGAATGTGTAAAAGATGTATTCTTCAATGTAAATAGCGTGTAATTGAGCTCCATTTCAACAATTTTGTCAACAAATTAATTAAAGATATACAACAAAGAATTTAAAGAGAAATACAGTATACAAACAAAAGCAAACCAAAGCTTCACATCAGTCCTCCACCTTGAGATCAAACTGAGTTTTTGTTTTGTTACCTCCTCTTGTTCTTGCTGCCCAAAAGCAGAGAAAAGTAGAACAAGATTCGAAAGAAGAAACCCCAAGCGACCGTGACCCACAAGCAATTCCATTTGCTGAGATCCGTAACGCCTTGCTGCTGCAAAATGTCGTATCCTGTTGTCAAGCAAGTGGAGCCTGTGATTCTCATCCCAAGTGATTTGCTCATCGTTGCAAGAAGCCTAACTTTCATCCCCTGAGGCACCGCCACGAGAGGCGTGTTGTCGAATATCTGAACTCCTCTGACGAAACACTTTGTCGGATCGCTGAACTCGTTTATGAGAACAGCTTCGTAAGGGTACTTGACTAGTGAGATGTAATGGAACCAGATCCAGTAGGAAGGGATTCGATCTCGGTTGATGAAGAATCCGCTGAAAAGCAAGAAATAGGCTAAGATGGCTACCACAATGGTGTAACCGAGCATTACATGTGGGACAACCCCTGACAAGAAGGTGACGAATGAGCTTCCTGCCCAGAAAGCGGCCAGAACTATTAGGAAGTAGAAGAGGAAGCCCATGAGGCCTCCATCTAATCCCACGCCCCAGAACGTGGTTGCTGCGAAAGCGAGCGAGAGGATGATCAAGGAAGGGAGAGCCACAAGAGAGTGAGATAGTACATAGGAGGATCTTCGGTATGCGTTGTAAGCGGTTTCTCTCATGAAAATGAAGCGTTCTTGGAGGAAAACTGGTAGAGCGTCTGCGCAGGTGTAGAACGTCGTGGACATTGCAAAGGCGAAGAATCCGAGACGTTCTTGGACTCCTTTAGGGGAGTTATCGAGCTGCCAAAACATGGTGGCTAAGATGAATCCAGTGACTAGAACAGCTCCTAGGCGTATCCCGAATAGCTCAGGCTGTCTGCGATAGTTAGTCATGGACCGTTTGGCTAGAACTAAAAGTTCGACCCAGAACGGGTTTGCGAATGTTGGAATGGTGGAAACAGGGCTCGAACCAGCAGTAGTAGTAGTCGTCGCACCAGAGACGAGCTTTCCTTTGGAAATGCTTGCGCTGATGGCTTCTTTCAAGGACAAGCCGGTGTGAGTTCTTGGCTCTGCTTTCCTCTGTCTAAACCCTTTGTTGAACTCAACTAAACTTCTCGTTCCACCAGCGGATCCTTCGAGCTCTCGGATCAAATCCAAGGCGAACTCGGTGCGGTTCTCGTGTTCGGGAATCGGGTGGCCAAACTCGGCGAAGAAGCGCGGCAGCATCGCGGGTGATCCGCTGAAGACGGTTTGGCCACGGGACAGGAAGAGAAGACGGTCGAGCAATCGGAGGAGACGGTAACTTGGTTGGTGAAGCGTCATGATCACCATGCTTCCGCTCTGTGCGATTCGTTTTAGAACCTTAACGACACTGAGTGCGCTTGTCGAGTCAAGACCCGAGGTTGGTTCGTCGAGGAAAAGCAGAATCGGGTCGTGGATGATATCGATTCCGATGGATACTCGCCGTCGCTCTCCTCCAGAGATTCCACGGTGGCCTTCATCTCCGATGATCGTTTTGGCCGCGTTCCTAAGTCCTAATTGGTCGATCAAGGCTTGGACGCGGAGATTCTTCTTTGACTTCGAAAGGCTTCGCGGAAGACGAAACTCGGCGGCGAACATTAGGGTTTCTTCAACCGTGAGCATCGGGAAGAGGAGGTCGTCCTGCATCACATAAGCTGAGATCGCCTTCTGCATTTTCGAGTTGAGAACTTCGCCGTTTAGAGTTACGTTTCCTTTCAAGCTTCCTTTGGCGATTCGATTGGCCAGTGCGTCGATCAGAGTCGACTTCCCGGAGCCACTTGCCCCAAGCACAGCCAGTATCTCTCCGTCTCTAGCCTCTCCGGAGATTCCGTTGAGAAGCGTCTTCGTCTTGGAAGAGAAGAGCCCATCTGACGAACCTCCGATGATGGGATCTGAAGGGACGCGCCTCCACGCGAACTTCCGACAAACTTTCACGCTGTAAGTGAGATCGTTGAAGGAGAGAACGAACGGTACGGATCGGTCCGGCGAGGCAAGATCCACATCAACGTGATGCTGATGGTGGCCACCGTTAGGCTCAGTCGTCGTGTCGCCGACGTTCTTCAACAGCTGTCCGAACGTTGGAGAAGAAGCGCCTGAGCAGCTGGAGAGATGGTTAGGCTCCGGCGAGAAGAATGGAAGCGCCATATTGTCGTCTGCTGCTACCACGCGGGACATACTTTGGGTCTGTGTGAAGAAGCGGGAAAACCAATAAACAGAAAAAAAAAAAAATCTGACGGCGTTAAAACCACCGTTAGCGGGAGAAGAAAGAGGAAATGAGAGTTTCCTTCTGTGTATGGGATTTTACCAACGATATAATTTCTGTTTCTATTTATAGATTGGTTTCTCAATGTGGTTGGGCCGTTTAACATGCTTTGATTTTTAGGATCAGTTTGATGAAGAATTTTTATTAAGAGATTAGAAGAATACTCTACAAAGTCACAATGGTGACGCTATTGTAGATGAACCCCCAAACCTAAACTCAAAACAAGTAAAAGTGTAAAACATAAAACGCCACATGTCCGATTCTGTTCCTTAAAGTTGTTTTCGTGTAGAATTCAAATATATATTTTTAGGCCACCCTTGCCGAATTTAGGTCACCATTCTTCACCCACCCTTAAATCAAAAAATTAAGTTACAAAGTGAAAAGATGAAACAAAGGTCAGAAAACATATTTTACGACAAAATCATTAGGATATCTCTTTAGAATATTATATAAACTTTCACTTAATAAGGTAACATAACATTGATTTTTCTTTTTTAGGTAAATAAATTCATTTAAAGTAATTCCTCTACTCGAATGAGAAACACATTTAAACTTTGTCTAAAGCCATGATCCAACACTACTTCCCCCACGAACCATCATGTACAACAACCTTCGCTGTCTAAAAGAAACGATAGACATAAACCAAATACCGAATAAACAGAAAAGGTACAAGCGTATGAACATATCCAACGGTATGGCTATACACAAACCCACCAATCCAACCGCACCATAGTTGCCAATACCGACCATGACTAGTCAAGCTGAAAAACCTGATTCCATCGCCTGCAATATTGCTGACGTGTTGAACTTGAAGCTTCTTAAACTGTTTCCAGGTCCTATGTCTCGAGGCTGGTCGGGCTCCGGCTTTTTATTGTAGCTCTCCGTTGTTGCTGTCCCGTTTCCTCCACCACTACTAGTCTTTGCATTCCACACGCTAAGTGCTATACGAAGCATATGAATTCAGATCTCTGCCAAAAACCTCTTTTTTAATGAATGCTTGGTGAAAAAAAAGACGATGTCAAACCTTTAACGGGCTTGTCAGGTCTCCGCGCTACAGGAGCTGGATGCTTTGATATCCACGACTTCAACTTCCTGCACATGTTTGTAATCAAATGCTATTCATCAACAATGAAAAGCACCCAAGAATCTATGTGGACAGATAAAAAGGCACTACTTACGAAAGAAAAGGTGCCACCATATACAACTTGAGACCAGCAGCTCCGTGAGTTATGACCTCATTACTTGCCGGATGAAGATGATCAAGCCGATGCCATGCAATTTCCTACAAGTATTTCACAAAAACTAAACATAAGAGACTCATCATACGCAGACAAGATCACAACCACAAGGTTGATCTTTAAATACATACACTGATTTCCTTCTTCGTAAGCGGTGCAAAAACTGTATCATCTGTCACCCCAGCCACAATGTAAAGTCGTACTCTTTGCTGCCTGAATGTAAACTCAATATATTCTTCTTTCTTGAGTAGCTTTGAGACATCAAATCCAGTTTCCTCTAAGACCTGTGTTTAGCAAACAAGAACAGTACAGAACACAAGTGTGAGAAAAGATTCAGATTGTTTCATCATTAACCCATAAACAAAGTTAAACAAACAATCAGCAGGAAAAATTGCACCATGAGAATAGCAGTAGAGAGCTACAAAATATTGACAGCAGCAGCTATTCTAATTTGCAAAAGATCCTGTCTATTGGTGACCTAAGAACAACATTTCCTTAGGAAAACATGCGCTATGATCAAACTGCTAGACTACAAATATCAGCTCAAGTGGAAAATTGAGAAACCTCGTTGTCCAGACCCGAAGATATTCTTTCATTTCCGTCATCTATACTTAACTAGAATCGGTACTAACCTCACGTATAGCACAAGCATAGTCTTCTTCATCCTTACTCTTCTTCCCACGGGGAAAGCTCCAGCTTGATCCTTTCCATCCCTTCACCAACAAGCACTGAAAATTCCAAGAATATTAGAGAAAAGTGTAAGCATGAACTAACACGTAAACTAAAGCGTTAGTACAAAAAAACCATCTGAAAAGTCGCTAAGAGGTCTAACCCGTTCATATGTCTCATCCAGGATGATTGCCCCAGTGACAGGAACTCGACACTTGTAAGAAGTGAAGTCTTTGAATATGTCATCAATGTTCGCAACATAAGGTCTCAACACATCACAGCTGTTGAATACTAGCCCACGTCAAGGGAAAGCATCCATAAAAAAACAATGACAATCAAATTCTACACTGAAGAGACAAAGAGAAGTCACAAGAATCAGCTTATTTTGGAAATAATGCTCCAAGCATATGAGATCATAATGAGAAAGGATACAGAGCAGAGTAAACTCCTTCAAGGACAGCGACTTAAGCGTTGGATCATTTTCTACAGCATTATCTTCATAGTACCAGTAAGCATACTCCACCAGAAACAAAATTCGCTCGAATGACTGTTGATCTTCTTCAGGGACATTCAACACAAATCGACTGAAACAAAAGCCATCACCAAACATCAGCTACTGACGAATCAGATCGACCCCATCGCTTCACTTTCTACGAAAAAAAAAAAAAAAAAAAAAGAACACTCGATTGATAGAAATACCTGCAAAGATCGTCAAGAAGTTCCTTCGAAGGGAGGCAATTTCCTATGTTCTTCGATGAGCTTGATGATCGGTGGAGACCTGACATGTTGTTCACCTTTCTTGTGTAGTAGTGGTTCTCCTATGCTAAGTAATGCCTTTTAAAACCCTAATACTGGATGAGAAAAGGAGTGCTATATCTCTCTCTCTCTCTCTCACTCGATATATATAGCTATGTATGTAACTGTCGCTCTAAGCTCTTCGTTTCTCCGATTGAAAGAGAAGGCTGAGCACTCGTCGTCGTCGGCGGAATCTGATCGCTCCCCGGAGAAGAGGGAATCGGAGGGTGCTTGGTGAGTAGAGGTGGGCCCCTCTTCGGCTTTGCAATCTGATTTGGCCTTATCGCTCTCATGGAGAGTTATTAATTAGGGTGGAGATAAAATATCCGAGATCCGATCCAAGTTTTCTACTGGATACATTTTCGGATATCCTAACCCGCTTTCGTTCACATTTCAGAGAAAGAGTAAAAAATAATATTTTAATTTCACCGAGCAAAATCATTGACCGTGCCCGAGCTTCTTCTCATTTCGGTAAATTAGTCTCTGAAATTGGTATTTCTTCCCGAGGAGATTTCTTCCGTAGTAGACCAGAAAGATCGACGAGAACATGTCGTGGTTACGAACGGCCGTGAATAAGGCTGTGGAGGTCGGAAACCGGAAAAATATTACACGAACCGTCAGGAACTATGCCGACTCCGTCGTCCAGCAAGCTGGCCAAGCCGTCGCCGAAGGAGCCAAATTGTTCCAAGACCGCATTGTAATTTCTCCTTTGCTTCTTATTATTCCCGTCCCTGATTGCTATTTAGGTCTACATTTTCTAGATTCTAGCTTTGATTTTGCTATTAAGGAAATTTCAAGTCCTAAGTTATCTGTGACTTTGAACTTGGTGCTTCATGAGTGTTCTTATCTTTCAAAGCCGAATGCATTCGCTTGTCTCTTGAGCAGTTGGATTAGTGTGACATTACTTTGAAACTTGCATGAATAATGGGGGACTGTAACTTTGCAGGGAGCTGGGGCCTTTAAGAGTGTGAATCAGACGATTCAGAGACTGGAAGAAGCTGCAGTGACATACAGGGGTCATGAAAGAGCATTGCTGATTTCCAGATGGCTAACGGTGCTTAAGGAGATCGACAGAGTTAGTGAAAGTTCCGTTAAGGATAAACAGATGAGTTCAGAGGAACAACTTGCTTCTGATGAAGCAAAGAAACGTGAATGGGTACTATTTGTCTTCTTATTTATTTGTGTATAAGAGGAAAGGAAGAAGTTTGGCAAAGAAGTCAACAATTTTTCCGCATAGTAAAATATAAAGAATACAATTTAAGTATAGATGATCGTGATCCTTATAGTTGGTGTTGGGTGCTTGGGATAAGAGTCTTATATGTTCCCAAATTCATTTTGTAAAAGAGGAAGAGGTTTATGAAGATGTCATCATACATATCATCATGCATTATGGATTATCAAGAGTATGACTTCAGTAGATATGATTGTTTTCCTTATAATTTAGGGTATCTTTTTTCGTTAGAGGGTTTGGTTAAAAGTGACTTTCTTACTACTACTATTCTGCTTCTAATTTCAGATGTCGTATTATGGTGTTTTTTTCCAACATAAGTTTTTTGTAAGAAGATCCCTTTCTATGTGTAGGTTTTATATTACGATCCAGATATAGGAGGCGAGCCACTAAACTTCCGTGATGTTTTTCTGCAAAGTCAAGCTCTGGAGGGCATCGTTCTGTCCATGGTATTCTTTCGCAATCTAAACTTGATCTTTTGGTGGCTATCTGATAGTGATAACAAATAATCCCCTTTCTCTCAAATTTCAAAAATTTGGATAAATCTGAGCGTGAAAGGCTTGAGTTGCATCATCATTGATTCAGTTTGTCAATGTTAATTCGAGCTAATTGAAATGTAAAGACAACATATAACTTGGCTGAAAATAAAGTAAAGAACAAACCAGCTTAAGTAGACTCTTATATGCTGTGAGAGCCTGTCAATTATCTTGTTTCTCGAAATGTTTTGCATATTCCTATATTTTGGGTTATGTGAAATATATGGTACTGTCTATTACAGATTATTGAACCACCTCATGATGAAGAAATTACTCTACTCCTGGAGATGTTTGGGTGAGTTGACTGGCATTCCTAATTGCATTGCGAAAATTTGTTTTTTCATACCGAATGCGATTATTTATAGAGCTCAACATTGTTTTCAGGCTTTGTCTGAATGGAGGAAAGGAAGTTCATGATGCCATAGTCAGCAGTATGCAGGACCTTGCTACAGTCTTTTCGAGTTACAAGGATGAAGTTTTGGTAAGCGCTTGAGCAATAAAAGTCAGCATTTATATTTAATGTATGGGCGTTTGGATCTCCTCCTAACTTTTTTACTCTTCACTGTTGCTTGGTTGCTCTTGTTCAGGTTAAGCAGGACGAATTGCTTCAGTTTGCCCAAAATGCTATCACAGGGTTGAAAATTAGTGCTGAAATGCTGAGGTGAAAAATGAAGATATTGATGTGCTTTTTGCTCTCGTTTCTCTTCGTGAGTGAATGACTAAGCCATAGAGCCTTGCTCATCTTGCATCACTGTTGATTGAATTCATGTTTTCAGAATTGATGCTGAAGCTTCTGATCTTAGAAAGAAACTCGAAAAGATGAATGCCTCTCGATTTTCACAGGAGAGTGAAGACAAGGAACTTAAAGAGGCTCCTTTAACAATAGAGGTGAGCGTGCAATATCTCCAAACCCTCTTTCCTCTGCCTAAGCTTATTTAGGTAGCTCCATGTGATAGACTCCTCGTTTTGCAGGCTCTTAAAGAAACACTTGCAAAGATTCGTCTTTGCTCCAGATTAGAAGGGCTTTTAGTTAGAAAGAGACAACTAAGCAACGGTGATTCACCAGATATACATGCTCAGAAAGTAAGTTTGTGGCTTTATTACTCTAAAAAATAATCACAAATCAAGTTGAGTGGTATTGTTAATATCATCTTGTTCTTCTTGTTTGTGCGGATACGGAGTATTAGGAATAGTTTCCTGTATTCCATGACAGCGAATACATGTCTTAACTTCTGGATGTTAGGGGGAATGTTAATCATGGAAGATAATGAATAATTTGTCTTTGAACCAGGTCGACAAGCTCAAGGTGTTATTGGAATCTTTGGCAAATTCAACTTCCAAAGCCGAGAAACGAATATCAGAGAACAGGTTGAGCTTATCATCAACTCCAGTTATTTTCCTTATATCTGCAGTTCAGACTTACTTTTTTGTTTAATTTTGGTATGACATGGTAAATTCCCAAGACCAGATGAATATGTCTTTAAGCTCTGTACACTTTGTGTCACTATATCATGTTCAGTAATTACTGCCGAAACAATGTGCAATTCATACCTATTGTCCAATTGTCTTTTCGCAGACTTCAAAAAGAAGAGGCACTTAAAGCTCGTGTGGTGAAAGCAAATGAAACCGGTGAAAAGGAAAAGGTTTTGTTTCTCGCGCTTTTATTTGTTCTTTTAATTAATCAATGCAAGAAAACAATCACTAATAGAGACAGCATTCTGCGGTATGCTCATCAGCTGCTAGTATTGAGATTATTTCTTATTATTTCTTATGTACAGGAATTGGGTGCGGAAATTGCACAGCTTGAGAAACAAAGAGATGAGCTGGAAGCTGAACTGAAAAGGGTAATTTAATCTGCTTTATCCTGGAGGTTTACATACACACAATTATGCAGATAGTTTTTTCATTGGACTTTTAAAGCACTTTTATTTGTTAATTTATCTTTGGTGTGATTTTTGTCTATGAAAGGTATGTCAATGAATATTCTTCCATGTAGGTTAATATATCATTAGCTGCTGCTCAAGCTCGGTTCCGTAATGCGACAGAGGAGAGGGATCAATTTGGTGAAGCCAACAATCAAATAATCGCTCACCTGAAAACAAAGGTGGCATTTTCTTTTTGATGAGTAGCTCTCATGGTTAATAATCTCCACGTGAAATAATGTGGTTCTGTTGATTCTGCATGCAGGAGGATGACCTGTCCAAATCAGTTGTAGCTTGTAAGAAAGAGGCAGAAGTTATCAAGACTTGGATTAACTTCCTTGATGATACCTGGCTTCTTCAATGCTCATATACCGAAACGAAGGATAAGCAGACTTTGTATTTCTCAATAAACTCTCAGCTGTTTCTCGCAATATATTTTGCTTTGCTGCCCAATCACAATGAATAATACAGTGAATGCTTCTTTTAGGGAGGAATTGGAGAAGCATGAGGAGTACTTCTCGGATGTGGCTTTTAATATACTCTCTACGTACAAGGTAACCTCTGTATATTATGAAAGCTTTGAACTTAGTTGATAAACGACAGAGCTAACACAGAAATTCATGTTGTACAGAAGGAGGTGACACCTTTAGTACGCCGTATAGAAAATTATGTGGAAAATCTGAAGAATCTGGGTCCTGGGTAAAATGCCTCTTATTGCTTGGTTTCTGGGTGATACCTCTCTCTAATTGGAGTTGAATTGGTGACAGTTTTCACATGTGGTGGTGACAGGTTGGAGAAGCCACCAAATGAAGAGCAGGGGGATATTCAGGTTTCAAACCCGAGGAAAAGTCTGGAGCAGGAGTATTTAGACTATGAGACCAAGGTAAGAATCATTGCTTAGTAGGCTCTGCACGGCTGTGCTTTGGTTCCTTCTTATTTTTCTCTTATCCAGTTGCTCTTCCTCGTCACTGATTTACTTTTATGAAAAAATTAGATCATTACCACCTTCAGCATTGTGGATAACATGAAAGAGCATTTCCATGTTCTCCAAAACAAACTGGAAAAGTGAGTGGTAACGTTGCTCTTTGGGCTTTTATTAGTTGGTAGAGTTTTTTATTATACTAAGTTCTGAACTCCTACAATTATACCAGAAAGGACGACCGGCGTGTGAAAGAGCTGTTTGATGACATGGAGAAACTGAGGCAGGAATTCGAAGCCATAGCGAGGCCAACGTTAGAGATTGAGACTCCATCACCTAAAAGCAGTGCTTCATCACCCAAATCTCCCAAGCCCAGCAGTAGCTT